GTCCACCGAGCTCCTTCTCCGAGGCCACTCTTCGCCCCGACCACTCTGATTATTGGAGATTCCATCGTGAGACACGTCCGCTTCTTTAACGCGGTCACTCGCTGTATTCCCGGAGCTACTGTACCAGACCTGCTCATACGTCTCCCTCCTCTGCTTCAGTCCCTGCCTGATACCGTTTCCAAGGTAGTCGTGCATGTGGGAATTAACGACATGAAACTTCAGCAGTCAGAAGTCACTAAGAAACATTTTATGGATCTGTTCCACCTCCTTCAATCCTCCGGACAATCTGTTTTTATTTCTGGTCCAATCCAGACTGTAAACAGAGGTGACTGCCTCTACAGTCGTGTTGTGGCGCTGCATGTGTGGCTTCAGGCTACATGCAGCTCTTTTAACTTTGTCTTTGTGAATAACTTTGCCCTTTTCTGGAAACGTAACGAAGCCTATCGTCCAGACGGATTACACCCAAACAGATACGGTAGCAGCCTGTTATGGATTACATACGTTATGTTGTTCAGCGTTCCCCGAGGGGGGCGTGACTGTTTACATCTGAGCCCCCTCGGACCCCACCGCACTCCCCCGCCTCCTGCTCACCAGCACCGGGTGAGTACAACGGTGCAAACACTGCTCCCTGTCCGTCTGGCAGTGCATTACCAGTCCAAACACTGAACTGTGCTGACTCCCTTCTGACTCTGGGAGCTAAAGAACAACAAGGGTTTTCACATTTTAGGCCAATTGAGACTGTGTGTGTTCCTCGCACCAGCTCAAAAATGTTTTTAAATTCTAAAAAACGAAATCAAAACAGGACAGCAGTTAGACGGTCCAACTCTGCAAATCTAATTTCTGTTCCCTGTAGAAATCAATCAACCACATTAATCGACTCTGACGTTATTTTTAAACTTGCTATGCTTAATGTCAGATCTCTATGTAACAAATCATTTTTAATTAATAATTTTATCACTTCTTATGATCTTGATTTTATGCTTATGGCTGAAACATGGCTGGACCAAAATACAGGAAATGCAGTTCTAATAGAAGCAACACCACCCAATTTTAAATTCGAATCCGAAATACGAGAAAACAAAAGGGGGGGAGGATAGCTGCAGTTTTTAGAGAGCACTTTGTCTCCCATAGAATGCCCCTTGGAAATTTTTCATCGTTTGAGTATATTTCTTTTAAAATGGAACAAAAGCAATCTTCTACTCTTTTCATTGTCCTGTACAGGCCACCACAGTCATGTTGCGATTTTATTGACCATTTTACTGAACTACTTTCATTCGTGTGCACAGATTTTGATAGTTTAGTTATTACAGGTGATTTTAATGTACATGTTGATAATGTTGATGACAGAAATGCAAAGGAGCTGGCTTCTGTATTTGAGACCTTTGGTTTCATTCAGCACGTGAGTGGCCCCACCCACAGCAGGGGGCACACTCTTGACCTGCTAATTACAAAGGGGGTTAATGTATCAAATGTTAATGTAGTTGATGTTGCTTTGTCAGATCATTTCTGTGTATTTTTTGACATGTGTTTTGCTAGCAAACCACCAGCTGAATTTACAACTGTTAGAAGAAGACACATACATGAAAACACAAGTGAACTGTTCATGGGAATGCTAAATTTTGAGAAAACTCCATGCTCTACTGTTGATGAATTGTATAACTCTGTCACCACCAGTGTTCTGACTGTTCTGGACGCCATTGCTCCTGTGACGGTTAAAATAGTTACCAGTAAGAAAAAGGCCCCATGGACTAAGGCATGAGTTGGGACATAAAGATGAGTTGGGTGAATTTAACCGGGTTCTACGTAGAACAAGAGAAATGTATTTTTCTGACATTATTGGAGGTTGCAGTAACAATTTTCGTGTTATGTTTTCAACAGTTGGTAGATTAACAAACCCCCCTGTAAAGTTGCCCCTAGAATTTTCCTCTAAATCTAGGTGTAATGAGTTCGCACAGTTTTTCGATGACAAAGTACAAGGAATCAAAAACACTATCACCTCCACAGCACGTATAACAATGCAACAGCCAGAGAAGCTTTCTGAGCTAACTCACTTTGCACCTGTGGATACTGAAACTGTCAAAAAGATAATCATGAGTCTGAGCTCCTCCACATGTAGCCTGGATATATTGCCCTCTAAATTTCTGAAGTCCGTCCTGAGCAGTTTGTTACCTTCACTGACACAAATAGTAAACATGTCTCTGTCGTCAGGAACATTTCCTATGGCCCTAAAAACAGCAGTCATAAGACCTCTCCTAAAAAAGAGCAGTCTGGATCCTGCGGGACTTCAAAATTATCGCCCCATATCGAATCTGCCATTTATTGGAAAAATTCTTGAAAAAGTGGCCTCCCAACAACTTACTGAATTTTTAACAATGAATAATTCTTTTGATATGTTCCAGTCTGGGTTTAGACCCCACCACAGCACTGAGACCGCTCTAGTGAAGGTAACAAACGACATTCGACTTCACACTGATGCAGGTAAAGTCACAGTTTTGGTCATGTTAGATCTTAGTGCCGCGTTCGACACTGTCGACCATGAGATCCTCATGCAGAGACTGGAGGACTGGGCTGGTGTCACTGGCACAGCCCTAGACTGGTTTAGGTCTTACCTGGAGGATAGGAAGTACTCTGTGGAGATTGGAGACTGCGTCTCAGATGATGTGGCCCTGACCTGTGGTGTACCACAGGGGTCGATCCTGGGACCTCTCCTATTTAATCTCTACATGCTGCCGTTAGGTCAGTTAATACAAAGAAACAAAGTGTCCTACCACAATTACGCTGACGACACTCAGATCTATGTCTCACTGACTGCAGGAGAACATGGACCACTGGATTTGCTCCTTCACTGTATCCAACAGATCAGTGACTGGATGCAAAATAATTTCCTCCAGCTAAATGCAGACAAAACCGAAATCATTGTCTTTGGTCCCCAGAAACAAAGAGAGGGCGTCATTTGTCAACTTCAGTCTCTCTCCCTACTTCCTTCAGACAAGGTCAGAAATTTGGGGGTAATACTGGACTCAGACCTAAATTTCAATAGCCACATAAAATCAATAACATCAACAGCTTTTTACCATCTGAAGAACATTGCCAAAGTTAGAAATATAGTGTCCAGGGCAGACTTGGAGATTCTTGTCCATGCATTTGTCTCCAGCAGGCTAGACTACTGCAATGGCCTGCTTACAGGTCTGTCCAAACAGACCTGTAAGCAGCTGCAGTACATCCAAAATGCAGCAGCTAGAGTCCTGACAGGAACCAGGAAGTATGACCATATTAGTCCGGTCCTCAGGTCTCTGCACTGGCTTCCTGTGGCTCAAAGAATAGATTTTAAAACGGCTCTGCTTGTGTACAAGTCTCTCCATGGCCTTGCACCAGAATACATTAGTGACATGTTGGTGTCATATGAACCAGCCCGGACTCTGAGGAGCACAGGGACTGGCCTCCTGCTGGTGCCCAGAGTGAGAACCAAACATGGGGAGGCTGCGTTTCAGATCCATGCAGCTAAGATCTGGAACAATCTCCCTGAAAATGTGAGGGAGGCGTCTACTCTGTCAATGTTCAAATCCAGGTTAAAGACTGTTCTGTTTGCCTGTGCATACAACTGAAGGATTTTATCTCCATTTTTAATGCACTGCTGTCATTTATTTATTTTTTTAAATTTCTTGTGTAATTTTGAAAGTTTTAATGGTTTTATTCTTTTGTGTGATTTTAATGTTTTAATTGTGTTTTAATCTTTTGTGTGATTTTAATGTTTTAATTGTGATTCTGGTGTTTGTTTTATGTGATGATTTGTGATGTGGACTGTGAAGCGCTTTGTGTTGCCATGTGTATGAAAGGCGCTCTACAAATAAACTTTGATTGATTGATTGATTGATATACACAGTATACACACATTATACACAGTATATACACATTATACACAGTATATACACATTATACACAGTATATACACATTATACACAGTATATACACATTATACACAGTATATACACATTATACACATATGTGATTAATTATATTATATCGATTAATTTTATATTTTTTATGTAGCTACAGAAACACCATCACATTACATATGAACAGAGGACAGTTTAATTATAAATACACATTTCCAACACTACTAATCCCAATAATTTGTGTAGTATACAACCACATGTCACAAGATTGATAGAGGTATATCTTGCTGTCACACTGTTGTGTTCTGAAATGTTGTTACCTCTGACTTTCCAATATTTTGATTTTAGAACCCTTGTTTGAATAGTAATTAAAAATAAATGCATAGATAACCAGGGACTTTGCACCATAGCCTAGATGTAGAGCAAAACAAAAATTATGATTCTGAAAAGCACAAGGTAAAACAAAGACCAGAAACCACTGTTGCAACATGGTACATTTTATAAAAATACAATTACTCTGACATGTGTGGCCAACACTTTTTTCTATTGATTACATTTATTACATGCTACCAAAGGCGCTTTTTTGTTGGTGCAATCAAAATGTGTGAAGTCGCCGCACATACAACACTGCACCTATCCAAAATAAGTAAACTTTAGTCATTCCAGAAACACATGCTGTAGGGTTATAAGAGGAAAATACCTTTTCATCTCCACTTAAGTGGAAACAACACACACAACAGTAGTCATCTTCACCTACAAATAAACACAATGTTTCAGTCTCAGTTTTGTTGATTAACCCAGGTATAACATTTCAAAAGTAAGGACGATAATAACCTCCTCGCTGAAGCAGCGTACATGCCACTTCCAGACACGCTGCAGCAATAAAGTTGTAGTTTGTGCACACAGCATCCAAATGGCCCTGGAGGAACCATGCCTCGGCAAACTATATATACAGCTAATAGGACATGTCACTATGCCTTCAAAGAAGAATAAATAATTACAGAATCACCTTTAAAATAAAAATGCCACAACTAGAGGTGTCAATTTGTAGCTGGTGCTTGAGCACACTCCCAGTCCATTGACCACTGCCTCTGTGAGCCTGCCTCAGAAACTTCCTAAAGTGAGATGAACAGTTACAAAACAAGTCTCATGATAACTTTTCAGATCGGACAAACCTCCAGTTTTTGAGGATGTTTGTTTTGTAAAGGGCCTCGTTTCCCATGGGGTCAATGAGCAATACTGATTTATCCTCCATGAGGACGACCACTAACACCCAGTGGCCTCCAGTCTTTATGGGGCAGATCCAGTGAGCCTCTTCTGGAAATTTCATCTATAAAAAAGTGGAACCAAAAAGTGTTATTGTCTTTGTAACCATATGGGTATGCAAGGAATATTTGGCCCACGGAAATTGGAACTTCCTTTGTAAGTGGTTTCATTTGTCCACGCACAGAGGCTTGTGCCCACAACAGCAGAGAGCTGGGGAACAGGTTTCTGTTGAAACAAGCCAAATGTAAAGGACACATGTCACCTCTACTTTGTTCACCAGCACACGTAGATCGGAATCAATGACCTGCATTAGAGAAAAACATAATAATACCCATCAGGTCAGAACTTTGTATAATTACAACCTTGCTCCTCAATGCTGGCTTTTTTTACACATGCGTCATGTGACTGCTGGAGGATGATTATTTAAACAAACTGTTTTATGCAGAAAAACATTTATGGGAACTGAGTGTTAAGATTTAGTAAAGACATGAACATCTGACAATTTAAAAATGTACTTTTTAAATGATAATATGTTTGTGTCTTTCTACTGGCCTTGTTTTGTGGTGGAGGAGCGAACTGAGCCTTGTTGGACACTTTCTTGCCTCTTTATGTTGTGGTTGGTCTTTTTGTCCAATCCATCAGTCTGTGGGTGGTACGCAGCGGTGACGCTTCTCTCAATGCCCAGCAGAGAACACAGAGTAACATTGAGCTGAAACAATGAAAATAAAATGAATAAGAAAGTATGAACAAGAAGTACACAAACAATATTTACTTCATTTACAAATTCCCGCCCTTGATCAGACAGGATACATTTTGGGCACCCCTGTATATTATAAAGCAAAGTCTTTGCCCAACCTCCACAGCCGTCTTAGTTTTTAAATGGGAAAGCCTCTACCTACTTTGAAAAATAATCCGTGGCTGTAAATATGTACTGATAGCCATCAGTAGTTTTGGGGAAGGGCCCCAACAGCTCCCAAACAGCAGACACCTAACAAGCAAACAGGATTTTAATGCATTAATGTACACTGCTGGTTGGATAGGAACAATAAATACAATAACTTTTATTGTTTGGAGTGGTGCAACTGAACCCAGAGACTTTCCCTCACGTTGACATTGGTCACACTCATAAATCTTAAAAAGAACAGACAGGGAAGGGAATTGTACAGACAAATAAAAGGAAAAAACATACCATATTGTCAATCATCAGTCCTGCCACGCCAGTAAAACCTGGAACAAATGGCAGGTTTTTTTCACGCCAGTGTGGCCTCCCGTGGGTGTAGCATGACACTTTTTTAAATAGTTTCTGTGCCTCGTGTCTTGTTTTAATGGCTCTTCTTTTGTCATGGAACAGCTCACCATCTATACCAACTGAATTATAATAAAACAACAGAAGAACAATAAGACATGTATAACCATAATAGCAAATGCATTATTACCCTTTGCAGTAAATTTATGGGAGTACTTCCTCAAGTTCTGTCTGTCTGAAATGTGTTCATTCCCTCAGGATAAATCTTCTCTGTGAGGAGAAGAAACATTTCATCCCATTTATCCTCCATTATGATTATGAAAGACAAAATCTTGGTCAGGTGGACAGGCAAGGGTCAAAAAACGGTGTATCAATCAAAAGCAGATGTGAAAACGGGGAAGTGGATAATAATTAAAAGCTGATCAAACATCCACACAAAAATATCTAATTTAAAAAAGATGGAAATCTCTGACTTTGTATTAATATTGACTTCCTTTCACCATTAGATATCAAGAGATAAGATACTATGGAAGAGGATTAGTGATGAGGCTACATCCATGTGAAACAACACACATAAATGAAACGTAATTTATCTTTTTTACTAGTGTGAGATTTCATAACACTTTTAAGTAACTTTTGTTAAAGTTAAACTCATCATTCTATCAATGTGCAGAAGCCTGTACTTTTCCACTACTTGTTTTGACTCTCTCTGCTGTCTCTACCATCGACAATAAAGCATGTCTTCTGTCTGAATGAAAGACGCGATCCCAGACTTTATCATCTTCTTCACGAGTACATAATGTTACCATCTCTCCACGAGCAAATATTAGAAAATCAATACATTTCGGGAGGGATTATGACCGCGTATTCATTCATACGTTACGCGTGTACGTAAAATGTATCCCCATAATGTAATTTCGAACCCAGGAGTATGGTACAAAGTTGAAAAAGTAATATAATATTCTGTATAGGATTTGGTAGAGTCAGTGAGGTCAGTGAAGTCAACGCGCTCGGTTGCAAACTTTATAATACATTATACTAATACAAATATATGCCCTTTGTAACGGAGAGCCATACTCACGTGAGTTTTCAGCTTCGGTGAAGAGAAAACAAAGCTGTAGAGTTGCTACACGGAACCATCAACATCTCGCCTCAAATTGCATTAAAAGTGACATTCGTGTCTTATTTCGTTCGTATTATAACTTTTAAAGCAATTCTCCGACTTTCTGTCCGCCATCTTGGTTTGTTTCGGCTGCCGTGAGACGCGCATGCGCGCAGGTTTGCATTACATCATTAACAGCTGAGCATTACATAAGCGTCACTTTTTGGCAGAGCGTCACTTTTCGGCAGAACACCGGCTCCTGTAGACCTCTCCTCCGTCTCTGTGTGGAGTAAGAGACATTTGTAAAACGCTTAAAGGAACAGGCTCCGTGTTTACAGACTGACACATGTTCTTACCTCAGACTGATATGTACCTGTGTGGTCTGTGTCCGTGTGCTCTGTCATGCAAACGCAGCACAAACACAGCCTCTTCCACAGACTGTATAGTTCTAAATGAGCTCCTGTTAGAAGCTCCCAAACTCTTCCACGTGTTACACTAACTAAAGACTTCTCTCCCGCTCACTTCCGTCAATAGAAGCAGCGTGAGCGGGAGAGAAGTCTTTGGGAGTTAGTGTGCGGACGTAGTGCTCCTCGTATTATTACGCCTCACAATATAGTTCCTCTTTTTATCCTCTGAGAAAATGGACGTGTTACATTCCTGTGTTACTATACTTTGTAGTGTAACACGTCACGTAACTGTATTTAAAGGGAACACGAGGAAGAGTTTGGGAGCTTCTAACAGGAGCTGATTTGGAACTATACAGTCTGTGGAAGAGGCTGTGTTTGTGCTGCGTTTGCATGACAGAGCACACGGACACAGACCAGACAGGTACATATCAGTCTGAGGTAAGAACATGTGTCAGGATGTAAACACTGTGGCCTATTCCTTTAACGGCTCTGGTCTGTGAAAGACTAACAACAACATACAACAACAAGAATGTATTTGCCATTTGCAGTAAAACCACATTGGAAAAACTGTGCGAGACTACCACAGTGTGTGCCAGACAAACGGCACACACCAGAGCTCCTACCACTTATTTACTTACTTACTTCCTTTTTGATTATTATTGTTTTTTTTTTGTAATTCAAGTTTTTATTTTTTTCTTGGTACAAAAAAAAAACAAAAAACAAAACCCAAACAAAACCAAAAAAAAAAAAAACAGAAACAGTTGACGCTCATTATGAAAATATGGCAACTATGTATACTTCCAGAAAACATGGCTGGGGGCCATTATACACGGCAACAGAAAATATATATACAAAACAAAGAAAAAACAAAAAAAACAACAATTTTGATTATTATTCTGATTCTACAGAGATATTCAGATTACAGAGACGCTAATGCTAGTCATTGAACCCAATGAGTTCTCAGGCATCGATGGCCGCGACCACAGAAGCTCAGCCTCAGTTTGCGATACTAGGATTGTTCAAACATGAATTCAAAATAACGATTAGTTGTAATTAAGCTGTTTTGAGATGAAAACTAAACTTTCTGTGAAGCTGGAGCCGTCTAAGAGAGACTGACTTGTTTATTTCCTTTTTACACAGAAAACTTTTTGTTATTCTTCCAAGAAAAGTTGTAATTATGTGGAGGTCAGCGTGAGAGCAGATCTGAGCACAGAAAGGACACGGTGTGATGAGATCCACAGACTCAGAGTTTGTTGAGCTTTGGCCAGACCCGGGTCCATCTGTGCTCCTCCTGCTCCTTCTTCTCTCTCCACATTCACTCACTTCTGATCTCAGAGATGATACGAGTCCTTCATTTGCATTGCTCCGTAAACAAATAAATGTCCTTTGGACCATCACGGCACAGACAGGAGGGCGTTGTGATCGGTAAAGTTAGTACTGCTTGATTACCACATGTTTGGGCGGTACGTGATGGTGTGACTCAGCTGTTGTTGCCGAATGCGGTCAGTCTGACAGATCTCACAGACCCTACAGACTGACCACGCCTCCTCAGACTGACCACGCCTCCTCAGACTGACCACGCCTCCTCAGACTGACCACGCCTCCTCAGACTGACCACGCCTCCTCAAACTGACCACGCCTCCTCAAACTGACCACGCCTCCTCAGACTGACCACGCCTCCTCAGACTGATTACGCCTCCTCAGACTGACCACGCCTCCTCAGACTGACCACGCCTCCTCAGACTGATCACGCCTCCTCAGACTGACCACACAACCTCAGACTGATTACGCCTCCTCAGACTGACCACGCCTCCTCAGACTGACCACGCCTCCTCAGACTGACCACGCCTCCTCAGACTGACCACGCCTCCTCAAACTGACCACGCCTCCTCAGACTGACCACGCCTCCTCAGACTGACCACGCCTCCTCAGACTGACCACACAACCTCAGACTGATCACGCCTCCTCAGACTGATCACACCTCCTCAGACTGACCACACAACCTCAGACTGATCACGCCTCCTCAGACTGATCACGCCTCCTCAGACTGACCACGCCTCCTCAGACTGACCACGCCTCCTCAAACTGACCACGCCTCCTCAGACTGACCACGCCTCCTCAGACTGATCACACCTCCTCAGACTGACCACACAACCTCAGACTGATCACGCCTCCTCAGACTGACCACGCCTCCTCAGACTGACCACGCCTCCTCAGACTGATCACACCTCCTCAGACTGACCACACAACCTCAGACTGATCACGCCTCCTCAGACTGATCACACCTCCTCAGACTGACCACACAACCTCAGACTGATCACGCCTCCTCAGACTGACCACGCCTCCTCAGACTGACCACGCCTCCTCAGACTGATCACACCTCCTCAGACTGACCACACAACCTCAGACTGATCACGCCTCCTCAGACTGATCACGCCTCCTCAGACTGACCACGCCTCCTCAGACTGACCACGCCTCCTCAGACTGATCACGCCTCCTCAGACTGACCACGCCTCCTCAGACTGATCACGCCCCCTCAGACTGACCACGCCCCCTCAGACTGACCACGCCTCCTCAGACTGATCACGCCCCCTCAGACTGACCACGCCCCCTCAGACTGACCATGCCCCCTCAGACTGATCACGCCCCCTCAGACTGATCACGCCTCCTCAGACTGATCACGCCCCCTCAGACTGACCACGCCCCCTCAGACTGACCACGCCTCCTCAGACTGATCACGCCTCCTCAGACTGATCACGCCTCCTCAGACTGATCACGCCCCCTCAGACTGACCACGCCCCCTCAGACTGACCACGCCCCCTGTGGTCTCTGTAGAAGTGAATCCGAGGTGTGAGCCAAGGTGAATGCCCCCTCATCTCTGTTCATGGTCCGTGTGTCGTGCTTCCTGATTTCAATCGCCCTCGCATCTATCTTTTGTATTTATGTTCTTCTGTTCCTACTGTTAGCTCAGTTGGTAGAGCATTGGCCTTTGGGCCTGAAGGTCGTGGGTTCGAGCCCACCGTAAGACCTACTGCACGACTCCCACTGATGACTGCTGTCGTTGTGTCCTTGGGCAAGACACTTAACCCCACTTTGCCCAAAAGCCCCAACTGAAAGATCTCAACTCCTGTGGACTCACCACCTGCAGGAGGATCAGTGAGGGGCTGGTGCTATGTGTACTGGGTGCAGCTCTGACTGCCACCCCCCTGACCCAGAAATGGATTAAGGGGAAGAAAATGGATGGATGGATGTTCCTACTGTTTTTGCATCGTCTCAGTCCATGATGTGAAAACCTCAAATCGGCAATATCAGACCACCATCTATCTGTCTGTCTGTCTGTCTGTCTGTCTGTCTGTCTGTCTGTCTGTCTGTCTGTCTGTCTGTCTGTCTGTCTGTCTGTCTGTCTGTCTGTCTGTCTGTCTGTCTGTCTGTCTGTCTGTCACACATAGACCCCCTTCATGTTGAGACGCAGTAGTTACGCATGTAATGTGTGTGTAGTTTAGTGGACAGTGTGTGTAGTTTAGTGGACAGTGTGTGTAGTTTAGTGGACAGTGTGTGTAGTTGTGTGGACAGTGTGTGTAGTTGTGTGGACAGTTTAGACAGTGTGGATAGTGTGTGTAGTTGTGTGGACAATGTGGATAGTGTGTGTAGTTGTGTGGACAGTGTGTGTAGTTGTGTGGACAGTGTGGATAGTGTGTGTAGTTGTGTGGACAGTGTGTGTAGTTGTGTGGACAGTGTGTGTAGTTTAGTGGACAGTGTGTGTAGTTGTTCCCTTCACAGTTCTGAGGTGAGAGCTGCCGAGTGACGCTCAACTCCTAAAAAAGAACTGTCTCTTTGCAGGATGTGTCAATGTTGTGCGTCTGTATGTGTGGATGCACAACTGCACGTGCTAAACCTGGGACATGTCAATGTTGCAGCGCACAGACAGGACAGTAGTAAGAGCACACAGGGAGCACACACAATATACACAAACATTAGCTGTAAATACTGTAAATGCTTCAAAACCAGTCTTTCAAAAAATAAAACCCCAAACATGTAGTGCGGAGTTATATACTGTACATAGCTATTATGTGTGTGTGTGTGTGTGTCTGAATCCACTGCAGTGTGTGTGAGTTCTGCTCCAGCTGAGCCGCACTAAGAGAATCCTCTGTCATACATACAGTCAAAAACAATAGTTCCATCCCTTTGGCCACACAGGCAGATAATTAAAACCGTCTTGTGTTATGTTGTGTGTAAATGTGCGTTGTGTAAGCGCCGGGATGGACTCTCTCGTGGTTGCGATCGTCCATCTGTTGCTGAGCCTTGAGAGCTGCTCCATGATTTGATTTGTGAGCCGCAAACAGCTGGCAAATGCAGTTATTGTGTTTTCTTCTGCTTAGAGCACGTGCGGTGACAGATCCAAGCAATAATGTACAAATTAATGTAGAATTGATTTTAGGATTAAATTAGTCAAAAAAGTACATGTAATGGAGTTGGAGAGGAGGAGACGCGCCTGGGCTGTGCAGGGAGCGCGAATATCACTGATTAAGTGTGTTGTTGTTGGGTGGGGACTTTGAGTTGTGTGTTTATTTGTGTTAAAAGTACATCCAACATTAATTATGAAATGTCACTACATAGAACTTTCCAGAAAATCCTCCTTTTATGTTTATTTATGATAATACTGCACATTATTCAATCTGGAAAAGGAGTTCCTGTGAATACCACCTGTTTGTCCACAGCCAATCACCAAGCAGCACAGGGACCACAGCCAATCACCGAGCAGCACAAGGACCACAGCCAATCACCAAGCAGCACAGGGACCACAGCCAATCACCGAGCAGCACAAGGACCACAGCCAATCACCAAGCAGCACAGGGACTACAGCCAATCACCAAGCAGCACAGGGACTACAGCCAATCACCAAGCAGCACAGGGACCACAGCCAATCACCAAGCAGCACAGGGACCACAGCCAATCACCAAGCAGCACAGGGACCATAGCCAATCACCAAGCAGCACAGGGACCACAGCCAATCACCACGCAGCACAGGGACCACAGCCAATCACCATGCAGCACAGGGACCACAGCCAATCACCAAGCAGCACAGGGACCATAGCCAATCACCAAGCAGCACAGGGACCATAGCCAATCACCAAGCAGCACAGGGACCACAGCCAATCACCAAGCAGCACAGGGACCACAGCCAATCACCAAGCAGCACAGGGACCATAGCCAATCACCAAGCAGCACAGGGACCACAGCCAATCACCATGCCGCATTTCATTCATTTGTTTCTAGTTTTTCTTTTTGTTACTAGCCTGTAGATTATGTTCTTGGTCCAATTGATAATGTTAAAATTCAGGATACAGTATTGACATAAACACAAAATCATTTTCGTTTGTGGCAGTGGAGTGGGAGAAGATTCAAATTAATCATTCAACTTTGGGATTAAAACTCCTGAATGAGACTGAAATACGACCTCAGGTTTATGTGAAAAGATCATTTTGAAACAGAGACAGGATCATTTTTAATACATTTTCATAAAGTAATACAATGGACACAGCAGAGGGACCATGGACACAGCAGAGGGACCATGGACACAGCAGAGGGACCATGGACACAGTAGTCCTTGTATGAACCTAAAATAGATCTTTAGAAACATATTTGCAGATTATTGTTTTTTTTTTCCCTTCAGTCCAAATGAAAACAAAAGACTTCTCGATTTTGGTGCAACTTTTCACTGATTCTATTCATCTTCACCTGCATGAGGCCGACTGGCTAACAAGCTGCTTCATCAGGCTGAGAGATGGGCTGTCAGAGAGGACGAGGAGAGAGGAGGTGTGGAGGAGGTGTAGAGGAGGAGGCGATCAGAGGAGGTGATCAGAAGAGACAATGGTGTGGAGGAGGAGGTGATCAGAGGAGGTGTGGAGGAGGAGGCGATCAGAGGAGGTGTGGAGGAAGAGGCGATCAGGGGAGGTGTGGAGGAGGAGGTGATCAGAGGAGGTGTGGAGGAGGAGGCGATCAGAGGAGGTGTGGAGGAAGAGGCGATCAGAGGAGGTGTGGAGGAAGAGGCGATCAGGGGAGGTGTGGAGGAGGAGGTGATCAGAAGAGACAATGGTGTGGAGGAGGAGGTGATCAGAGGAGGTGTGGAGGAGGAGGCGATCAGGGGAGGTGTGGAGGAGGAGGTGATCAGAGGAGGTGTGGAGGAGGAGGCGATCAGAGGAGGTGTGGAGGAGGAGGCAATCAGGGGAGGTGTAGAGGAGGAGGTGATCAGAGGAGGTGTGGAGGAGGAGGCAATCAGAGGAGGTATGGAGGAGGAGGTGATCAGAGGAGGTGTGGAGGAAGAGGCGATCAGGGGAGGTGTGGAGGAGGAGGTGATCAGAGGAGGTGTGGAGGAGGAGGCGATCAGAGGAGGTGTGGAGGAAGAGGCGATCAGAGGAGGTGTGGAGGAAGAGCCGATCAGGGGAGGTGTGGAGGAGGAGGTGATCAGAAGAGACAATGGTGTGGAGGAGGAGGTGATCAGAGGAGGTGTGGAGGAGGAGGCGATCAGAGGAGGTGTGGAGGAAGAGGCGATCAGGGGAGGTGTGGAGGAGGAGGTGATCAGAGGAGGTGTGGAGGAGGAGGCGATCAGAGGAGGTGTGGAGGAAGAGGCGATCAGAGGAGGTGTGGAGGAAGAGGCGATCAGGGGAGGTGTGGAGGAGGAGGTGATCAGAAGAGACAATGGTGTGGAGGAGGAGGTGATCAGAGGAGGTGTGGAGGAGGAGGCGATCAGGGGAGGTGTGGAGGAGGAGGTGATCAGAGGAGGTGTGGAGGAGGAGGCGATCAGAGGAGGTGTGGAGGAGGAGGCAATCAGGGGAGGTGTAGAGGAGGAGGTGATCAGAGGAGGTGTGGAGGAGGAGGCAATCAGAGGAGGTATGGAGGAGGAGGTGATCAGAGGAGGTGTGGAGGAAGAGGCGATCAGGGGAGGTGTGGAGGAGGAGGTGATCAGAGGAGGTGTGGAGGAGGAGGCGATCAGAGGAGGTGTGGAGGAAGAGGCGATCAGAGGAGGTGTGGAGGAAGAGGCGATCAGGGGAGGTGTGGAGGAGGAGGTGATCAGAAGAGACAATGGTGTGGAGGAGGAGGTGATCAGAGGAGGTGTGGAGGAGGAGGCGATCAGGGGAGGTGTGGAGGAGGAGGCAATCAGGGGAGGTGTAGAGGAGGAGGTGATCAGAGGAGGTGTGGAGGAGGAGGCAATCAGAGGAGGTATGGAGGAGGAGGTGATCAGAGGAGGTGTGGAGGAAGAGGCGATCAGGGGAGGTGTGGAGGAGGAGGTGATCAGAGGAGGTGTGGAGGAGGAGGCGATCAGAGGAGGTGTGGAGGAAGAGGCGATCAGAGGAGGTGTGGAGGAAGAGCCGATCAGGGGAGGTGTGGAGGAGGAGGTGATCAGAAGAGACAATGGTGTGGAGGAGGAGGTGATCAGAAGAGACAATGGTGTGGAGGAGGAGGCGATCAGGGGAGGTGTGGAGGAGGAGGTGATCAGAGGAGGTGTGGAGGAGGAGGCGATCAGAGGAGGTGTGGAGGAGGAGGCAATCAGGGGAGGTGTAGAGGAGGAGGTGATCAGAGGAGGTGTGGAGGAGGAGGCAATCAGAGGAGGTATGGAGGAGGAGGTGATCAGAGGAGGTGTGGAGGAGGAGGCGATCAGAGGAGGTGTGGAGGAAGAGGCGATCAGGGGAGGTGTGGAGGAGGAGGTGATCAGAGGAGGTGTGGAGGAGGAGGCGATCAGAGGAGGTGTGGAGGAAGAGGCGATCAGAGGAGGTGTGGAGGAAGAGGCGATCAGGGGAGGTGTGGAGGAGGAGGTGATCAGAAGAGACAATGGTGTGGAGGAGGAGGTGATCAGAGGAGGTGTGGAGGAGGAGGCGATCAGAGGAGGTGTGGAGGAAGAGGCGATCAGGGGAGGTGTGGAGGAGGAGGTGATCAGAGGAGGTGTGGAGGAGGAGGCGATCAGAGGAGGTGTGGAGGAGGAGGCAATCAGGGGAGGTGTAGAGGAGGAGGTGATCAGAGGAGGTGTGGAGGAGGAGGTGTGGAGGAGGAGGTGATCAGAGGAGGTATGGAGGAGGAGGTGATCAGAGGAGGTGTGGAGGAGGAGGCGATCAGAGGAGGTGTGGAGGAAGAGGTGATCAGAGGAGGTGTGGAGGAGGAGGTGATCAGAGGAGGTGTGGAGGATGAGGCAATCAGAGGAGGTGTGGAGGAAGAGGCGATCAGAGGAGGTGTGGAGGAGGAGGTGATCAGATGAGGTGTGGAGGAGGAGGTGATCAGAGGAGGTGTGGAGGAGGAGGTGATCAGAGGAGGTGTAGAGGAGGAGGTGATCAGAGGAGGTGTGGAGGAGGAGGTGTGGAGGAGGAGGTGATCAGAGGAGGTGTGGAGGAGGAGGTGATCAGAGGAGGTGTGGAGGAGGAGGTGATCAGAGGAGCACTGCGGTGCGGTGGGTAGAGCTTGTGCCTCGCAGCAAAAAGATCCTGGGATTGATTCCAGAACAGGCTTTTCTGTGTGGAGTTTGTCTGTTTTGTGTCTGTGTAGGTGTCCTCCAGGTGCTACGGTTTCCCCTACCACTACAAACATGTACAAATTGTCTGGATAGGTCGTGTGCCTGGTGTGCACTGGCGCCCCCTCCCCCATCTGTGGGGAGGGAGAGACAAATGCCCTCCACAATGTGACTCTGGACGGTGCTATATCCATAAAGATGACTTACATATGGACAGTAGACTTTATACATGGATAAATTTCTTGCCCTTGGATTGGCTGCTCACCGGGGCAGCTGGGGCTGGAGCGCCATCCCCCCGACCCGGACTAATACAGGGGCTGAAAATGAATAAATGGAGGGTTTTGTTTTTATTTGCTGGCTTCTGAGTGAGTACAAAATGAACGCCGGGTCAACCTTTGCCGCTAATATCACTGTTTATGTTGATTCAAAACAGGAAATGTGCTTTTTATCTCACAAATACAGGAGTCAATATTAAAACACCTTTCAGTTGTTTATGAAAAGCAAACGTGAAGAAAACAAAAGGAGAAAAACGAGGCCCAGACGCAGAAATATCAGATTATCAAACACAGATATTCATTTTTTATCCTCGACGTAAATTGAGATTATTTGATCCCATTTCTTGGCAGACGAATAAAAACATTGTAAGTGTTTTTTGGGAATAAAACCAGGTCAACATTATAAACAAGTCTGACTGTGTCTCAGATCATGGCCCTGACCTGGGGAGTACCACAGGGGTCCATCCTGGGGCCTCTCCTGTTCACGCTCTACAGGCTGCCGTTAGGTCGTTGGTATTGTCTTAATGATTTTAATTACCTGTGTGTTTTAATTGTGTTGTTAATGCTGATTTTGGTGTGTGTTTTTTGTGATGATTTGTGCGTGGTGTGGACTGTGAGGTGCTTTGTGTTGCCTTGTGTATAAATAAAGATTGATTGATTGACAGGTGACGTGTGATGATTTAGTTAAAAACACTGTGATGATCCCCTCGGAGCTTGTTTCTGTCGTGTCAGATCATCTCAGTCCGACGTCCAGAGAAAATGTTTGTGTTGAAGTCCAAACGGTTCGACTCTTAGAATCTTGTTTAGCAGTTTATGGACTTATTATTTTGATTCCATTTAGTTTGAGACGTGTGTGTTGTCCAAATATATCGATAAAGGAATCCCAAAGTCAAAGTTCACACGTGAGACCTCAGATTGGATTTTTGTTTTAATTATCAAGCTTTGTCCGTAACAAGTCAACAGAATATTAAACAGGTTGACCTGTGAGGTGGCTGAGTGGTTAGCACTCTGGCTTCTCAATAAGAAGGTCCTGGGTTCGGATCCCGGTCGGAGCAGTTTTCATATTTGATTATCATTCGAACCAGCCGCACATAAGAAAATATTGTATTATTTCTTTAATATTCAGGACGTGTGTTTTCTTTTTGAAGGAAGTTTGTTTTTGTCTGACTCTGTTGACAAATGTTTAAACTTGTAATGACAGAGCCATCAGAAAATACTGGATTATTAATTTAATCATGAAATAAAATCCGGTACATTGTGTTAGGTCTTGGTTCAACAGGTTCAACCGACTTGTAGAAAATTAGTTTTTTGGCCTCTGATGTCTTTGACTTTAACATCGCTGCTCTAGAATGAGTCTGGTGTGTGTGTGAATGGTTGGTGGTGGTGGGAGGGGCCGAGGGCACAGACTGGTTGCCTCGCTTCTGTCAGTGTGCCCCAGGGCAGCTGTGGCTTCATTAGTTGCTGTGTGAAAGATTATTGACATTTGAAGTGTCTGTGAGTGTCCTGAAAAGCACTGTATAAAACCAATCATTACTATTATTATTATTGAGTCCAACAGTCTAACAGTAATGAAACCAAACCAGGTGGGAGACGACCCCAGAAGCTTCTGTAGTGATGCCGGGAGTCGAGCCCTCCCTCTGTCTCACAATCGCTCTCTGTAAAATCCTGCAGAGTCCATTCGCTGCATTTACTTGCAGCAGCAGCGCCGTCCTCCCCTGGTCTGAGGACATTAGCATGCTAACGCCGCGCACTCTGTGATGTGCAGCCCCATGGTCTTAGAGCCCCATGGTCTCACAGCCCCATGGTGTCACAGCCCCATGGTTTTACAGCCCCATGGTTTCACAGCCCCATGGTCTCACAGCCCCATGGTGTCACAGCCCCATGGTTTCACAGCCCCATGGTTTCACAGCCCCATGGTTTCACAGCCCCATGGTCTCACAGCCCCATGGTGTCACAGCCCCATGGTTTCACAGCCCCATGGTTTCATAGACCCATGGTTTCACAGCCCCATGGTGTCACAGCCCCATGGTTTCACAGCCCCATGGTCTCACAGCCCCATGGTGTCACAGCCCCATGGTTTCACAGCCCCATGGTGTCACAGCCCCATGGTTTCACAGCCCCATGGTTTCACAGCCCCATGGTTTCACAGCCCCATGGTCTCAGAGCCCCATGGTTTCACAGCCCCATGGTGTCACAGCCCCATGGTTTCACAGCCCCATGGTGTCACAGCCCCATGGTGTCACAGCCCCATGGTTTCACAGCCACATGGTGCCTGGTGCCTCGCTCACTGAGGTCTGTAGAAGCAGGACTGATGTCAGACTTAGGCCACGACATCTCGAGCTGTGGATTCCATCACGGTTTTATTTTTAAACATTTTATTTCAAATTAGGTTTTATTAAAGTCCTAGAAAGTCCTGAAACATAATATTTACTGTAACGCGGCCATCTTGACCTTTAAAGCAGGGAAGCACCGATGCATGGGCTGAACACCTGTATCTGATGTTTGTTATTGTCCATCGGCAAAAAAAGGAAAAAGATCAGTGTCTGCACGAGTTCAGTGAGATTTCAAGAACTGCGAGAAAGTCATTTAAAGAATCTGATTGGACGTTTGAGAAGAGGCGGAGACAGCGACTGCAGGAAGCTGAAGGGAAACGGAAAACTGAAGCCACAAAGAAATATATATAAATAACAGACAGAAAAACCATTGGCCCAAAATGTCACAATCTCTGCTTCTCTGTCATAAAGAAATTTGTCTACTTTTGAAAAATGGAGAAAGCAAAGTTTTCCAAGATGGCGGCAGGTGGTGGTGCAAGAAGGTATTAGTTTGATGAGATTAAATGACTATGTTATGGTTCCCCCACATTAGAGTGAGTCTGGTGTGTGAATGGTTGGTGGTGGTGGGAGGGGCTTCTGTCAGTGTGCCCCAGGGCAGCTGTGGCTACAGTAGTTTATCACCACCGTGTTTGGAGAGAGAGAATAATGATGTGAAGAGACTTTGAGAGTCCAGAAAAGTGCTGAATAAAACCCACTGCTTTATCAGTATTATTATTATTATTATTATTGATATTGTCTCAAGCCCACTATCTTTCTTCTGGTCCTCATAGAGTCAGTTTGTGTAAGTGTGTGGTGTGTGTTGAAGTCCAAATGAGGCTGGCTCCTCCGTCTCACACATGGGTAAGATGGATGCTCCTTCTCTGAGCAGACGGAGAGAGAAAATGTCCACAACAACAAATGAGGAGCGCTTTGTGGCAGACGCCGTATAAGAAAAGTATAAATAATGATTATTTCCACACCTGCTTTTTTATTCATAAGTCTGAGAGGTCATTTTCACTGTTGACGCACATATTTTTGACTGAAAATGTGAAAATTCAGAACATCCATCCATCCATCCATCTTCTACCCTTTAATCCATTTCTGGGTCAGGGGGGTGACAGTCAGAGATGCCACCCAAGTCTCAAAGAAAATTCAGAACAAAAGTATGAAAATCCATATTAGTTTGTGATCTGTTCTAAACTATAAAATCAATCTACAGAACTTTACACTTGCTCTTTATTATGTTAACGATAGAGATTTTACACTTGCTCTCCCTGATGCTAGAGCTACAGATTTGATTTCATCTTAATACAGACTTATTATTAATCTACTGCTTCTTCTGTTCTGTACCCGCTGATGCAACACTGACATTTCCCCGCTGTGACACCAACAAAGCATCTGTCTCTTAATCTCAGTCTAGTCCCTGAGCGTGCGCTGACTGCTCTGACTGCTGTGACTGCTCTGACTGCGCTGACTGCTCTGACTGCTGTGACTGCTCTGACTGCTCTGACTGCTCTGACTGCTCTGACTGCACTGACTGCACTGACTGCTCTGACTGCTCTGACTGCTCTGACTGCTCTGACTGCTCTGACTGCTCTGACTGCTCTGACTGCTCTGACTGCTGACTGCTGACTGCTCTGACTGCTCTGACTGCTCTGACTGCTCTGACTGCTCTGACTGCTCTGACTGCTGTGACTGCTCTGACTGCGCTGACTGCTCTGACTGCTGTGACTGCTCTGACTGCTCTGACTGCTCTGACTGCTGTGACTGCTCTGACTGCTCTGACTGCACTGACTGCTCTGACTGCTCTGACTGCTCTGACTGCTCTGACTGCACTGACTGCTGTGACTGCGCTGACTGCTGTGACTGCTCTGACTGCTCTGACTGCTCTGACTGCTCTGACTGCACTGACTGCTCTGACTGCTCTGACTGCTGTGACTGCTCTGACTGCTCTGACTGCTCTGACTGCTGTGACTGCTCTGACTGCTCTGACTGCTCTGACTGCTCTGACTGCTCTGACTGCACTGACTGCACTGACTGCTCTGACTGCTCTGACTGCTCTGACTGCTCTGACTGCACTGACTGCTGTGACTGCTCTGACTGCTGTGACTGCTCTGACTGCTCTGACTGCACTGACTGCTCTGACTGCTCTGACTGCTCTGACTGCTCTGACTGCTCTGACTGCACTGACCGCTCTGACTGCTCTGACTGCTCTGACTGCTCTGACTGCTCTGACTGCTCTGACTGCACTGACTGCACTGACTGCTCTGACTGCTCTGACTGCACTGACTGCTGTGACTGCGCTGACTGCTGTGACTGCTCTGACTGCTCTGACTGCACTGACTGCTCTGACTGCTCTGACTGCTCTGACTGCTCTGACTGCTCTGACTGCACTGACTGCTGTGACTGCTGTGACTGCTGTGACTGCTGTGACTGCTCTGACTGCTCTGACTGCTCTGACTGCTCTGACTGCACTGACTGCTGTGACTGCGCTGACTGCTGTGACTGCTCTGACTGCGCTGACTGCTCTGACTGCTCTGACTGCTCTGACTGCTCTGACTGCACTGACTGCTCTGACTGCTGTGACTGCGCTGACTGCCTCCGTGTCTTATATTCATACTTATATAACGCTTCCTTTGTTATCACACAGTAATATGTGAAATTATCGAGTGCTTGCAATTCAATCATCATCATTCAAGAGGGAAAAGGACTGAATAAAACCATCAAATGAAACCATCAAATGAGTCATTTCACCGTCGGGGTCTTGTCTCAGATCTTTTTCAATTAGTTCTTCCCCAAGAGCTCCGAGGCCGACCTTGAGAAGCAGCGGCCGCGAGTTCAAACCCAAGTCCCGATTCTAATCTCTATAATTAATGAGTGCAGGACGAGTGTCATTCATTACACAGCATATTTAATCTTGTTGATAGAGGAGAGTTTGGCCGACTAAATAGCGACATATTTCAACCCTTGACTAATTCCCCTGAGCCGAGTCTACTGCCGAGGAAGATGAAGCAATCAATCCTGAAAGTAAGAAGAGTGAAGGTCCAGGAATTCTTTTGAGGATGTGTTTTATCAATAATAAAACGTGGAATAGAGAACGAGGGGAAAGTGAAGGGTGGGAAAGGACAATAAACACGGTGGCTGAGTGGTTAGCACTCTCGCTTCTCAGTAAGAAGGTCCTGGGTCCGAATCCCTTTCTGAGTGGAGTTTGCATGTTTTCTCCGTGTCTGTGTAGGTTTCCTCCGGGTGCTCCGGTTTCTGCTACCACTAAAAACATGCACAGTAGGTATGAATGTAGACGAGAGAGTGAATGGATGGTGTTTGATCAGAGGCTTTGATGGACCAGTGTGTTCTGGTCTCGATTCCGTCATCACCGTGTGTGGAGTAACTGGAAAAATATCTGACTCTGAACATTGTAAAGCGCTTTGGGTCTGTACCTTGGTCTGTCTTTGTATGTCAATGCTAATGTGTGTTATACTGCCTGTGCCTGCTCCTAGACACATTTCTCCTCCGGGAGACGAGATAATAAATTAATCTGAATCTGAAAAATGTCGCATTGAAACATCAGGAGCGAACCCCAGGCCGCTGTTCCACAAAACAGAAAGTGTTTAGTGAAAAAACACACCCAGATAGAGAAAGTTTGTGTTGTGCATCACAGTAAACTTGTCAATCAATTCCATAACGAAGCTGAAAAACAGGCTTCATATTTCATGGCTCAGCGGCACCAACGCTGCGATCCCACTTGTGTTGCCTCATCAAGACGTTATCTCTGGCTTAAAAGCTTATCAGGGCTTCAGTAATGATATTGAGTGACTGGCTGCTGTGTTTTGATGGATTTTGCTGTGAGTAATCTGACGCTAAATTGTGTTCCAGTTCTCATATTGTTCTGATTTTAGACTCTGCAAATAACGGCGCTCCCCCATCTTCTCCGAGCGGCCCCTCAACACGCCCGTCGCCCAGCTCCGCCACAGTCATTTGTCATAGATATAATTCCTTCCCAAAGGTAAAAGGGATGGACTGGAAAAGCAATCTCGGTGCCTGGCGAGGAGAAGGGTGTCGGCGGCTGTTGCTTTGGTCCGTGGTGTAACCTTTACCTTCCCGAGCTGCAGATGTGTCGTTTTGATCTGATTCTATATGAGCAACACATGCTTTTTTACTGCGGTATTTTTATTGTGAAATACTATGTGAGCATTCATTTATTTGCCTATTGCAGTAAAACCATATTGGTCTCCCCCTAGTCTCCCTCTGGTCTCCCTCTGGTCTCTCTCTGGTCTCTCTCTGGTCTCTCTCTGGTCTCTCTCTGGTCTCTCTCTGGTCTCTCTCTGGTCTCTCTCTCTGGTCTCTCTCTCTGGTCTCTCTCTCTGGTCTCTCTCTCTGGTCTCTCTCTCTGGTCTCTCTCTCTGGTCTCTCTCTCTGACATGAAACATCGTCATGAGACAAAAATCAACATTTGTGACAATTATCTATTTTAGGGTCTTTACAGCCACAGACAAAGCACATGGTTTGGCTCGAGACCTGGACATAGAATCACAAAAACAGCAGCGAAAAATCGAATTTGGTTTTACACAGAGCTTCCTGTTTTGTAGAAATGAACCCACCTTTGGGAATCTTACAGAGAGATGTTTTGTGTATTTTTCTTTGCACTTTAACAGAGATGAAGGGGCCACAGTGGCTCAGTGTGTAGAACATTTGAGCCTGAAGGTCGTGGGTTCGAGCCCAACACTAGACCTTAGAAGAAGAAAGTCTTGTAGTCATCCCACAGTCGGAAATTTCAGTTTGATGAATAAACATAAACACATCAAGGCATGCAGCGTTACTCCCGGGCTCCTTATAGACAAAGTGGGTTAAGTGTCTTGCCCAAGGACACAACGACAGCAGACATCAGTGGAGTCGGTGGAGAAGGTCTTGAGGTGGGCTCGAACCCACTACGTTCAGGCTCAAAGGCCAATGCTCTACAGACTGAGCTACTGTGGCCCCCCCTTCTCCACCGACTCCCACTGATGTCTGCTGTCGCTCGGGCAAGACACTTAACCCCACTTTGCCTAAAGCCCCCACTGACAGAGCACCTCCTGTGGACTCAGCTCCTGCAGAGGATCAGGGGCTGGTGCTCTGACTGCCACCCCCGACCCAGAAATGGATTAAGGGGAAGAAGATGGATGGATGGCATACACTAGGCATGTCCAAACCCAGGCCCGAGGGCCAGATGCGGTCCTCTGTTCATTGTGTGTGGCCCTCTGCCTCGCTAACCTAAAGTAGTGTTTGAGATCCTAAACCAAGCTCACGATGTCATCCAGCCAACTTCAGCTCAGCCAATACAGACATGTCGTAACTCCTTCTAAAGCCCTGTAGGTCTGGAATTCTGTCATTGGCTTGAGAGCTGCTGAGAAGGTAAACATGTGTCATTCAGCCAACTTCAGCTCCGTTATAGATAATTTTAAAGCTCAGAACCGCCCGATGTCAGTCAGGACAGTTTCTCAGTCTGTGATGTTGGGCCCTGGACTGGTCCGATGAACTGAAGTGGCTCTTACTAATATGTTTGGACACCCCTGTTATACTCAGAAGATATTTATTGCATGTTTTTAGCACATTCGACCAAACCTCTCGTCATTATCTTGGGCTCAGTCTGAAGGTAGTCTGGGATAACACCACAGAACGAGATGGATTAGTCCTTATGTTTAGTCTCAAATATGAAATAAAAAGTTCCAAACATCCACAGGTTATAGAAAAGCAACAGTAGCTCAGTCTGTAGAGCATTGGCCTTTAAGCCTGAAGGTCGTGGGTTCGAGTCCACCTTAAGACTTTCTCCACCGACTCTCACTGTTTGCTGTTGTTGTGTTCTTAGGCAAGACACTTCACCCCCATTGCCTAGAATGAGTCTGGTGTGTGTGTGAATGGTTGGTGGTGGTGGGAGGGGCCTCGCTTCTGTCAGTGTGCCCCAGGGCAGCTGTGGCTACAGTAGTTTATCACCACTGTGTTTGGAGAGAGAGAATGTAAAGCATTCTTTGAGTGTCCAAGCGCTGTATAAAACAGTGAAATCGTATGAAATAAATGATTAGAAAAATTAGAAAATCACAATACGAGAAAAAACTAAGAATTTTTTAAACAATGAAATTAAATAAATTAACTTGAAGATGAAAAACTAATTTGTACATGTTTTAAGAAAGGGGAAACATAAGATTTATTTTCTGATAGATAGATACATAGTGATATTTACACAGTTAGATGATGAATAAGTGTTGGTTTGTCTGCATTAACACATCCTTCTATTCTCCAGCACAGGGACAGGACAGGGACAGCACAGGGACAGCACAGGGACAGGGACAGGACAGGGACAGCACAGGGACAGCACAGGGACAGGGACAGCACAGGGACAGCACAGGGACAGCACAGGGACAGCACAGGGACAGCACAGGGACAGGACAGGGACAGCACAGGGACAGCACAGGGACAGGGACAGCACAGGGACAGCGCAGGGACAGCACAGGGACAGGACAGGGACAGGACAGGGACAGCGCAGGGACAGGACAGAGACAGCACAGGGACAGGACAGGAACAGCACAGGGACAGCACAGAGACAGCACAGGGACAGCACAGGGACAGGACAGGGACAGGACAGGGACAGCACAGGGACAGGACAGGGACAGGACAGGGACAGCGCAGGGACAGCGCAGGGACAGCACAGAGACAGCACAGGGACAGCACAGGGACAGGACAGGGACAGGACAGGGACAGCACAGGGACAGGACAGGGACAGCACAGGGACAGGGACAGCACAGGGACAGCACAGGGACAGCACAGGGACAGCACAGGGACAGCACAGGGACAGCACAGGGACAGCACAGGGACAGCACAGGGACAGCACAGGGACAGGACAGGGACAGCACAGGGACAGCGCAGGGACAGCACAGAGACAGCACAGGGACAGCACAGGGACAGGACAGGAACAGGACAGGGACAGCACAGGGACAGCACAGGGACAGGACAGGGACAGCACAGGGACAGCACAGGGACAGGACAGGGACAGCACAGGGACAGGACAGGGAAAGGACAGGGACAGCACAGGGACAGGACAGGGACAGGACAGGGACAGCACAGGGACAGGACAGGGACAGCACAGGGACAGCACAGGGACAGGACAGGGACAGGACAGGGACAGCGCAGGGACAGGACAGAGACAGCACAGGGACAGGACAGGAACAGCACAGGGACAGCACAGAGACAGCACAGGGACAGCACAGGGACAGGACAGGGACAGGACAGGGACAGCACAGGGACAGGACAGGGACAGGACAGGGACAGCGCAGGGACAGCGCAGGGACAGCACAGAGACAGCACAGGGACAGCACAGGGACAGGACAGGGACAGGACAGGGACAGCACAGGGACAGGACAGGGACAGCACAGGGACAGCACAGGGACAGGACAGGGACAGCACAGGGACAGCACAGGGACAGGACAGGGACAGCGCAGGGACAGCACAGGGACAGCGCAGGGACAGCACAGGGACAGCACAGAGACAGCCCAGGGACAGCCCAGGGACAGCACAGGGACAGCACAGGGACAGGACAGGGACAGCGCAGGGACAGCGCAGGGACAGCACAGTGACAGCACAGGGACAGCACAGGGACAGGACAGGGACAGGACAGGGACAGCACAGGGACAGGACAGGGACAGGACAGGGACAGCACAGGGACAGCACAGGGACAGGACAGGGACAGCACAGGGACAGCACAGGGACAGGACAGGGACAGCGCAGGGACAGCGCAGGGACAGCACAGGGACAGCACAGAGACAGCACAGGGACAGGACAGGGACAGCGCAGGGACAGCGCAGGGACAGCACAGAGACAGCACAGGGACAGCACAGGGACAGGACAGGGACAGGACAGGGACAGCACAGGGACAGGACAGGGACAGCACAGGGACAGCACAGGGACAGCACAGAGACAGCACAGGGACAGCCCAGGGACAGCACAGGGACAGCACAGGGACAGCACAGGGACAGCACAGGGACAGGACAGGGACAGCACAGGGACAGGACAGGGATAGGACAGGGACAGCACAGGGACAGCACAGGGACAGCACAGGGACAGCACAGGGACAGGACAGGGACAGGACAGGGACAGCACAGGGACAGGACAGGGACAGCACAGGGACAGCACAGGGACAGGACAGGGATAGGACAGGGACAGCACAGGGACAGCACAGGGACAGGACAGGGACAGCACAGGGACAGGACAGGAACAGCACAGGGACAGGACAGGAACAGCACAGGGACAGCACAGGGACAGGAGAGGGACAGCACAGTGACAGCACAGGGACAGAGACAGTGACAGCACAGGGACAGAGACAGTGACAGCACAGGGACAGAGACAGTGACAGCACAGGGACAGAGACAGTGACAGCACAGGGACAGAGACAGTGACAGCACAGGGACAGAGACAGTGACAGCACAGGGACAGAGACAGTGACAGCACAGGGACAGAGACAGTGACAGCACAGGGACAGAGACAGTGACAGCACAGGGACAGCACAGGGACAGCACAGGGACAGCACAGTGACAGCACAGGGACCGCACAGGGACAGCACAGGGACAGCGCAGGGACAGCACAGGGACCGCACAGGGACAGCACAGGGACAGCACAGGGACAGCACAGGGACAGCACAGGGACAGCACAGGGACAGCACAGGGACAGGACAGGGACAGGACAGGAACAGCACAGGGACAGCACAGGGACAGCACAGGGACATCTAACCCACACTGATTATTATCTATCATTTAAATCCAACCACTTTTTACATATTATTTAAAGAAAGTGTAGTTAATTACATGTCTTATTTCTGTTTTGGATCAAAAAGAACACATGGTTTGGTTGTGTATTATTACAAAGTTTGATTTTCCCGCTGGAAGAGGGTCGTGATCCGGGACCGAGGCAGCAGAAGGTTCCGGAGAGAGTGTGTTCAAACTGATTGGTTGAGAGTTGAGAGAGTTTGCATGTTCTCCCCGTGAAAAAACAATCCAATTTTGTTCTGGGCCAAATAAGAATCAGATATGTAGATAGTGTGGGATTATCTTAGCCTTAGCCATCTGTAAACTCCATAATCATTTCCTACATGTACGTCTGGTCTTACCATGTGTAAACTCTGGTCCATGATCATTTCCTACATGTACATCTGGTCTTACCATGTGTAAACTCTGGTCCATGGTCATTTCCTACATGTACGTCTGGTCTTACCATGTGTAAACTCTGGTCCATGGTCATTTCCTACATGTACGTCTGGTCTTACCATGTGTAAACTCTGGTCCATGGTCATTTCCTACATGTACGTCTGGTCTTACCATGTGTAAACTCTGGTCCATGGTCATTTCCTACATGTACGTCTGGGTCTGATCCTAGTGGCTGCAGTTTCCTCGGTTGAATCTCCTCCGACCAATCAGAGAGCAGGGGAGGCGGGTGTTGTAGGTCGGTGTCGGTGACGTCCAGAGTTTGTGCTGAATTTTCTGGTTGTAGTTTGTCGGAGAATGCGATAGTAAAATAATCTGTTCTGGTTCAATCCAAATATCAAGAAACTGAAGCCGGAGCAAGAGGAATGTTTAGTAAATGTCATTGAAGCAAAGATGTTGTGGCTCTACTCCCCACGGGCTCCGTTAGCGGCAAAGGAGACCAGACCTTAGTACCAAATGAAATGAGTACAATGGTGTGATAAGACCAGGCTAGTGTGTGATTTATAGATGACAAAAATGCATTATATTATGTTTAACTGAAAAAGTCTCTATTCACAAAATGCAAAAACCCGCAGACAAAGCAGATCATTTACACATTAAAGTGCCCTTTCTTTACATATTGTCAACAGTGGAGGGCTTTAGCATGCATCTATAATCTGATAAGTGCCTCCTGATGCATTATGTATATGAGATAATGCAGTGTATATGATCCAGTCTGACTCGTCTGAACCCAAACCACTCACACAGAGCATGAACATGTCCCCAAACACAAACCCAACTTTACTTTTAGACATTTTCTGCTTCTTACCTTGAAGAGGTGAACGCCGCTTTCAGGACATTCTCCAAATCTCTCTGTGTCCAATTGTTTTCCACACAATATAATCGGCTCTGGGGGTGTGCTAAAGGCTGCTGTGTGTTTCTGAATGACTGCTGTGTGTTTCTGATCGGACATTTTAGTGGCTCTTTTGCCATCACACTTATTTAAGCCGAGCTCTGACCTGTGTCTTATGGGCCTTGGATAGAGGTCAGGCACCAACTGGACAAAAGGGTGCAGTAAAAGACCTGCAGCTGCGTGTTGTAATGACGCAGAACGGCTTCTACTTCGGCAAAGACTGTGAGATAGTAAGCTGCAGACTGTACAACCCTAACCCTGGCTATTTCTGGTTTTTGTAGCTGTCACGTTTATAAGATAAGCGGCGTAAGGGTGAAAGGACACGAGCCTTTACTGCACCGCTTTATTTTGATCCCGCATTTAAATTCCGTCTCCCGCTTCGTGAGCTTTCAGAAGTTGCCCGAACACCTGAACTTCCTCAGAACTAGGTTAGATCTTGCATAATGCTTTGTGTTTACCATAATGGCTTCTTTTGTCCATTTCTCTGGCGAACTTCAGCAAACTTTTAGTGCATTGCTATTTCTCCAAACCGTTGTTCTGCCGGGTTGAAAAACACATAGTTATGGATAAAATAAATATAGTTTGAATAATATTGTTTCCATTATTATGGTTTGTTGATGTATTTTACTGGAGAGCTTCAAGGCAAAGCTGCACAACTCCAGCAAACTGTTTCTAGGCTTTCGTAACCACAAGTTTCACTGTGTAATAAAACATTTTTATTCATATTTTCAGTTTTGTTGACGTGAAGTAGTGAAAAGTACTTTCTAAACATTCCTCTTGCTCCGGCTTTGAACCAGAACAGATTATTTTACTATCGCATTCTCCGACAAACTACAACCAGAAAATTCAGCACAAACTCTTGACGTCACCGACACCGACCTACAACACCCGCCTCCCCCGCTCTCTGATTGGTCGAGGAAACTGCAGCCACTAGGACCAGACTTAGGCCCCGTTTAGATGAAGGCTGCGCAGACTTTGCAAAGTAATGAACAGAAACGACCAGGCTCGCAGCGTTCATAAGAGGATGAACAACAATGTAGTTGTAGCTTGCAGCCAGTAGGGGGCAGTGGACCTTTACAACAAGACACTCACTTCCTCAACAACATCCTCCTCAGGCCAAAGACGGGAAAGAACCAACATCCTTCTTTAAAAGCAGCAGAAACAATGCAAAGTGAAACTACAGCCGTGGTTTGGTTTGGACGAAGGACTATAATTATCCTCTGTGTAGCGCTCGAAGCAAATGTAGCTTGTTAGCGTACCCACCGCCATTGTTGTTTTCGTTTGTTCTACTGCACATGTCCAAATGTACGGGCAGGAAGTGGGGTCAGAGCAGCAGAGAATTCACACCTTTGTCATCAGGCGGGTGTGAGAGACCCCCTCTGAGCAGTGTATCTGAGCTGTCCCACTCTGGAGCTGGATCTAAACTCTTACGTTTTCACCTGGAACAGCCTCCGTGGAAATGGGATGTAGCAACCGACACCAACTATGGCGTTTTACTGCCGCAGCCTCAGACGAACTTTACCGATGGCTGAGGCCAGGGCTAGATTGATGTCAAACTTACTGGAAAATAATATCCATTTTATTTTATTTTTTTGGCCCCAACCATCTCTTAGGTTTTTAAACCGCGATCAGAATGAGTCTGACAACCCTGATCTATAACCAAAACCCCTCCGGAGGAAGCTGACCAGTTTTGTGTCAAACAGTAGATGTTAGGAGTCATTTTGAGTGGTGTGAATGCAGTTTACCCTCTCGTCTCTCCATTATGTGTGAAGCAGCACGGTCTGAGTGACTTTGAGGCGGCAGAGTCCACGGCGGTGGTTGGACCCGTGCACGGCCTCGGTGCCAGGGCATTACAGAGTCTTAATCCGGTTTGTCACATGGCTCTCCCAGACCAGGCTCATTTCATGCTGCTGAACTGCTATTGATAGACCCTCTGGTAAATGAGCCACGCTGCAATCGTTAACTTTAATAACCATAAAGATGTGAGCATGGCAGTCACGGGGCCCAGGAGAGGAGCCCGTACAGGTGATTAGGAATCGACCCCTCCATCTCCTGTTTATTCTGTACTAATGGAAATATGTATTGAAGTGGTAGAGGAAGGGCACAGGACACTTAATCCATGGGGCTTTTTATTAGACAGAAATAGCTTGTGCACAAAATGTATTCCATATGGCATCTTTTAGGGACAGACTGTGAAAATATCAGATTTGAGAACTTTGAAGATGAGAGATTCTTCTTTATTTCTCCCACATCGATGGATATTTTATTGGCGTGGGATCATTGCGAAGAATCCATTTTCTTCAACTGTGTCTGAGCCGTGTCTTGAGCAGGAGTCTGAGCAGAGAATGTCCTTCCCCGGGAGCTTTTCCCGGAGAGATAAACCCACAATACTTAGAAACAGACATTTAAGCATAAACCTCCCACTGCTTCTTCATGTCAAGGGAGGGCAGCTCTAGTCTGAGCTCCTGTCATTCAACCCGAGCTACTCAGATACAGGATGTAAATGAACAGATGTAAATTTCTCCTGTGTGAGATCAATAAAGTCAATCTTATCTTTTCTTATCTTATATAACTACACATGCCTCTTTTTTTACCATAATTCTTTATTATTATTATTGTTATTATAATTTTTATTATGTTCAAGATAGAGATTTTATTCTTGTTCTTTGATGCTAGAGTTAGAATTTTTTTTTTTTTTTTTAAGTAGTATATTGTTTATTTATCTTGTGCTGTGTGCTCCTCATTCTACTGCTCTATAACTTGTGATGCAACACTGAAATTTCTCTACTGATGGACGCATAAAGGATCTCTTAATCTTTATCTTAATCTTAATCTAAATGGCCAAAATCTGAATAATGGGATAAGGGGCTTTAAAATGTAGCTGTGGTCGTACAGAGCAGAATATAGATATTGTAGAATAGTTTTCTCACGTCTCTCAGATAATTGTTGCCATGTTGAAATCTATAATAAGTAATCCAGCTTCAGAGCTCTTTCTGAAACAGCACTAAACTTGAACAGAAGAATAAATAAGTTGGATCAGTCTGACTCATATCCAGGTCACCTCCTCCTGCTGTGGACACTCTCCTCTTGTAGATCTCTCTTGTTCACAGTTTTCTAGTTTGCTTCAGGGCGATGGCTGCAGCCGCTGTGTCCATGTTTGTCTAGACCACTTACTGCTCTGCCTCAGGACACAGAGTGAGAGTTATCCACAAGGGTCAGTGTGGAAGCCTGCAGCCCTGGAAGAGCAGACGGCCCAACACACCAGACACAAGTGACACTGAAAAACATAAACAAGAGTTAACCACGGCCTGGATTCATCAGATTGTTAGGGCAGCACGGTGGCTGAGTGGTTAGCCTCTCAGCAAGAAGATCCTGGGTTTGAATTCCAGTCGGAACGGGGTCTAAAAACATGCACACTAGGTTCAATCCTCCAGCTCCGGCACCTTTAGCTTTAGTTACAAAGTGAAATGCAAACTGTCTGTGTTTCTTTCTTTTCTGCTTTTTAAAGTGAGAATAAGTGGCCACAGCTCCAGCCCGAGAGGACTGTTTACTGTCAAGGCCACGGATAAGTCAGAGACAGAGGAGACAAAATGCAGATGGTTATAGTGGGTTGCTGAACTCCAAATAAAAAGTCCACATTGAACTGAAGAGAGCGGTCTGCTGAGGGAAAATAAATTGGACAGAACACCTGGTCCCATTGATCAACTGTCCTGATTCTTTAGAGGGATTTGACAATATTTTCTTTTCAATTACTATTATTTTACTCTAAAACTGCTGAAGGTTTATACGTTTTGTCTTGTGCAGACTTAACAGCTAAAGTGTATGTCATGAAATAAGACCTGTGCATTCATCCCTAACCCTCCCAGGTCTCCTTAAAGTCTGCATAACACTCTGGTCTGCAGTGTCAGCCGGTACTGCTGCCTCCCTGTATGACCTTGGACTCCAGAAACAGTTGTCATAGCGATCCACTGTATCATATAGGCACTTTATACTGCAATAACTCTAAAACGGTCTCTATTCTCTCCCATTTCCTCGTTTCCCGGTACACATTTCGCACTCAGCCGCTCATTACAAGGCTCTAATTGGCCGTTGGGCTAAGCTGAAAACAATGAAGCATTGATTTTCTTAAACATAATCACCTCATCCAGTCAGTTAATGGCTGCTGTCACTGTGGGCCACTGAAAGAAAAATGGGCAGCCAGTGGTCCCGTGGATGCCCTTCACCTCCGCTCACTAAAGGCTGGAGTCCGCACCACCCACTCCATCTTAGCAGCTTGGTTTAACCCCTTTAGCAGCCTGACAAACTCACTGCACTGCATCCATCACCCATGTTCTCACCTCCACCACACAATAGCACACAATAGCACACAATAGCACACATTAGCACACAATACCACGCACCAATGCACTCGCAAACAGGCGTCAATGGGAAATGACTAATTGGGCAAAGCATGTAAACATAGAAACATAAGGAGCGGCGTCATTTCGTGGCTGGAGATTGTGTTTGTTTTTTACATGGTTTAAACGACAATCAAGGTCTAAGTGGTGATTTTCTGCATGCCTGCCTCTGTCATTCGCCACGTTCCAGATGGTTCAGAGGTGGTTTGCTCTCTTAGCAGAAGAGCTGGAGCCTGGAAACAGCTCGGCCTCATCATTTTTACACCCAGAGCTTTGGAAAGTCAGAAAGGCAGAGGAAATTCAGACGTTTCAAACATTGTTTTTCTCCGAGCTGTGTCACATAAAGAGGATTGTTTTCACAGAGACTGATCTTAAATGATTTAGTGAAAGACACATCCAGAATCACCTTGACTTGAAAGCCAGTCTAGAGGTCAGAAGGTTCAGTGTGAAATATTCAGGAAGCAACACGCTGTAGGGTCAGAGGTTTTAGTTCACTCTGTGCCAACCCCAACATGACTCCACCGGACTGAAAATGTTTGTCTTTTAACCCGGACCTTTGTGGCTTTTGGCTCGACTTTGACTCAGTTTTCTCCCATTTCTATCAAACTAGTCTTTGCTCCATGACACTTTACCCTGATGCATTCTGGGATAATCCACTCTGAACAAGATGGACGGTGGCAATAAGTCTGTTGTGTGGTTTTGTTTCAGGTTATTCAGGAAATAACCCCTTTGGATAATACAGAACATTAGTGACACAAACAAGGAGTTTTAAAGAACCTAAATCATGTAAGTTAGTAAGTCATCTTAATTTATATAACGCCTTTCACAACCAGAGTCTCAAATTGTTATTTTGGGGCATTAGTCTCACTCCACACAGAGATGGGCGAGGCCAGTACAGGAGGCACATGCCAGACTTATTGTACATATTTTTAGTGGTAGGGGAAACCGGAGCACCTGGAGCAAACCTACGCAGACACGGGGAGAACATGCCATCTCCACTCAGAAAGGCCCTGGTCTGACTGGGATTCGAACCCAGGACCTTCTTGCTGAGAGGCGAGAGGGCTAACCACTCAGCCACCGAGCCGCCGAAATCATTCAAGCTTAAATAACCCAAAGACATATGGATCGTATGGATGTGATTTTAGTCCAGTCTGATGGAGACTTGATCTGAAACCATCTGCGTCCAACTTCTTGGAACAGAAAAGATGAGACAATCAGAGCCTCGGAGTGAAAGAGGTGAAGAGACAGGGACAAAAGGGGTTTTAAAAATAGACAAATGTAAATAATAAGTGCATCCTGTGCCGTGGCGTGTGTCTGATCTGCGGCTCTGTCCTGGGATGAGCTCCAGTTTAATTGTTGGCCGTTGTTGTGGGTTCGCTGCTGTCAGTGGAAGATAAAGAGTTTCTTCCTGAGGCGTTGGGAGAGAGGGAGCAGTGATGGAGGGTCTTTGTGCTGCCGCTCCCTGCTGCATTAGCCCTACTCTTTATAATTGTGTGACGGGGGCACTTCCAGGGACTCGCTCATTACTCACTGGTACGACCGGGCGCTGGCAGCAGACACACCTTGTCCTCCAGCGTTGCCATTCTGTGCTCGAGTCCCGCAGCTCCGTCCCCTTCCCCAGAGAACGACACCTATTGTTATTTTTGACCCATTACCACCATCTGTGCATAACACCTTTTCTTTTCTCATGTTTTTGACTTTCTCTATTGTCCGTTGTTAGGTGTGACTGATGTACCTTTGCTCTATTGTCCGTTGTTGGCTGTGACTGATGTACTGTACCTTTGCTCAATTGTTTGTTGTTAGCTGTGACGGATGTACTGTACCTTTGCTCTATTGTCCGTTGTTAGCTGTGACGGATGTACTGTACCTTTGCTCTCTTGTCCGTTGTTGGCTGTGACTGATGTACTGTACCTTTGCTCTCTTGTCCGTTGTTGGCTGTGACTGATGTACTGTACCTTTGCTCTCTTGTCCGTTGTTGGCTGTGACTGATGTACTGTACCTTTGCTCTCTTGTCCGTTGTTGGCTGTGACTGATGTACTGTACCTTTGCTCTATTGTCCGTTGTTGGCTGTGACTGATGTACTGTACCTTTGCTCTATTGTCCGTTGTTGGCTGTGACTGATGTACCTTTGCTCTCGGGCTGATGCGGCGCTGCGGCAGCCTCAGACAGACACAGACAGACTGGAGCGAGGGCAGTTTGACTGAATCGTGGAGATTCCTCGAGGAGTGATTTGTTCCACTCACAGTAACGTGAAGGATCAGAGTCTGAGCTGCACATCTCTACATGTGTATTATTGTTATGCTCAGATCTGTAATATCTATTAATATATACATGCGTGTGTGTGTGTGTGTGTGTGTGTCTTTGTGTGTGCAGAGGGAGGCACATGTGAAGTGATCGCCGCTCACCGCTGCTGTAACAAGAACCGTATCGAGGAGCGCTCGCAGACGGTCAAATGCTCGTGTTTACCGGGAAAAGTGGCCGGAACAACACGCAACAAACCCTCGTGTGTGGACGGTAAGGACCCTCCTCCTCTCTCCACATTTAGACCAGATTAAACTTTGAGATTTAGCATCAAAGTCATAATTATGGATCATGAAGACACAAAGACAGAATCTGGATGTCATGGTTCTCTGTCTCTGATGAAATATAACATCATGGCTTTTTTTTTTAAATAAATACAAACATAACAAACAAAACAATAGAAATAAACAATAAATATTAAAGCTGCAAGCGGCGTCGAACGGCGCTTGCCGCACCATCTTCCTACAGCCCTGATGGGGGCGACACTGTGTGTTTTGAATGCCTATGATCCGTGTTTGTGTGTCTCTTTGATTTTACCGTCGACACATGTTGGGGAGTGTTTGTCGTCACCACCACAGCAATGAGGGGGTAGTTGGACTCCTGGTTGGACTCCTGAGGTTGTGGTTGGGACTCCTGAGGTTGTGGTTGGGAGGGTTAAGTCAGGCTCTTGAACACCTGCCAGATTGTGGGCACATGGCCCACAGCTTCTGAGACTGATGGAAATGAAGAACTAACAAACAGCCCTTGTGGCAGCTCCGGGCGAGTGCTCCCGAACCACAGACTGTGGAAGACAATCAGAGAGAGACAAGTTCATTGGACTCTCCACACTCCAGGAGCCACAAGACCCAGAGACTCAGAGACTACAGGGACTACAGGGACTACAGGGTCTACAGGGACTACAGAGACCACAGAGACCACAGAGACCACAGAGACCACAGAGACCACAGAGACCACAGAGACCACAGGGACCACAGGGACCACAGAGACCACAGAGACAGGTCCTCCTGCACCCACGGCTCACATCAAAGTCAAAAACAGACCCAAATCTCTTCATTAGCAGCGACAGGACATGAAGGGCAGGACAGCTAGCTCAGTAAGTCTTATTGGCCTGGTTAGTCACAGCTCAGTAAGTCTTATTGGCCTGGTTAGTCACAGCTCAGTAAGTCTTATTGGCCTGGTTAGTCACAGCTCAGTAAGTCTTCTTGGCCTGGTTAGTCACAGCTGACAATCAAACTCTGAGCGGGGAATATGAATGAGATGAGAGGAACAGGATGACACCCCTGCTCTGATGTGATGAAAAATGGCTCTGAAAGTCAGTCCAACTTTTCTCAAAGCCGCTGAGTTTTCGGGCCTTGATATATTGTGTTGGAGAAACTGATGTTCTCTGGTTTTCTACGGCTGTTGAATGAAAGATTTGCAGACTCCGACCTTGAATAAAGCTCAGTATTTTGTTCTGTGAAGAGAGAAGCCAGACACATGGAGTGGGTTTACTTTTATTAAGGACGACTAAGAATGACGCAGTAATTACATCGATAGAACATACCGGGCTTTTCAAATCACGTTATATCACTTCAACTTCAATATCCAATCTACTTTATCTATATAGCACATTTTACTGAACAAGTTTCCAAAGTGCTGCACAGAGAGAAAATCAACACATTAATAAAATACTGTATGTACTTCATGATGTACTTTCAGCCAATCAGCAGTGATCTTTGTGCTGTATGGTCCACACCGTTCCGTGGGATGTAGGAGGGAGCGGAACAGAGCCAATGGTGTGTTTTTATTCTGAAAATGAAATAAAAGTATATGAATTTATCAACACCAAAACTAGACCAAAGTAATTCATGTCATGAATTAATTTGCCCAAGTCTCACAGCACCAGCCCCTCGCTGATCCTCCTGCAAGTGGTTTGTCCACAGGAAGATTGACGAGATGGCCTTGGTCTTTCAGCGGGAGCTTCAGGCAATGTGGGGTTGTGTCTTGCCCAGGGACACAACGACAGCAGATGGTAACGACTAAAAACACAAATCGTCGACATTTTAGCGTTTTTATTGCAGGAAACAAAGTGAGGCAGTCGCGGCTATCGAAGGGTTGTTAACGCTTCATGCCTCGGTGCGGCTCCTGCAGCGATGCTCTCGAGCTGTTAGTTTATCGATTAACTCACACTTATGGAAGCGGCGCTGATGGAAATGGAAATGACAAGTCAGTGGTCATCAGCGAGACGCCAAACTAAAGAAAAGAATGGTGTGAATAAAGGAGCAGAATGAAATCTATAATTAAAAGAGAAAGAATCAATGTCTGAAGCTTAAGAATGAACTCTTTTCTATTATTTTTATTTCCTGCTAAACCGAGGCTACAGCCGCGCTCTGTGAAGGATTATAGACTTCTGGAGTCCGCCGCAGCGGTGCAGATGGAGCGCTCTCCTCGGGTCCTGCTTTATTAATGTTCCATCCAGATGAGCAACGATCCTGCTGCCCAGCTCCCCCCAGCGCCCCCTGGGGGAACACCTGCTGCCATGTACCATACACAGGTTATGCTCCCGTACAAATATATATTCAGAAAAACACCAAAGGCTCTTGTGAAACGGGAGGTATATCTTTAGAGGTCATTGGTCTCGGACTGGCTCCAGACTGACTTTTATCTTTGGTCATATTTGAAAAAGAAACCATGGTCCTGAATGTTGCATTATGGGTCATTAACATCAAACTAACATCAAACTAACATCAAAGCGGCCGCTGCAGCTTCATTGTTGGATGTTTACAGTGTTGTGAATGAGGCTGCTGAGCATTGTGGGAAATGCAGAGGGATATGACGACATGGCCACTTGGGTCTCCTGTCAGCTCGTCTCTGTTTTGGGAATTGATTATTAGTTTTGACAAAGAGACGATGTCCTAGTTATGTCAGGGCCTACACGGCTTTGGTAAAAACATGAGTTTAAACCAGTCCTAGGTCTTTATACGAGCTAAGATTAGCTCTGGTGCTCGCTCCAGTGCCTCCACAAAGCCCCGTGCTGAGGTCTCTTTATGCACAGCACATTACGAGGCTGATATGTTCATTTAGGCTGAATGCAGATGCTGCAAACGCACACATGCTACAGATTGCATCTGTATGTATCCACAGTACTCTCCCAGATGGGAGGCTGTGGAGCACTGATGGGGAATGAACCCTTCTGTCTGGCTACAGGCGGGTATCGGCGAGAATCGGCGAGCATGACAGGTTGTCATGGTACATTTGAGATACATCCACCGGGAAACGCTCACAGACTTACAATAGAGAGGCTCAGCCTAGTCTCATGTGGAGGAACAGAGCAATGGCCTAAAACCAGTGCAGCTGGAGACACATGCAATATTACTGCACTGTAGGTCAGGGGCTTTTCTTTGGAAATAACATATGATGCTTATATATAATAGATAATTTATATATATATATATATATATAATTTATATTTATATATACATATAGATAATTATATATATATATATATATATATTTAGATATATATATAGATAATTTAGATATATATATATATATATATATATATCAATATAACTTATATTTATATATACATATAGATAATTTATATATATATATATATATATATATGATAGTTTATATATAGGGCGATCGTGAAGACAGCTCTGAGACATGACAAAGGTTGAACAGTGGTGTTTTTCAGGTCTTTGGGTCTTTTACTGTTTTTTTTATTATACTCAGTGTCATTATCTTTTAATAACTTGTTATTCTCCACATTACGCATATTTAAAACATTTAAAATAATTGAATATTAATATTCATCTACAAAGGAGGACATTGGTATAATGTGTTTCAGCAGATTGAGTAAAACATGAAGAATGCTCCTGTGAGTCCAGAGGCTGATGATCCTCGTCTCATGGAGCTCAGGCTGAGGCCCTTCAGCAGAGTCTGACCTCACAGCGAAGGGTCCTGACCTCACAGCGAAGGGTCCTGACCTCACAGCGAAGGGTCCTGACCTCACAGTGAAGGGTCCTGACCTCACAGAAAAGGGTCCTGACCTCACAGTGAAGGGTCCTGACCTCACAGAAAAGGGTCCTGACCTCACAGCGAAGGGTCCTGACCTCACAGCGAAGGGTCCTGACCTCACAGCGAAGGGTCCTGACCTCACAGCGAAGGGTCCTGACCTCACAGCGAAGGGTCCTGACCTCACAGCGAAGGGTCCTGACCTCACAGAAAAGGGTCCTGACCTCACAGCGAAGGGTCCTGACCTCACAGCGAAGGGTCCTGACCTCACAGCGAAGGGTCCTGACCTCACAGCGAAGGGTCCTGACCTCACAGTGTAGGTTCCTGACCTCACAGTGAAGGGTCCTGACCTCACAGTGTAGGGTCCTGACCTCACAGTGAAGGGTCCTGACCTCACAGCGAAGGGTCCTGACCTCACAGCGAAGGGTCCTGACCTCACAGCGAAGGGTCCTGACATCACAGCGAAGGGTCCCGACCTCACAGCGAAGGGTCCTGACCTCACAGCGAAGGGTCCTGACCTCACAGTGTAGGGTCCTGACCTCACAGTGAAGGGTCCTGACCTCACAGTGTAGGGTCCTGACCTCACAACGAAGGGTCCTGACCTCACAGTGTAGGGTCCTGACCTCACAGTGAAGGGTCCTGACCTCACAGTGTAGGGTCCTGACCTCACAACGAAGGGTCCTGACCTCACAGCGAAGGGTCCTGACCTCACAACGAAGGGTCCCGACCTCACAGCGAAGAGTCCCGACCTCACAGCGAAGGGTCCTGACCTCACAGTGTAGGGTCCTGACCTCCAGTGAAGGGTCCTGACCTCAAAGTGTAGGGTCCTGACCTCACAACGAAGGGTCCCGACCTCACAGCGAAGAGTCCCGACCTCACAGCGAAGGGTCCTGACCTCACAGTGTAGGGTCCTGACCTCACAGTGAAGGGTCCTGACCTCACAACGAAGGGTCCTGACCTCACAGCGAAGGGTCCTGACCTCACAGTGTAGGGTCCTGACCTCACAGCGAAGGGGAAGGGAGAATGTGCAGAGCAGCGTCGGGTGAATCTAAAACACAAACAGTTGAAGGAGTTTAGGAACAAATATTGCATTGTTTGGATTTATTTTTGTGTTTTGGCAAAATCGCATCTAAAGAAAAGAGCGTCTTGTTCTGGAGTCATTATTTAAATGTTAAGTCCTGGTTTTACTCAGTATTGTTTTCCCATGTTCCCGGAGCGTGTTGTTGAAACGGTTGTTGTCGGCACACTGGGTACTTTGAGTCTGATGTGGGTTTTAAGCAGCGTTTGGTAAATGATCTGAATCTGCTTCTGGTTTTGAGTTCTGCTGTTTTGAAATACATCTTAAAGTATTTTTCCTGGACATCAGCAGTGAAACATACAGAATAAGGAAACAATATACACTGTTCTATATGTGCAGTAACAGTGTTTATTTGTGATATACAGGCTCACACTGGGGCTCAGTGTGGAGAGCATTGGCCTTTGAACCAATACGTCATGGGTTCAAATCCATCACAAGACCTTCTCCACCAACTCCCACTGATGTTTAGTTTTGTATTTGTTTATTTGGAAGAGACAGATAAAAGAATATTGTTACATTTTAACTGATGCCATTTTAGACAGAGGATCATTTGCAGACCTGGTCCCTAACACCAAACAACAATGTCTGCTGTCATGTCCTTGGGCAAGACACTTTACCCACTTTGCCTGTAAGGAGCGCAGGGACTGGGCTCCTGCTGGGACTTGAGGAGCACAGGGACTGGCCTCCTGCTGGGACTCTGAGGAGCACAGGGACTGGCCTCCTGCTGGGACTTGAGGAGCACAGGGACTGGCCTCCTGCTGGGACTTGAGGAGCACAGGGACTTGCCTCCTGCTGGGACTTGAGGAGCACAGGGACTTGCCTCCTGCTGGGACTTGAGGAGCACAGGGACAATCTTCCTGAAAGTGTGAGACAGGCCTCCTCTCTGACAATGTTTAAAACCAGGTTAAAGACAGTTCTGTTTAACTGTGCTACAACTGAGGGATTTTACATTTTTAACTTGTTTTAAGTTGCCTTGTGTATGAAATGTGCTATACAGATAAACTTGCCTCGCCTTATGCTGCAGGAGAAAACTTGTGAGACGGAGAACATTTACAAATGCAATAATCCGTCATGTATCCCAGTTAGACAGAGTGTGTTGTGAATATTTAATACAGATAATTAAACATGTGCCTTCTCCCACAGTGAAGGGATTAATGCAGAGTAATGACTGTGTGAATGTGACCCGGGTTCAGGGGTCTCTCTCTCAGTCTCAGCTAATTACACTCCGGCTTCGTTTGCTTCATGCTCTCGTGACCCCAGCTCCAATGCACAAGGCAGGGCCACGAATCTTAGCCTCATTAGCAACAAAATCACTTTTATTTAATCAAAAAATGCACACCTTTGCCAGAGCCACGGAGGTCACGTCCATAATAAACTCTGATTTGTGCAGATGATGATTAACCAGGTTTTGTAAATTGGCCACAGATCGCTGCAGGTCAGTCATAAAAGCAACAGCCTACTTTACATTTTTAGTTTTATAGTTTTATATTTACTACTTATCAAACCAGGTGCTAAACTAAGAGAGCCAATCACACGTGTTTGCCATTTTAGTGGTTTATTTTCTATAGGAGAAGAAAATCAAAAATATGTTTGCTCTAAAGTTAAGGAATACTATTCATTTTATCCGTGGTGAAAAAAATATATATATATTTGGATTTTGGCAAAACATCATAAATAAGATGCTATTTACAGCGTAATTGTCCAACTCCGAACTTTGATTTTTAAGATTAAGTTTAAGAGATTGAGAGATTTTGACTTTGACATTTGTCCATCCATTTTCTACCCCTTAATCCATTTCTGGGTGGGGAGGGTGGCAGCCAGGGCTGTCCGGTGGGTTCTGTGGATCTGGTGGGTTCTGTGGATCTGGTGGGTTCTGTGGATCTGGTGGGTTCTGTGGATCTGGTGGGTTTCTGTGGATCTGGTGGGTTTCTGTGGGTCCGGTGGGTTTCTGTGGATCCGGTGGGTTCTGTGGATCTGGTGGGTTCTGTGGATCTGGTGGGTTTCTGTGGATCTGGTGAGTTTCTGTGGATCCGGTGGGTTCTGTGGATCTGGTGGGTTCTGTGGATCTGGTGGGTTTCTGTGGATCTGGTGGGTTTCTGTGGATCCGGTGGGTTCCGTGGGTCCGGTGGGTTTCTGTGGGTCCGGTGGGTTTCTGTGGGTCCGGTGGGTTTCTGTGGGTCCAGTGGGTTTCTGTGGGTCCGGTGGGTTCTGTGGGTCCGGTCCATGGCAGAGCCGCCCTGATCAGACAGATGCACCTGTAAGAGGTCCTTTGGTTCATGTTTTCCAATCAATTCCATTCTCAGGCCACGCTTGTTTGTCCGTCAGAACTCAAATCCACGCCTGTTTACAAGAAGTCAGACATCCTCCTCCCTTTGTCTCCTGATGAGACTGCTCCATCTGCCTTCCTGACACAACACACAATATGGGGTCCTCGCTCGCTCTCTGGTTAATTGGTGTTGGAGCATTGAGCAGAGTTGGAAGCTGGTCGTGTTGGAAGCAGATGGACGGGAAAATGAGCTGTGTCCAGAGGGGCTCGTCACACATAAACCCCCCCTGACCCCCCCGTCGCAGGTGAGAGTCTGTGAAAGGACAAAGGTTGGACCCTATGATCCGACAATGGCACTGGGAGTGGGATTCACGGCGGAGGTCGGCACAGACTGATGCATGAGTCTCCAGAGATGTGGATGAGATAAGATAAGATAAACTTTATTCATCTCACAGTGGAGAAATGTACATGTCACATTTGGTAAGCACTCTCGCTTCTCAGTTAGAAGGTCCTGGGTTTGAATCCCGGTCGGAACAGGGCCTTTCTGAGTGGATTCGGTATGTTCTCCCAGTGCTTGCTCCGGTTTCCCCAACACTAAAAACATGCTCAATAAGTCTGAATGTAATGAGTGAGTGGAGGGTGTTTGGTCGGAGGCTTTGATGGAGCAGTGTGTTCGGGTCTCGCTTCATCACCGTGTGGAGAGAATGGAACAATATCTGAACTTTGTAAAGCGCTTTGGGTCTGTACCATGGTCCCTAAAAATGTGTTGTATAAAAAAAACATGACTTATTACTTACATATCCTCCACAGTGTCTCCAGTGATGACCTACTCTCCACAAGACACTTACGCCACTTCTTATTGGCGCGTATTCAGAATAAAAAATTACCTTTTACTGTAATTAGTTTGTCCATAAACGTTGTTATAAAGAGTATAAAGCCTAGTGTATACTTGTGCGGCGCGGCTTACGTTAGCGGTTGCGGTGGATCTCCGCAAGCACAATTTAATTTGTACTCCTTGCGGAGTTTTGAGGAGAATGTTGTAATTCCACAACCAACCACATGGTGGCGATCTCACAGGAGTTGCCTGAAGATACCGAAGCGGTCTCATTTACGCTGCTTCTTTCTTCTCTTCAGAACAAAAACATGAACAAACCGAGCTGTTTGAGATCATTACATGTGTTTCTACTGTAGGTTTATGTGATAGTTCTATGGACTCATTATTTCTTAACTCATTTAACTGTGATGGTGTGAATAAAGACACAGTTCTTGTTGGAAACATAGTTATTATTAAATTGTATTCAGCACAAACAGCTAAATAATAAGTGGTAAATATCTGAGACAAACATGAACAATTTAAAAGTGCAGGAGGAATGGAACAGACGAAGATAAGCTACTATTCAAACAGACAGGACCAGTTTATAAGTTATATATATGTTAGATATAAGTTACATATATGTTAGATATAAGTTATATATATGTTAGATATAAGTTAGATATATGTTAGATATAAGTTATATATATGTTAGATATAAGTTAGATATATGTTAGATATAAGTTAGATATATGTTAGATATAAGTTATATATATGTTAGAAATGAGTTAGATATATGTTAGAAATGAGTTAGATATATGTTAGATATAAGTTAGATATTTGTTAGATATAAGTTATATATATGTTAGATATAAGTTATATATATGTTAGATATAAGTTAGATATATGTTAGATATAAGTTAGATATATGTTAGATATAAGTTAGATATATGTTAGATATAAGTTATATATATGTTAGATATAAGTTATATATATGTTAGATATAAGTTATTATATATGTTAGATATAAGTTATATATATGTTAGATATAAGTTATATATATGTTAGATATAAGTTAATATATGTTAGATATATGTTAGATATAAGTTATATATATGTTAGATATAAGTTATATATATGTTAGATTTAAGTTATATATATGTTAGATATAAGTTATATATATATATGTTAGATATAAGTTATATATATGTTAAATATAAGTTATATATATGTTAGATATAAGTTATATATGTTAGATATAAGTTATATATATGTTAGATATAAGTTAGATATATGTTAGATATAAGTTATATATATGTTAGATATAAGTTATATATATATATGTTAGATATAAGTTATATATATGTTAAATATAAGTTATATATATGTTAGATATAAGTTTATATATGTTAGATATAAGTTATATATATGTTAGATATAAGTTAGATATATGTTAGATATAAGTTATATATATGTTAGATAGTCCACAGTCTCCTGTATATCAGGCTCTGCTCCATAGTGCCTCGTCCATGCTCCTGCTGCAGCCGCTTCATGCTTCCTTCCAATACACACACACGGACCAATCACAGCGGAGCTTCTCTCACACACGGACCAATCACAGCGGAGCTTCTCTCACACACGGACCAATCACAGCGGAGCTTCTCTCACACACGGACCAATCACAGTGGAGCTTCCTTGCGGCGACCTTTACGTAGTTAGAAAATTTCGATGCTGCGCGGCAGGCAACGTAAGGGCCTTGCGGTGACCAACGCGTTGCGCAAGTGACGTCACGTCACCTCCGTAAGCTCCGCGCTGCACGAGTATACACTAGGCTTAAGAGTATAGTGACTATTCTTATTTCATGACTTTTACATGTATTGTGCCAAAAGCAAAACAGTTTCAAACTTCATACTGATCTAACTAAAAATTTGGGGTGCCTGATTTTTTTTGTAAAACTCTTGTGAAAGTTGTCGTGAACAAATAAGACCAAAATATGCATGGCCCTCATGTTTTGTTCTGTATGAAGAGCCCTGTGAGTCACTATTTGAGGCTTTGGACTGAGAGCTGCTTTACATTGTTCAGATATTCTCTCCACAGACGGTGAATGTGAAACGTTTGTGTGATAGAGAGAGAGAGAGAGAGATAAACCTTAGAGCTCCCAAAGGAAAGGTCTGAAAAGCCGATCTAAAGACCTAACAAAACTACATGTATTTGAAAACTAGTGATAGAAGTTAGCCTGGCCTTACCACACCATGGAACTCATTTCATCTCATACTAAGGTCTGGATTGTCTCCATTGACTCCGTTAACAGGTGGGAGGGGCTAACTCCTTTTGCAGATTGAAACTATTGGATCTGGAGCCCGAGTGAGTGAGGCATTTAGCATTTAGCCTAGCTTTAGCCATGCCAGACGTACATGTAGGAGATGATCATGGACCAGAGTTTCCACATGGTAAGATCAGGGTAGATTAAAGCACTTTCATGGATTTTATTACAACTACAATTAAAAAAGCAGGACATTTTGTTTAACCCTTTTTTAGACAATGTTTAAGTATTGTCCAAACAAAAACCATCACCACAGAAGCATAAACAAAGACAGATGTGGTTATGGCCGTATGTAAAAATGAATCTGTAGAAATGGGAATTATTGCAGAAAGCTGCAGTATATGCCACAAAGAGGTCCGTCGCTTCATAATCAAAACTAATCACTCTGCCACTTCCAATCTCAGTCTATATTTTTCTAAATAAAACTTCCTGAAGAGTTCCAGACGTGCGCCGTGTACTTTGTGGCTGTTCATCAACCCAAAATGAGAATCTAATTAATATTTCCTGATCCTTTAAACACATATGACAGAATACGGTCCATCAACCTCCTCCATGTTGTCTGTAAAAACTTTCTTAAAATAGGTGTGTTTTATTTTGTAATGTGTTAACCCCTGTTTCTTCTTTAGTTCTACTTCCTGTTTCCTAATAACCTGCCCTCGTTAGTCTCATGTGTCTCATTAGTCTCATTAGTCTCATGTGTCTCATGTGTCTCATTAGTCTCATGTGTCTCGTTAGTCTCATGTGTCTCATTAGTCTCATGTGTCTCGTTAGTCTCATGTGTCTAATTAGTCTCATGTGTCTCGTTAGTCTCATGTGTCTCATTAGTCTCATGTGTCTCGTTAGTCTCATGTGTCTCGTTAGTCTCATGTGTCTCGTTAGTCTCATGTGTCTCGTTAGTCTCATGTGTCTAATTAGTCTCATGTGTCTCGTTAGTCTCATGTGTCTCATTAGTCTCATGTGTCTCATGTGTCTCATTAGTCTCATGTGTCTCGTTAGTCTCATGTGTCTCATTAGTCTCATGTGTCTCGTTAGTCTCATGTGTCTAATTAGTCTCATGTGTCTCGTTAGTCTCATGTGTCTCATTAGTCTCATGTGTCTCGTTAGTCTCATGTGTCTCGTTAGTCTCATGTGTCTCGTTAGTCTCATGTGTCTCGTTAGTCTCATGTGTCTAATTAGTCTCATGTGTCTCGTTAGTCTCATGTGTCTCATTAGTCTCATGTGTCTCGTTAGTCTCATGTGTCTAATTAGTCTCATGTGTCTCGTTAGTCTCATGTGTCTCATTAGTCTCATGTGTCTCGTTAGTCTCATGTGTCTCGTTAGTCTCATGTGTCTCGTTAGTCTCATGTGTCTCGTTAGTCTCATGTGTCTCGTTAGTCTCATGTGTCTCGTTAGTCTCATGTGTCTCATTAGTCTCATGTGTCTCGTTAGTCTCATGTGTCTCATTAGTCTCATGTGTCTCGTTAGTCTCATGTGTCTCGTTAGTCTCATGTGTCTCGTTAGTCTCATGTGTCTCGTTAGTCTCATGTGTCTCGTTAGTCTCATGTGTCTCGTTAGTCTCATGTGTCTCATTAGTCTCATGTGTCTCGTTAGTCTCATGTGTCTCGTTAGTCTCATGTGTCTCATTAGTCTCATGTGTCTCTTAGTCTCATGTGTCTCGTTAGTCTCTGTCTCATGTGTCTCATGTGTCTCTAGTCTCATGTGTCTCGTTAGTCTCATGTGTCTCGTTAGTCTCATGTGTCTCGTTTAGTCTCATGTGTCTCGTTAGTCTCATGTGTCTCGTTAGTCTCATGTGTCTCGTTAGTCTCATGTGTCTCGTTAGTCTCATGTGTCTCATTAGTCTCATGTGTCTCATGTGTCTCGTTAGTCTCATGTGTCTCATTAGTCTCATGTGTCTCATTAGTCTCATGTGTCTCGTTAGTCTCATGTGTCTCGTTAGTCTCATTACTCTCATGTGTCTCATTACTCTCATTAGTCTCATGTGTCTCATTAGTCTCATGTGTCTCGTTAGTCTCATGTGTCTCATTAGTCTCATGTGTCTCATTAGTCTCATGTGTCTCGTTAGTCTCATGTGTCTCATTAGTCTCATGTGTCTCATTAGTCTCATGTGTCTCGTTAGTCTCATGTGTCTCGTTAGTCTCATGTGTCTCGTTAGTCTCATGTGTCTCATTAGTCTCATGTGTCTCATATGTGTCGTTAGTCTCATGTGTCTCGTTAGTCTCATGTGTCTCGTTAGTCTCATGTGTCTCATTAGTCTCATGTGTCTCATTAGTCTCATGTGTCTCATTAGTCTCATGTGTCTCATTAGTCTCATTAGTCTCATGTGTCTCGTTAGTCTCATGTGTCTCATTAGTCTCATGTGTCTCGTTAGTCTCATGTGTCTCGTTAGTCTCATGTGTCTCATTAGTCTCATGTGTCTCATTAGTCTCGTGTGTCTCGTTAGTCTCATGTGTCTCGTTAGTCTCATGTGTCTCGTTAGTCTCATGTTCAAATTCAAACCCTGTGTTTCCTTCACTTCCTGTTCCGTCATCGTCATTCTTTGTCTGATTTCGTTCCCGTCTTTTACTTTTTGTGTTTTCACTTAATAATCAATTTTATTTTATATTAACAAAACCATTATTTTTGCAGTTGTGTGTTTTGTGTTATTTTTGTGTTGCTCCTCTGGACCACGTGAGCTTTAATCGTTGTTCCATTGGTCTGTGCCGTCGCTGCCTGTCTTTCCCAGAATCCCGGTGAACGTGTGGATATGTTTGTTTGGCTCCGACCGCGGCACATGATCAAGAGCTTTTGTTCGCTGATTATTTTTAATTGAGCCAAATGTTTCCTGACAGCCGCGGAGAGACGAACCTACATCGTCCACAAATATTTCCAAAAATATGATTTGTGATTAACGGGAAACTTCCACACGCATCGTTCGGTTTTGTCATCACACATGTGCGGTTAAAGATGTCCCTTTGTTCACAGAAACTGGATGGAATGTGCTAAAAGTCTTGGCTCGCAGCTTTAATACTGACAGCTTTCATCTCGTGGCCTGTTCCGGCTCCAGCTTCTATTTAAAGGAGTTATTGCTTTGTGTGCATTACTGTTTTCTATTTGGAACGACTTCTGAGCGTTTGTGGCAGTGTAGACACTTAGAAGGGAAGTGGAACTAAATTATATAAGCTGCAAGACTTTATATAACCTGCAGCGGACGCCAAGAATATACATTGTTGTTATTAGCTCCTGAAATGGAAGAAGCAGATTTAAAAAGTCTGAGGTGGTTCAGTCTATGATGTTTCCATGTTCTATGTGCCGTAACTGTGCAAAGTGCTGTGTTAAGAACGAACCCCAGGGAATGTGTTGCTGCCCCTGGAACAGTTTAAAGTGCTAAAGCTAAGAGTGCTAAAGCTAAGAGTGCTAAAGCTAAGAGTGCTAAAGCCAGAGAGCCTAAATATTTTAGAGTAAACCCTTTCTTCTCAGTCAAGCATAATCAGGGTTTCAAGTTTTATTTCTACATCACCACTGACCGTAAGACAACCCAGGTCTGACCGTGGCCCAGGTCTGACCGTGGCCCAGGTCTGACCGTGACCCAGGTCTGACGGTGACCCAGGTCTGACCGTGGCCCAGGTCTGACCGTGGCCCAGGTCTGACCGTGGCCCAGGTCTGACCGTGGCCCAGGTCTGACCGTGGCCCAGGTCTGACGGTGGCCCAGGTCTGACCGTGGCCCAGGTCTGACGGTGACCCAGGTCTCCTTTAAACCAAAACAGAGAGAAGTCCATGTCTGACCATTTGTGATCCAACTTACACAAGTATCAAATAAAAACATGAATAAATAAATTATTACATACTGTATGTATCACAGTCAGGATTGGTAAATAGGCTCCTCAGTGCAAGACAAAGAGCTACTGATGGGCGTTTATCCCCACCCCTGTCAGACTGTACAATAAGTCACTAACGACTGAAGAACCTGCTGCTATAGCCACTCTTTAATGTACATCGTTATATCCTGCACAGACTGTATTTTTATCCTTTAACCTTTCACACTTCTGTCTTTTGCACAAATCTGAGAGATTCTATCTGTGATGTCACATCTTCATTTCTCCATCTGAGATCAATAAAGTTTATATTATCTTTATCTTAGTTAGTCTACACAGTAAAAGGCTCAGAAAGAGACTGCACTCAGCTCTTTCTAATAAAATGTTTGTTTGGTCCACTTCATGTGCGATGACATCCTTTTGTCTTAAAGTGGCTTGTAACCCTGTAACCATAGCAACACACGTCTGAGTGGGTGCGAAGCCTCACCTGAGTTTCTGAAAGTGCCATAAAATAACTTCTATCACACGTCTGCATCCAGTGATTTGACCTTCTCCCGATAAAAGGAAAGACAGTCTTTGGAGATTTGAGAAAAGACGCTCTACTCGCTTTTAAAATTCTGCTGAAGGAGAAAGAGACGACGTGAGAGGTCCACATGGTCCAGCCCAGGACCTTTGATCTGACATATGGTGCCGCGTCCTACCTGGTCCTACATGGTTCCCTGCTCATGGTTTTTCTGAATGAGTTGTGAGTCTGGTAAACTTCTTTTATTATTATTTTCAAGACAGATTTTATACTTTTATTGATGCTAGAGTTAGAGATTTTGTTTTATTTTAATTCGTACAGCTATTGTTCATTTAACGTGTTTCCTACTGTTCTGTAACTTGTGATGCAACACTGAAATTTCCCCACTGTGGGACGATTAAAGGATCTCTTCATCTTAATCGTGAAGGGTTCTCTTGGTGGGGAGTGTGGTTGCTACACGGTGGGAGCCCCCTCTTGTGCAGTCTGGCTGAAGGATAAGATAAGATAGAGTTTATTGATCTCTGATGGACAAACGTACATCTGGATTGTGCAAAAGACAGAAGTGTGCAACATGTTAAAGGCAAATATAGTCTTTTCAGGATTTGTTTTGTAGAATAAAAAAGTGGCAGTTAAAGAAACAGTGACGATGGTGAAGCAGAGTTTTGATGAAAGATGAAATGTTGCCTTTTCCTGTTTGGAGCTGGACACAGACGAGCCGCGGGATCGACTCTGTGGACTCTGTGGACCGGTCCAAAACTCAGATCTGCATTTCTCAGTCAGACTTAGACTTAGACTGACTTTATTTTAGAATAGATAGAAGGACAAAACAGACACAGTTTGGTTGTTTCTGGGCCGGAACGTCTGTCGTTATTTTTAATAAGAATTAAAAAGTGCAGATTGTGGAAAGCGGTTTCTTATAATAAGTCTTAAAACCCGGGAATGTTGCTGAACTTTCTTCTCTTCAGGATCGCAGAAAACTGAACAGAGTGAAATGTCTTTAAATGTCAGGGTTAACAAATGTAACCCAATATATTTGTTTGATTTACTACGCTGCCATTTACACTTCTGAACGGTTCTGAACGGTTCTGAACGGTTCTGAACGGTTCTGAGCGGTTCTGAGCGGTTCTGAGCGGTTCTCAACGGTTCTGAGCGGTTCTGAACGGTTCTCAGCGGTTCTGAACGGTTCTCAACGGTTCTGAATGGTTCTGAGCGGTTCTGAACGGTTCTCAGCGGTTCTGAACGGTTCTCAGCGGTTCTGAACGGTTCTCAGCGGTTCTGAACGGTTCTGAACGGTTCTGAACGGTTCTCAGCGGTTCTGAACGGTTCTCAGCGGTTCTGAACGGTTCTGAACGGTTCTGAACGGTTCTCAACGGTTCTCAACGGTTCTGAACGGTTCTCAACGGTTCTGAATGGTTCTGAGCGGTTCTGAACGGTTCTGAACGGTTCTGAACGGTTCTGAACGGTTTTAGAGTCTGACATTTGGAATAATGTTGTCTCTCGTTCACTCTGCACTTTAAAGACTAAAATGTGTGGGAACAAAGTGTTTAATAATTCCACAATGTCTGGATCTACTCACTACAGATGAAGTTTTCTGTGGTTAATATAAATAATTCTGTTAAATATACATTATGGTTTTGGATATTTCATTCAGGCTAACTGCAGGGGGCGCACTGCAGCATAAGATGGACACATTCTAATACTCATCAAGTATCATCCCAGGGGCCAAAGATAATTATATCGTGGACCGGATCCAGCCCCCGGGCCCTGACTTTGACGCCCATGTTCTATTCGTGACTTTGGGCAAATGTAAAATTCAAAGGAATCGATGAAACTTTATCAATGAACGTGTTTTTACTTTTCTACTGCACTGGGGCTGTTTATAATAACGCAGTGTGATTGTTTTAAGGTTTTAATGACTTTAGTGATTTTATTATGTGTGTTTTTAACCCTGTGGAATTTGAATCGTATTTTAGTGTTTATGAATTATATCTGATGTGATGTGTCTGTGAGGTGCTTTGTGTTGCTTTGTGTTGCTTTGTGTTGCAATAAAACATGATTGATCCTGGTGTCTTGCTCATGCACTGGGTCTGGCGTTGCACCTCCATCATTTCTTTAAAATGCTTTTGGATGATCTGAACAACTGTGTGTCTGTTGTGTGTCTCTGCTGTGTGTGTCTGTTGTGTGTCTCTGTTGTGTGTCTCTGTTGTGTGTCTCTGCTGTGTGTGTCTGTTGTGTGTCTCTGTTGTGTGTCTCTGTTGTGTGTCTCTGCTGTGTGTGTCTGTTGTGTGTCTCTGTTGTGTGTCTCTGTTGTGTGTCTCTGTTGTGTGTCTCTGCTGTGTGTCTCTGGTGTGTCTCTGTTGTGTGTCTCTGTTGTGCAACTCTGATGTGTGTCTCTGCTGTGTGTCTCTGCTGTGTGTCTCTGTTGTGCGTCTCTGTTGTGCGTCTCTGCTGTGCGTCTCTGCTGTGTGTCTCTGTTGTGCGTCTGTGTTGTGCGTCTGTGTTGTGTGTCTCTGCTGTGTGTTTCTGCTGTGTGTCTCTGTTGTGCGTCTCTGTTGTGTGTCTCTGCTGTGTGTCCCTGTTGTGTGTCTCTGCTGTGTGTCCCTCTTGTGTGTCTCTGTTGTGCGTCTCTGCTGTGTGTCTCTGCTGTGTGTCTCTGTTGTGTGTCTCTGCTGTGTGTCTCTGCTGTGTGTCTCTGTTGTGCATCTCTGCTGTGTCTCTGTTGTGCGTCTCTGTTGTGCGTCTCTGCTGTGCGTCTCTGCTGTGTGTCTCTGTTGTGCGTCTGTGTTGTGCGTCTCTGCTGCGTGTCTCTGCTGTGTGTGTCTGTTGTGTGTCTCTGTTGTGCGTCTGTGTTGTGTGTCTCTGCTGTGTGTCTCTGCTGTGTGTCTCTGTTGTGCGTCTCTGTTGTGTGTCTCTGCTGTGTGTCCCTCTTGTGTGTCTCTGCTGTGTGTCCCTCTTGTGTGTCTCTGCTGTGTGTCTCTGCTGTGTGTCTCTGCTGTGTGTCTCTGTTGTGTGTCTCTGCTGTGTGTCTCTGCTGTGTGTCTCTGTTGTGTGTCTCTGCTGTGTGTCCCTCTTGTGTGTCTCTGCTGTGTGTCTCTGTTGTGCATCTCTGCTGTGTCTCTGTTGTGCGTCTCTGTTGTGCGTCTCTGCTGTGCGTCTCTGCTGTGTGTCTCTGTTGTGCGTCTGTGTTGTGCGTCTCTGCTGTGTGTCTCTGCTGTGTGTGTCTGTTGTGTGTCTCTGTTGTGCGTCTGTGTTGTGTGTCTCTGCTGTGTGTCTCTGCTGTGTGTCTCTGTTGTGCGTCTCTGTTGTGTGTCTCTGCTGTGTGTCCCTCTTGTGTGTCTCTGCTGTGTGTCCCTCTTGTGTGTCTCTGCTGTGTGTCTCTGCTGTGTGTCTCTGCTGTGTGTCTCTGTTGTGTGTCTCTGCTGTGTGTCTCTGTTGTGCGTCTCTGTTGTGTGTCTCTGCTGTGTGTCCCTCTTGTGTGTCTCTGCTGTGTGTCCCTCTTGTGTGTCTCTGCTGTGTGTCTCTGCTGTGTGTCTCTGCTGTGTGTCTCTGTTGTGCGTCTCTGCTGTGTGTCTCTGTTGTGCGTCTGTGTTGTGCGTCTGTGTTGTGTGTCTCTGCTGTGTGTTTCTGCTGTGTGTCTCTGTTGTGCGTCTCTGTTGTGTGTCTCTGCTGTGTGTCCCTGTTGTGTGTCTCTGCTGTGTGTCCCTCTTGTGTGTCTCTGTTGTGCGTCTCTGCTGTGTGTCTCTGCTGTGTGTCTCTGTTGTGTGTCTCTGCTGTGTGTCTCTGCTGTGTGTCTCTGTTGTGCATCTCTGCTGTGTCTCTGTTGTGCGTCTCTGTTGTGCGTCTCTGCTGTGCGTCTCTGCTGTGTGTCTCTGTTGTGCGTCTGTGTTGTGCGTCTCTGCTGCGTGTCTCTGCTGTGTGTGTCTGTTGTGTGTCTCTGTTGTGCGTCTGTGTTGTGTGTCTCTGCTGTGTGTCTCTGCTGTGTGTCTCTGTTGTGCGTCTCTGTTGTGTGTCTCTGCTGTGTGTCCCTCTTGTGTGTCTCTGCTGTGTGTCCCTCTTGTGTGTCTCTGCTGTGTGTCTCTGCTGTGTGTCTCTGCTGTGTGTCTCTGTTGTGTGTCTCTGCTGTGTGTCTCTGCTGTGTGTCTCTGTTGTGTGTCTCTGCTGTGTGTCCCTCTTGTGTGTCTCTGCTGTGTGTCTCTGTTGTGCATCTCTGCTGTGTCTCTGTTGTGCGTCTCTGTTGTGCGTCTCTGCTGTGCGTCTCTGCTGTGTGTCTCTGTTGTGCGTCTGTGTTGTGCGTCTCTGCTGTGTGTCTCTGCTGTGTGTGTCTGTTGTGTGTCTCTGTTGTGCGTCTGTGTTGTGTGTCTCTGCTGTGTGTCTCTGCTGTGTGTCTCTGTTGTGCGTCTCTGTTGTGTGTCTCTGCTGTGTGTCCCTCTTGTGTGTCTCTGCTGTGTGTCCCTCTTGTGTGTCTCTGCTGTGTGTCTCTGCTGTGTGTCTCTGCTGTGTGTCTCTGTTGTGTGTCTCTGCTGTGTGTCTCTGTTGTGCGTCTCTGTTGTGTGTCTCTGCTGTGTGTCCCTCTTGTGTGTCTCTGCTGTGTGTCCCTCTTGTGTGTCTCTGCTGTGTGTCTCTGCTGTGTGTCTCTGCTGTGTGTCTCTGTTGTGTGTCTCTGCTGTGTGTCTCTGTTGTGCGTCTCTGATGGCCTGTGTGGCTCTGTCCCGTAGCGTCCATTGTAATTGGAAAGTGGTGGTGTGAGATGGAGCCGTGTCTGGAGGGAGAGGAGTGCAAGACTCTGCCCGACAACTCAGGATGGATGTGCTCCTCTGGGAACAAAGTCAAGACCACCAGGGTGAGACACACACACACACACACGGACACACAGAGACACACACACGTACACACACACACACACACAGAGACACACACACACACACACACATGTACACACACACACACAGAAACACACAAAGTCAAGACCACCAGGGTGAGACACACACACACACACACACACATGGACACACACACACACATGTACACACACACACACAAACACAGAAACACACAAAGTCAAGACCACCAGGGTGAGACACACACACAAACGTACACACACACACACACAGACACACACAAAGTCAAGACCACCAGGGTGAGACACACACACACACACGGACACACAGAGACACACACACGTACACACACACACACACACACACACACACACACACATGTACACACACACACACAGAAACACACAAAGTCAAGACCACCAGGGTGAGACACACACACAAACGTACACACACACGTACACACACACATGCACACACACACACACAGACACACACAAAGTCAAGACCACCAGGGTGAGACACACACACACACACAGACACACAGACACACACACACACACGGACACACACACACACACGTGTACACACAATAATGTCTGATTGAACAAATTGCTCCGGTGCTGGTCCTCAGTCACACCGGCCTTAAATGTCCAGAGAAGTTTCCCATGATGCACTGCAGGTAAGCAGCCGCACAATCACAAAGAATGCATCTCCACTTCTCAGTCCTTTGCACAACCTAAAAATTACTAATCCCTCCGTTATATGGTTAATGAGGGGGGGGGTAATCTGATTGATTTGTGAGTGGGGGAGGGGCCACGCTGCTGTACTGCCCACTACACACATGTCCTCTTCTCTTGACCCTCTCGTTGCAGAACACCCAGCCATACTCCCCATTTTAGCCCTGGAAGCAAAATGCAGAGGATGCATCAACAGAAATTGAGCTGCATTCTTGCTTCTGTAAAGGTCAGTCTTTTCTCAAACTGTTTCATGTCTGTCTCTCAGTCACATGACCCACGGCTGTCACATGACCCACGGCTGTCACATGACCCACGGCTGTCACATGACCCACGGCTGTCACATGACCCACGGCTGTCACATGACCCACGGCTGTCACATGACCCACGGCTGTCACATGACCCACGGCTGTCACATGACCCACGGCTGTCCAATCAGGGCTCATGACCAGAACAGTGCAGAGTGATGTAGAGTGTGTTTACATGTTGTGGTTAGACAAACATGACTCCAGTGATATAGAAGTGCGTCAGACAAACACCAGGTGGATCTGCTCAAAAAGAGTGGGCCGAGGCAGGAGCTTTTTGGTGCCCACCCCCAAAACACTACAATAACAGACACACATTTAAACATTTTACATAGAACAACAACAAGAGAAGAACAGACAAAAACAACAACAGTAACGGCAGGAACAACGATGTATGGATGAAGTAGACAATAACAATATTAAGCAACAAAACAAAGTAGATAAAGTCAAGAAGTAGAAATAAAAACAACAAAAACAGACACATGTGGTTTGGCCCGATTGCGCCCCCTAGTGACGTATCATATCCTCCTCTTTGCACTTATCGAAAGTATTTTGTTTTCATTTAAATTTGAACGAATTAATGTTTGGACTTTTTTTCATCTCCTGCTTCAAATTGTTCCACAGTTGAACCCCGTTTATTATTTACCCCACTGAGCCCATGTCGGAGCAGCTCACATGGTTTCTGCACAGACGGTAGAAACAGTGCATGTTGCTCCCACAGAGCTCAGGTTAAGTGTCACTCTGACTGTGACTGGGTCTGGAGCCATTTAAAGGGACAAAAAGAAGTGAAACAGAGAAAAGTGAGTGAATAAAGAATGTTTTCTACTCATTTTACCATAATGTCTTAATATCATGAGGATTCACTAAAACTACTGAAGATGAGAAAGTCCGGGATCGTTTATTTTGTTCAAACAGAAGTTACATAAGTTCAGAAGCAAAGAAGTTATAAATGCTTGTGATATTTTACAGCAGGGGTGTCCAGACTTTATAGCACGAGGGCCGTTGTAGTTTTCCAGACCCTGACTGTAAAACTGTTTGAGGCTTTAAAAACAGCCACATTGGCCCCGATATGGGATACTGCGACATCACAAACAAAAGTCAGTAAATACAAAGACTTGATTCCAAAGGTTCTCAGCTTTACAACACAGCAGGACTACACTGGTGGAGCTTAAGTTGGCTGGATCACACTGTCAAGGCGCCTCGATGATTACTTGGTGTTGGTGAGGCAGAGGGCCGGATACAATCACCCAGCGGGCCACATTTGGCCCTCGGGCCTTAGTTTGGACATGCCTGTTATACAGCATGGAGGAAAGGAGACCGTCCAATCAGCATTCGGCTCAGTACCAGTAGCTTGGCCGTCAGAAAACCACAACATGTCGTGGAAAAGTCCTGCCTCGTGCATATTGTTAGAATGATGAGTTTCACTTTCACCACAGTTGGTTCAAAGTGAAATCTCCAAAACACCCAGATGTAGGTGTGTAAAGCAAGGCCAGTTTATCTGTATGGCACAATTCATACACAAGGAAACTCAAAGTGCTGAATAAGAAAGCATTAAAATCATAAATAAACACAGTACATTGAAAAGCATTGGCATTGGCCTTCAGGCCTAAAGGTTGTGGGTTCAATTCCCACCTCTACACCTTCTCCATCGACTCCCACTGATGACTGCTGTCGTTGTGTCCTTGGGCAAGACACTTAACCCCACTTTGCCCAAAGCCCCCACTGAAAGATCAAGGCTATGCTCACACTCAGAGAGCAGCCTCCTGTGGACTCACCACCTGCAGAGGGTCAGTGAGGGGCTGGTGCTATGAGACTTGGGTGGCATCTCTGATTGCCACCCCCCTGACCCAGAAATGGATTAAAGGGAAGAACATGGATGGATATTGAAAAGTAAGATAGAAATATAAAATCCCTCAGTTGTATGCACACTACAGCTAATAGTATTAGTAATATATACACTGTATATAATAGTAATAGTAATACCGGCCTTATCTGCTGGCTGTGTGTGTGTGTGTGTGTGTGTGTGTGTGTGTGTGTGTGTGTGTGTGTGTGTGTGTGTGTGTGTGTGTGTGTGTGTGTGTGTGTGTGTGTGTGTGTGTGTGTGTGTGTGTGTGTGTGTGTGTGTGTGTGTGTGTCCAGTCCACCGCCTCTGATCCCTTGGTCCTGTAGTTTCCTGCTCATCAGTGTGTCTTTGATTACAGAGACCTCCTCGGTCTCGTGCCAATCCCATTAGCTATAATCTGTGACTCTCAATCCTTCCTCCAGTGCGACTCCCGCCGTGCACCTCCGTGGTGGATGCATCTGACGTGTGTGTCTGCCCAGACCTCGTCCCTTCAGGGTCCGTGTCTTATCAGTCACCACTTGATATCCTGACACCCCCTGCACCCCCCTGTACCCCCCTCCCCCCTGGAGCCTGCAGCCCACATGAAAGGCCCTCTGTCCTCTTTCAGCTCTGTTTTAATCATGGCAGCATTCGCCAGACTCCAGGGCCACAATTGTCACGTTTGTTTTGATTCTAAAAGGCAGAAATCCCAGGCCTCAGTGTTTGCTGATAACTTCCCGAGAACTCGCAGGTTTTGTTCTGCTCTGAAACGTCAGATAAGCAGCAGCAGGAGGTGGAGACGATAAATACTGACATTATGCAAAGAGTACTCATTATGAATAGTTTGTTCACAACTTTAGATTTCCACAGTAACATTTTATTGATGTTAGAAAATGTGTTTGAACATTTGAATCATTTCCTGCTGTTTTTATAGTTCCCAAAGCCCCATATTTTTGTATAACTGTAGTGTTAAAGTCACAGTGTGTGGGTCAGTCAGAAACACAGAGACAATGACATGTACACAATATACAAGCATTAGAACATGTTTGACAATTATCAAATGAAATAAAAACCAGTCTTAGTTGTTCCTCCTTAAGAAAGGCTCAAATCCATGACATTAATTCCTTTAAAAGCTGATAATCTGTTCCAGTGTGAAGTGCTAGGCGCAGGAACAACCATGACACTGAAACACTGTTTGCCTGAACCTCTCAGAGAGCTCCAAGCTTCACCTGAAAACTCTTAAAAGTTATTCCCCTTAGTGAGGGGGCGTGGCCGACCCTGTTGCTAGGCATGAGTCATCATTTCAGACGCTGTGATTGGTTGATCCTAAAAGTTACAGGAAACATACTTTTGGTGATAATGGGCAAAATAAGGATCCTCAAATGGACAAACTTAATCATGGAATCTAATCTTAGGAAGATTATTGTCGTTGTGAATAATATTCCACAATGTAAAATAAATGCTGTGAATATAAGTTATACTTTTAAATCATCAAACAGAATGTGTGGAAACAGTATTAACGCAGAGATAGTTAGATGTGATTTAAAACCAATCTATAAAAATCTGTGTTGGACTTTTAAATGTACCACAAACAAGTGAACAGCCGGAGACTGAAGAGGAGACTGGACAAAGGAGAGGGTTTGCTTCTGGATCAATGAGTTAAACGTGTTCAGAGGTAAATGTGTCCTCACTGTCATCAGCGTCTGTAGAATATCTCTCCTGTCTCTTCCGTCCGCCATGTTGTCCTCTTAAGGAACTAAAAGTCCTAAAAGTCCTTCTCTCTGCGCTGAAGAGATCTCACCTCTGGAGCTCTCTTTTTATCTTCACTAGGATCTACTCTTCACTTTTAGGGGAAAGTCTAAGTGTAAAATTTTGCGACAAGAAGCAACTCTTAGCACAAAAAATCTTTGTTAATACATCCCCAGATCTTTTTATGCCAAATATTGTGGTTAAATGAATAATATTAGCTCTAAAGAGTGTGTGACCTTCTTTCTGCAGTCATAAAGTCGTAACCGTCAGAACACTGAGCTCCGTCCATCTTGATTGCAATCTTTGAAATATTGTGTAGAAATATGTCGAGACCAATTCTATTGTTCATTTAAACGTACAGCGAAAGGTTCCAATTATTTCTCTTGCACCAGAGGAAAACCTTTCAACGTGAGCAGCACAGACCTGTCTTTTTAACGCAGCTCCGAGCCCAGACTCAGACATTTGGTTTTCATTGAAGTTAAACACCTTCTTTGTTATCTGCATAATTAGATACTTGATCCAATTCAGTTTGCAGATAATGGTTTAAATTACTGATGAGTTGATGCATTGTTTAAAACTAGAGGAAAAATACATACAATAAAATACAATAAAATACAATAAGAAATACAATAAAAAGAATAGCAGTGGACCAAGGCTGCTCCCTTGGGGGACACCCCTAAATCCCTAGAATGTTTTACCAAATAATTATAGTTTTAAAACCGTTTGCCAACAATTTATTCAACAGTAAATTATGATCTAGATTCAAGATTGTATTTGTCATTTGCAGTTAATGATCTCTCATCAAAAACTGTGTTCAAACCAAGAAAGACAGTATTTTAGATTATTATCCCTTTTGGAAAATAAAAAACCAACAGTGCCGCCTTCAGAGAGGTACAGACTGTCAGTGCAGTAACACAACTGTCCAGAGTACTTTGACTGGCACAGAGTACTTTGACTGGCTCAGAGTACTTTGACTGGCGCACAGAGTACTTTGACTGGCACAGAGTACTTTGACTGGCACAGAGTACTTTGACTGGAGCACAGAGTACTTTGACTGGCACAGAGTACTTTGACTGGCACAGATTACTTTGACTGGCGCACAGAGTACTTTGACTGGCACAGAGTACTTTGACTGGCACAGAGTACTTTGACTGGCGCACAGAGTACTTTGACTGGCACAGAGTACTTTGACTGGCGCAGAGTACTTTGACTGGCGCACAGAGTACTTTGACTGGCGCACAGAGTACTTTGACTGGCGCACAGAGTACTTTGACTGGCGCACAGAGTACTTTGACTGGCGCACAGAGTACTTTGACTGGCCCACAGAGTACTTTGACTGGCGCACAGAGTACTTTGACTGGCGCACAGAGTACTTTGACTGGCGCACAGAGTACTTTGACTGGCGCACAGAGTACTTTGACTGGCGCACAGAGTACTTTGACTGGCACAGAGTACTTTGACTGGCGCACAGAGTACTTTGACTGGCTCAGAGTACTTTGACTGGCACAGAGTACTTTGACTGGCGCACAGAGTACTTTGACTGGCTCAGAGTACTTTGACTGGCGCACAGAGTACTTTGACTGGCACAGAGTACTTTGACTGGCTCAGAGTACTTTGACTGGCGCACAGAGTACTTTGACTGGCACAGAGTACTTTGACTGGCACAGAGTACTTTGACTGGCGCACAGAGTACTTTGACTGGCACAGAGTACTTTGACTGGCACAGATTACTTTGACTGGCGCACAGAGTACTTTGACTGGCACAGAGTACTTTGACTGGCACAGAGTACTTTGACTGGCGCACAGAGTACTTTGACTGGCACAGAGTACTTTGACTGGCGCAGAGTACTTTGACTGGCGCACAGAGTACTTTGACTGGCGCACAGAGTACTTTGACTGGCGCACAGAGTACTTTGACTGGCGCACAGAGTACTTTGACTGGCGCACAGAGTACTTTGACTGGCGCACAGAGTACTTTGACTGGCGCACAGAATACTTTGACTGGCGCACAGAGTACTTTGACTGGCGCACAGAGTACTTTGACTGGCGCACAGAGTACTTTGACTGGCGCACAGAGTACTTTGACTGGCGCACAGAGTACTTTGACTGGCGCACAGAATACTTTGACTGGCGCACAGAGTACTTTGACTGGCGCACAGAGTACTTTGACTGGCGCACAGAGTACTTTGACTGGCGCACAGAGTACTTTGACTGGCGCACAGAGTACTTTGACTGGCGCACAGAGTACTTTGACTGGCGCACAGAATACTTTGACTGGCGCACAGAGTACTTTGACTGGCGCAGTGAGCAGGATCCTGACACTGCGACACTGTCTCTGAGAGCGAGGCGGGAACCACCTAGAACCAAACCACCATAGATCCGCTGTAGATTCTGCTGAAATACTAGTCTTACTAATACTTCACACTAGTACTTCACACTAGTACTTCACACTAGTACTTCACACTAGTACTTCACACTAGTACTTCACACTAGTACTAGAGGCGACGGTAGCTCAGTTGGTAGAGCATTGGCCTTTGAGCCAGAGGGTCGTGGGTTCGAGCCCGACCTTCACCATCGACTCCCACTGTCTGCTGTCGTTGTGTCCTTGGGCAAGACACTTAACCTCTGGGAACAGCCACAGTGGGGCGGCTGTGGCTGTAAAGTGCCAAACTGTGGTTGTGTCCTTAGGCAAGACACTTCCCCCACATTAGAAAGATTCTGGTGTGTGTGTGTGAGTGGTTGTTGGTGGTGGGAAGGTTGCCTCGCTTCTGTCAGTGTGCCCCAGGGCAGCTGTGGCTTCAGTAGTTTGTCACCACTGTGTTTGGAGAGAGAGGATAATGACATGTGTGTTGTTAGTGTCGTGTTGTTGTGTGTGGTGTTAGTGTCGTGTTGTTGTGTGTCGCTGTGTGTGGTGTTAGTGTCGTGTTGCTGTGTGTGGTGTTAGTGTCGTGTTGCTGTGTGTGGTGTTAGTGTCGTGTTGTTGTGTGTCGCTGTGTGTGGTGTTAGTGTCGTGTTGTTGTGTGTCGCTGTGTGTGGTGTTAGTGTCGTGTTGTTGTGTGTCGCTGTGTGTGGTGTTAGTGTCGTCCTTGGCTCTGTCTTTGTGTAAATTGTGTTTTAATGCCGTCTGCACATTAGACTTGCGCTCGCTTGGACTTTACAAACACAAGTCAATTTAGTCCCGTTCATTTGCATACGAGTGGTTCCAGAACAAACCTGTGGGCGTTCCTGGGTTGCCTCGTCCTCAGTCTGTAAAGGTCACGTCTTCCTGCTGCAGATGGAAACACAGCCACGGTCATTTAGCTTTATCTACTTTATCAATCAACAGCTGTTTTTATTATGTTCTATTACTGTCAGACCGTGATGTAGTACTGTCGACCCTCTGAAGCTAAGCAGGGCAGGGGCTGGTTAGTGCTGTGATGGGAGAGGGCTGAAGCTAAGCAGAGCAGGGCCTGGTTAGTGCTGTGATGGGAAACCTCTGAAGCTAAGCAGAGCAGGGCCTGGTTACTGCTGTGATGGGAGACCTCTGAAGCTAAGCAGGGCAAGGGCTGGTTAGTGCTGTGATGGGAAACCTCTGAAGCTAAGCAGAGCAGGGCCTGGTTACTGCTGTGATGGGAGACCTCTGAAGCTAAGCAGGGCAAGGGCTGGTTAGTGCTGTGATGGGACAGGGCTGAAGCTAAGCAGAGCAGGGGCAAGACCTTCTCCACCAACTCGCACTGATGTCGGCTGTCGTTATGTCCTTGGGCAAGACACTTAACCATACTTTGCCTGAAGCCCCCGCTGAAAGATCAAGGTAGCTCAAACTAGAGCAGAGGATCAGGGGCTGATGCTGACTGCCACCCCCGACAGAAATGGATTAAGGGGAAGGAAATGGACGGATGGATGAAGTTGGATGGATGACACTGAGAAAGTGCCTCAATGACGACTTTATGTTAGCAGCAGAGGACCACATAAAATGGCACAGAGGGCCACAATTGGCCCGCAGGCCTGAGTTTGGACGCGCCTAGTCTATAGTAAGGTCTACAGTAATGTCTAAACTCTACAGTAATGTCTAAACTCTACAGTTATGTCTAAACTCTACAGTAATGTCTAAACTCTACAGTAATGTCTAAACTCTACAGTAATGTCTACAATTACAATACAATACAATACAATTTATTCTTGTATAGCCCTAGGTCACAACAGAAGTCATCTCAGAGACTTAACAAAACCATTGAAATCACCAACACAGGTCAGAGAATCAACAGTTAAAACACATGAAGAATATAAAGCACACACAGAAGAAAATGTCCATACATGTTGTAGAATGCTAAAGTGTCCTGATCATCACCAATCCTTTCTGTTGGACACTAACTGTCCAACAAGACCCTCCTGCATCCACAAGGAACAACTCTTAAAAAACCCAGTGGGAAAAAGTGAGAAACCTTGGGGAGCACTAGGGAAACCCACAGGGAGGGAGACCCATATGAGAAAGGGATCCGCTCCTCCGGACGGACAGACTAATGATCTAGGACCTAAGCTAGCTACAGAACGTGGACCAGTGGACGCTGAACGTGGACAGGTCCGGTGCAGGACTGAAGCACTCCCAGGCGGGTCGGGCGGGGCAGTCCGCAGGTGTAGATGGAGGAGGCCAGGCTCAGAGATCCCGTCATCGTACCATGAAACAGACAATGGGACAACGGGTGAATAGCAATGAACAAACTACAGTCAGAATCCTAAAAGTGCTAAACAGATAAAGTAGATAAAGTAGGAAGGAGGAGAGGATAGTGCTCAAGTTACCATACTTCTCCAGCAGGGGGCTCCCTATGCAGCTTGACTGACACTCTGAGGAGTTTAACCTTCCCAGAGTCTTACCTTCCTAGCCATATGCTAAACTAAAGAGGACTGTTTTAAACCTAGCCTTGAATAAAGAGATTCATGGATTGCACACCAGTAGTGCCAAACCGATCCAAGCAAACCTAATTATATATTATATATCATATACATCATATATACCATACATACCATATATATCATAAATAATACACAACATAACATACAGCATAATATATAACATAATATACAACATAACACAATACATTATTGTATAATTTATAACATAATATATAACATAATACAGCATATATATATAATATATACACCATATATTATATATTACCTAATTATATGCTAAATTAAAGTAAAGTGCTTTAAGCCTGGCCTTGAATGTGGAGACCGTATCTGCTTCCTTAACATAAATGAAGCTGATTCCACAGTAAAGGAGCTTGGTAGCTAAATGCTCTGCCACCAACAGTAACCTTTGAGACCTTAGGGACCACCAGACGTCTGGCGTTTTGTGAGCGCAACGCTCGACTTGGTTGATACGACACTAACGTGTCTTGGAGATAAGAAGGAGCCAAGCCATTTATGGCTTTATATGTTAAGAGTAGGATTTTAAACTTTATTCTGTACTCCACAGGGAGCCAGTGGAGTGATTTTAACACCGGAGTTATGTGCTCCCTCCTTTTGGTACCTGTTAAGATCCTAGCTGCTGTATTCTGAACGAGCTGGAAGCTCTTCAAAGAGGCTTTAGGGCACGCTGCCAATAAAGCGTTACAGTCGAGTCTTGAGGTGACAAACGCGTGAATGAGTTTTTCCGCGTCACTTTTAGGAAGGAAATTCCTAATTTTAGCGATGTTCCGTAGGTGGAAGTACGCCGTTTTAGTTGCTTGGCTTATATAAGCCTTGAAGGAGAGTTCTTGGTCAAAAATGACTCCAAGATTCCTCACAGTGTTACTGGGTACAATACTGACACCCATCAAGAGTAATTATCTGGTTAGCGAGGGAGTCACGCAGGCGACTGAGACCGGCCTCTCTCACCTCCCTCTGCTCCTTCAGGACGCACACACAGAATCAGAAAGACTTTTATCCCTTCAGCCATGTAGGATGGGTGTATCGTCCTTCTGTGTTCTATGTTTGTGACGGTGTCTGTGGAAATGGATTTCTCTCAGGGACAAAAATGGTCTATCTATCCATCTATCTCTCTGTTGTGATTAGGGACTATACATTATACCCATACTATACTATTACATATTGCATGTAAAGTCTGCTATTTTGGCGCCTAAAGTATATCAAAATAAACGTCTATGTTCTGTATCATCTGTATAGCCTTATATCTGACTTATCCCACTACCCAAACTAGTCCCTTCCTCTACGTGTGCGCGCCCTGTGTCCACTTAACCAGGGGCCACTCGGGTACGCTCACCCAGGAGCTGTCCGTGGTGCTGAACCCAGTCTCGTCTCGTCTGACTCTGGACCCCGCGTGTTGTGCGTGCATGTGCCGTGTGCGTACGTGGGAGAGCAGAGAGAAGGCTCGTGGATAAAGATGAAGTTGACACCCCCTCTTTCCTCCTCCCTCCCCCCTCTCTTTCCCCCCCGCGAGCTATTGATTGCTGAATACATTAGGAGAAGCCTGAACGTGCCCTGAATGCACAACACACACAAACACGGGCTGGCGTCATCTCCGCGTCTGTTTCCACGCTTTTATATTCAACTTTCTTGTTTTTTTCCCTGCGTAATTTGTACTACCACCTCTCCGCTCTACTCACACTACTATAAAACCTGCTTGTACTATTGCTTACTACTGCATTACGTGCCCCGCATTGCAGCTCATCCAAGGACGAGCTCGTATACGAGCCCGTGCCATAATAACGACAACCCAACCTCCCCCCAAAAACCCATCACCATCACCACAGGCCATATTTCACCTTAATAATGCGTTTTACCAAATGACAGGCTTGGATTGGAAAGGACAGACCGGGGGGAAGAGTAATGAATGAAAGAAGGACAGAGAACGCGTGCGCCATGTTGCTCCAAAACGGTTTTTACGCGTGGATAGTGAGCGCGGGAGAAGGTCGCCTGTTACACTCTATGTGCCTGGACTGAGAAACAGGTGATGGTGATGTCAGATGGTGATGAGACTGGGATGAAGTTGGCATCAGACTGGGATGAAGGAATCAACGGGAGAAACTGCTGAAGTCCCATGGATAGCTTTCTTTTCCCTGCGTAAAAATCCAATAAAACAAGCTATAATTATTATAAAAAACTAAACGGCTCTCATTTAGTGTCTATCAAAGGAGATATGTGTCTTGGGACAGGTCCACATGCTTTACATAGTCACGCATACATTTGTATACACCACAGAATTTATCAAATAGACCTAATAAGACGCATAGGTAAGAGTACTTTGCTAAAAAAAACTGCTTCAATGTCGATTTTGGATACGCGCTAGTGATATTTACGCACAATTAGCCTTATCCCATCACTTTGCTTCACTATTTTCAATCCAAAACGTTAATTTCACATCCTCAAACTGCCAGTAAAGCACTTATCACAGCCGTACCAATCCATCCATTCGTTCTCCAGTCCAAACCCGGTCTCCAACGGGACAACGCGAGCCAATAATGACCTACCGTGCACCACGAATTTGAGCCGAGCCATCTTCCCCGCCACAGCCGAGACCAGAAGCGACAACAGGACGAGCGATTTCATGCTTGTATATAGCTTTCTCTTCTCGCGTCCTCCTTGTTCCAAAAAAATATTTAAAGCAGCGATCGTCGTGCGTTTTGTTCTCCTCTTGGGACGTCAACCCCTAAAATCCACACACACCTCACAGATCAGACCAGCGCGCTGCCTCTGCCTCTGCCTCTGACACCTCCTTCTCTCTCCAGTCTCCTCTCTGGACGCACGCCTGGGTTTCGGATGGAGAGAGTGAGAGGAGGGAGGAGAGGGAGAGAGGAGGAGGGAGAGCGTGCGTTTTGGATGATGGGGGAGTGAAGTGTGTAGGAGCGAGAGGCCAGGACGCACGGAGGAGGAGCAGACGGTGAGACGAGAGAGCTCAGACCGAGGCGCACATGTCAGACCTGTTGCGGAGGAGAATGATGGAGGATTTGGCGCTAATTGTCTCGCGCCTCCGAGTCCGGTTTTGATTGTTCTTTTGGTTAGGCCTGTTCTGAACCGATCTATGCACGCAGCTGTTTGTATTGACGGAAGATGATGGATAATTATAATGGATTTTACTGAAAGGATAAAACACAGAGAGAGAAAGAGGTCTTGGCTTCTTTATTACGCTAAAGTCAGAGATTTTATTTTGTTTTAGTAAATAGTTTTTGCACTGGCTTTCTGTGGCTCAGAGCTCTCTCCATGGCCTCGCACCAAAGTACATCTGTGATATGTTAGTGCCATTTGGACCAACTCTGAGGAGCACAGGGACTGGCCTCCTGCTCGGACTCTGATGAGCACAGGGACTGGCCTCCTGCTCGGACTCTGAGGAGCACAGGGACCGGCCTCCTGCTGGGACTCTGAGGAGCACAGGGAATGGCCTCCTACTGGGACTCTGAGGAGCACAGGGACTGGCTCGGGACTCTGAGGAGCACAGGGACTGGCCTCCTGCTGGGACTCTGAGGAGCACAGGGACCGGCCTCCTGCTGGTCCCAGAGTCAGGACTAAACATGAGAAGGCAGCGTTTCAGATTTGTGCAGCTAAAATCCTGAACAGTCTTCCTGAAAATGTCAGACAGGCTTCTTCTCCAGGTTAAAACAGTTTCGCTGCAACGACCGTTATTTTTATTGTAGTGTGATACTGCAAGTTGCCTTGAGTATGAACTGTGCTATATACAATTAAACTTGCTTCACATTAATCTATGTCAGACTCTTGGACCCCTCGACACGTCCGGCCCGTCAGTCTCCTTCCCTGCCGTTACCATAGCAATACCAGTGTTAGCCGTAGCATTAGCTTCCACAATGTTTTGACTCCTGTCTTTACTTTCCATTAAAAAGAGCATCTCCCACAGCTCTGAGCGGAGAGACCAGGCGCTAGCTCAGCACATCTGAAGCTAGCTGCTGATCCCCGCAGACTCCGGGGCAGTATCGAGGCTCATTGATTGGATGGATTCCACAGCTGCGCTCTGATTGGCTGCAGGAAGGCCATAAACGCCCCTTTGTGATCAGACTCTGATTCATGACGCCTGAGACTGAGACTAACTGGACTACCGCACTTTGTGTTCATTTTAAGTGCTTTATAAATCATATTTGATGCATTGATTGATATGAAGCGTGTCCAAAAAACTGCAGTTTAAAACCAAAACATTATTATTAACACTATTATTAACTGGGACTGGGACTAGGACCAGGACTAGGACTGGGACTGGGACTGGGTCTAGGACCAGGACTGGGACTGGGACTAGGACCAGGACTAGGACGAGGACTGGGACCAGCAATAGGACTATAAGACTAGAACTAAGATTAGAACAAGGACGAGGACTAGGACAAGGACTTGGATTTGGACTAGGACTAGGACTAGAACTAGGATTAGAACTAGTACGCAGACTAAAACGAGGATTAGAACTTGGACGAGGACTAGTCTAGGATCAAACTTTGCATGTCTAATCTACTTTAACATAGATGCTGGACTCTTAAATACTTAGTTCTAAAAACTTTAAAGGCGACTCTGGATTATTGAGTAAAAAAAACACATATTTTTCCTCAGTGTGAACAAGCCTTTAGTCTGGGATTAGACCTGGTCTGAACTGGTCTGCAGCAGCGACTCTGGGCCGAAGCCAAACACATTAATTTAGTGTCGCTGAGACCGAGGCAGAGGCTGAAGAAGCAAAGGTACAAGTTCAATCTTCAGACGACTTTGTTAACGCACAAACTGTAATGTAGTTTTATCACAACAACTGCAAATGGAAACATCAGGCAAGTTTTTTTGTGTAGCACAGTTCATACACACAGAGACACAAAGGATCAACAAAACCATAAAGACACAGTCACACAAGGCAAGAAAATAATAAATAATCACAGCACATTAGAAAGAGTAAAGACACAGTCCTTCAGTTGTGTTTTTAACCTGAGTTTGGACTTTATCAGAGAAGAAGCCTGTCTCACATCTTCAGGAAGACTGCTCTAGATTTTAGCTGCATGAATCTGATTCTGTCTCATCATAGTCCTGACTCTGGGATCAGCAGGAGGCCAGTCCCTGTGCTCCTGTCATATGGTACAAACATGTCACAGATGTACTTTGAGGCGATGGAGAGACTTGTAACAATCAAAGCTGATTTAAAATCTATTCTCTGACCTACAGGTGCAGAGACCTGAGACCAGGACTAGGTTCTAGTCCGGACTAATGTGATGGTACTTCCTGGTTCTAGTCAGGGCTAATGTGATGGTACTTCCTGGTTCTAGTCAGGGCTAATGTGATGGTTCTTCCTGGTTCTAGTCAGGACTAATTTGATGGTACTTCCTGGTTCTAGTCAGGGCTAATTTGATGGTACTTCCTGGTTCTAGTCAGGGCTAATGTGATGGTACTTCCTGGTTCTAGTCAGGACTAATGTGATGGTACTTCCTGGTTCTAGTCAGGACTAATGTGATGGTACTTCCTGGTTCTAGTGCGGACCAATGTGATGGTTCTTCCTGGTTCTAGTCCGGACAAATGGGATGGTTCTTCCTGGTTCTAGTCCGGACAAATGTGATGGTTCTTCCTGGTTCTAGTCAGGGCTAATGTGATGGTACTTCCTGGTTCTAGTCAGGCTAATGTGATGGTACTGTCCTGGTTCTAGTCAGGGCTAATGTGATGGTACTTCCTGGTTCTAGTGCGGACTAATGTGATGGTTCTTCCTGGTTCTAGTCAGGGCTAATGTGATGGTACTTCCTGGTTCTAGTCAGGGCTAATGTGATGGTACTTCCTGGTTCTAGTCAGGGCTAATGTGATGGTACTTCCTGGTTCTAGTCTGGACTAATGGGATGGTTCTTCCTGGTTCTAGTCTGGACTAATGGGATGGTTCTTCCTGGTTCTAGTCAGGGCTAATGTGATGGTACTTCCTGGTTCTAGTCAGGACTAATGTGATGGTTCTTCCTGGTTCTAGTGCGGACTAATGTGATGGTTCTTCCTGGTTCTAGTCAGGGCTAATGTGATGGTACTTCCTGGTTCTAGTCTGGACTAATGGGATGGTTCTTCCTGGTTCTAGTCTGGACTAATGGGATGGTTCTTCCTGGTTCTAGTCAGGACTAATGTGATGGTACTTCCTGGTTCTAGTCAGGGCTAATGTGATGGTACTTCCTGGTTCTAGTCAGGACTAATGTGATGGTTCTTCCTGGTTCTAGTGCGGACTAATGTGATGGTTCTTCCTGGTTCTAGTCAGGGCTAATGTGATGGTACTTCCTGGTTCTAGTCAGGGCTAATGTGATGGTACTTCCTGGTTCTAGTCAGGACTAATGTGATGGTTCTTCCTGGTTCTAGTCAGGACTAATGTGATGGTTCTTCCTGGTTCTAGTCGGGACTAATGTGATGGTACTTCCTGGTTCTAGTCAGGACTAATGTGATGGTAGTCCGGACTAATTTGAGGCTTCTTCCTGGTTAGTCCTGGTACTTCCTGGTGTTTGTCCGGACTCGATCTGCAGTGTTTTGAAAATACTGTTTTACGAGTGGTTTGGAGAGACCCGTGAGCAGCTGTTACAGTCTGACCTGCTGCGTTAGAATCTACAACTCTGCTTTAGACCCTGATGTTTGATTATAACAATGTTTTTATTAAGATTGTAGCAGGCTTCTGATGTTACTGATGTGGCTTTTCAAATCTGAGTCTGAGTCCAGCGAAAACACAAGGGGTCCAAAACATACAACACAGAGTAAACCAGAGCAGTCAGGATCCACGGGAAAATAATGTAAAAAGCAAAGAGTTTAAGGTCCGAGGCACGAGAGACTTAACTTAAAAACCCTTTATTGTTGCCGTAGTGACGCATTTTTACCAATCTCCGATCTGGTCTTTTTAAAGTCTAAGTCTGAGTCCATTTGGATTTGATAAAAACCACAAAAACCATTAATCAACAATCAACAGTTTTAAAGTATTTTGATCATAACTTCCCTTTGACACATGTGACTGTCCTCTGGGACTCACAGGGACCATGCTCCTGGGACTCACAGGGACCATGCTCCTGGGACTCACAGGGACCATATGCTTCTGGGACTCACAGGGACCATGCTCCTGGGACTCACAGGGACCATGCTCCTCGGACTCACAGGGACCATGCTCCTGGGGCTCACAGGGACCATGCTTCTGGGACTCACAGGGACCATGCTTCTGGGACTCACAGGGACCATGCTCCTCGGACTCACAAGGACCATGCTCCTCGGACTCACAGGGACCATACTCCTGGGACTCACAGGGACCATGCTCCTGGGACTCACAGGGACCATACCCTGGGACTCACAGGGACCATGCTCCTGCGACTCAAAGGGACCATGCTCTCCTGGGACTCACAGGGACCATGCTCCTGCGACTCAAAGGGACCATGCTCCTGGGAATCACAGGGACCATGCTCCTGGGGCTCACAGGGACCATGCTTCTGGGACTCAAAGGGACCATGCTCCTCGGATTCACAGGGACCATGCTCCTCGGACTCACAGGGACCATGCTCCTCGGACTCACAGGAACCATGCTCCTCGGACTCACAGGGACCATGCTCCTGGGGCTCACAGGGACCATGCTTCTGGGACTCACAGGGACCATGCTCCTCGGACTCACAGGGACCATGCTCCTTGGGCTCACAGGGACCATACTTCTGGGACTCACAGGGACCATACCCTGGGACTCACAGGGACCATGCTCTGGGACTCACAGGGACAATGCTCCTGGGACTCACAGGGACAATGCTCCTGCGACTCAAAGGGACCATGCTCCTGGGAATCACAGGGACCATGCTCCTCGGACTCACAGGGACCATGCTCCTCGGACTCACAGGGACCATGCTCCTGGGGCTCACAGGGACCATGCTTCTGGGACTCACAGGGACCATACCCTGGGACTCACAGGGACCATGCTCCTCCAGGGACTCACAGGGACCATGCTCCTGGGACTCACAGGGACCATGCTGCTCACGGGACCACAGGGACCATGCTGCCTGGGACTCACAGGGACCATGCACCGGGGCTATCACAGGGACCACTTGGGACTCACAGGGACCATGCTCCTGGGACTCACGGGACCTATGGGACTCACAGGGACCATGACCTCTCTGGGACTCACAGGGACCATGCTATCACAGGGACAATGCTATCACAGGGACCATGCTATCACAGGGACCATGCTATCACAGGGACCATGCTATCACAGGGACCAATGCTATCACAGGGACCATGCTATCACAGGGACAATGCTATCACAGGGACAATGCTATCACAGGGACCATGCTATCACAGGGACCATGCTATCACAGGGACAATGCTATCACAGGGACCATGCTATCACAGGGACCATGCTATCACAGGGACCATGCTATCACAGGGACCATGCTATCACAGGGACCATGCTATCACAGGGACCATGCTATCACAGGGACAATGCTATCACAGGGACAATGCTATCACAGGGACCACGCTATCACAGGGACCACGCTATCACAGGGACCATGCTATCACTGGAACGGTGCTATCACAGGGACCATGCTATCACAGGGACCATGCTATCACAGGGACCATGCTATCACAGGGACCATGCTATCACAGGGACCACGCTATCACAGGGACCACGCTATCACAGGGACCATGCTATCACAGGGACCATGCTATCACAGGGACAATGCTATCACAGGGACCATGCTATCACAGGGACCACGCTATCACAGGGACCATGCTATCACAGGGACAATGCTATCACAGGGACCATGCTATCACAGGGACCATGCTATCACAGGGACCATGCTATCACAGGGACCATGCTATCACAGGGACCATGCTATCACAGGGACCACGCTATCACAGGGACCACGCTATCACAGGGACCATGCTATCACAGGGACCACGCTATCACAGGGACCATGCTATCACAGGGACCACGCTATCACAGGGATCATGCTATCACTGGAACGGTGCTATCACAGGGACCATGCTATCACAGGGACCACGCTATCACAGGGACCATGCTATCACAGGGACCACGCTATCACAGGGACCATGCTATCACAGGGACCATGCTATCACAGGGACAATGCTATCACAGGGACAATGCTATCACAGGGACAATGCTATCACAGGGACAATGCTATCACAGGGACAATGCTATCACAGGGACCACGCTATCACAGGGACCATGCTATCACAGGGACCACGCTATCACAGGGACCATGCTATCACAGGGACAATGCAAACTCAGGGACGGTGCTATCACAGGGACCGTACAATCACAGGGACCGTGCTATCACAGGGACCATGCTATCACAGGGACGGTGCTATCACAGGGACGGTGCTATCACAGGACGGTGCTATCACAAGGACAGTGCTAACACAGGGACCATGCTAACTCAGGGACCGTGCTAATTGCTAGCCCAGTGCATTGTAAAGGTCAGCCCCATATTATAATAGATCCATGGGTCAGAGGGACCCAGCCTCTGCTCTTCACTCTGAGGATAAGATGCTCCCTGTCGACAGTTTTAGTTTAATTGGGAAGAAGTTCTGGATTTGGAAGAATCTCAAAGACATGCAACTCAGACTTAAATATGTTTTAGTTTTACTGTGTTTAATATGAACAATAATGTGTAATTCTGGTCCTTCTAAAATCAGACACAGTGCATGTTGTACCATCTGTGACCACTTGGTGGCTCTATAGGTCAGTCCATGCACCGGTAAATGTTATTTACGCTATTTCATGTGTTTTAATATATAATAATATGTTTATAATAAAGCACTAATAATAATAATCATTATGTTAAAGATGTTTATGTTTGTGTAATATCTTTGCTCCAGGGCAGCTGTGGCTACGGCAGCAGTTTATTACCACCTTGTACTGGATTGGGGTTAGCAAAAACAATACAATGCAGTATTAACAAATAAAATAATAAAACAAAGTATTAAGTAAAACAAACGCAGGATCATTCATTTTCATCCCTTTATTTTTCTGGGTCAGGGCTTCACAAAGCACCAGTCCCTGATCCTCTGCAGGGGGTCCACAGGAGGATGGCTGCTCCTTCAACACAGATATGGCCTTGATCTTTCAGTGGGAACTTCAAGCAAAGTGGGGTTAAGTGTCTTGCCCAAGGACACAACGACATGGGTCATGGTGGGATCGAACCCACGACCATTAGGTCCAAAGATCAACACTCTACCAACTGAGCTACTATCGCCCCCAATTATTTAATAATAATAAAAATAAAAATATTGATAATAATAATAATTATTATTATTATTCATCCATGAATCATCTATTTTCTTCATCTTAATCCATTTCTGGGTCTAGTCAATACTTTTCTAGAATAATGAGATCCATGTAAAAGTCACTTTCCTCCAGATTTTCTCCAAAGTCTACATCAAATCCCCTTTTCTCTTCATTACCGCCTTAAGAGGCCGATATATATGCTCCTGTATAGTGCTAATATACTTGATATATACTCCTGTATAGTGCTAATATACTTGATATATGCTCCTGTATAGTGCTAATATACTTGATATATACTCCTGTATAGTGCTAATATACTTGATATATGCTCCTGTATAGTGCTAATATACTTGATATATACTCCTGTATAGTGCTAATATACTTGATATATGCTCCTGTATAGTGCTAATATACTTGATATATACTCCTGTATAGTGCTAATATACTTGATATATGCTCCTGTATAGTGCTAATATACTTGATATATACTCCTGTATAGTGCTAATATACTTGATATATGCTCCTGTATAGTGCTAATATACTTGATATATGCTCCTGTATAGTGCTAATATACTTGATATATGCTCCTGTATAGTGCTAATATACTTGGATATATGCTCCTGTATAGTGCTAATATACTTGATATATGCTCCTGTATAGTGCTAATATACTTGATATATACTCCTGTATAGTGCTAATATACTTGATATATACTCCTGTATAGTGCTAATATACTTGATATATACTCCTGTATAGTGCTAATATACTTGATATATGCTCCTGTATAGTGCTAATATACAGGATATATGCTCCTGTATAGTGCTAATATACTGGATATATGCTCCTGTATAGTGCTAATATACTTGATATATGCTCCTGTATAGTGCTAATATACTTGATATATACTCCTGTATAGTGCTAATATACTTGATATATACTCCTGTATAGTGCTAATATACTGGATATATGCTCCTGTATAGTGCTAATATACTGGATATATGCTCCTGTATAGTGCTAATATACTTGATATATACTCCTGTATAGTGCTAATATACTTGATATATACTCCTGTATAGTGCTAATATACTTGATATATGCTCCTGTATAGTGCTAATATACTTGATATATACTCCTGTATAGTGCTAATATACTTGATATATGCTCCTGTATAGTGCTAATATACTTGATATATGCTCCTGTATAGTGCTAATATACTTGATATATGCTCCTGTATAGTGCTAATATACTTGATATATGCTCCTGTATAGTGCTAATATACTTGATATATACTCCTGTATAGTGCTAATATACTTGATATATGCTCCTGTATAGTGCTAATATACTTGATATATACTCCTGTATAGTGCTAATATACTTGATATATACTCCTGTATAGTGCTAATATACTTCTCAATAAGACCATAACGAGCAGCTCTCTCTCTCGCCGCGTGTTCAGCGTCTGAAGCCGCCGCAAAGAGACCAGAAGCGTGACCTCTGACTTTGTTATGGCTCACTCCGTTCTTTGTTTTTCTGATAACGAGCTGAAAACGGAGAGAGACCGGAACGAAGGAGGGCGCTTCAGACTTTAGACAGAATATGTTTTTATCTTTTTATAAGCAAAATAATCTATACAAACCTACATCAAAGAGACATATAGACTCTGAGACATATAGACTGTGAGATATATAGACTCTGAGACATATAGACCGTGAGACATATAGACTCTGAGACATATAGACTGTGAGATATATAGACTGTGAGATATATAGACTCTGAGACATATAGACTGTGAGACATATAGACTCTGAGATATATAGACTCTGAGACATATAGACTGTGAGACATATAGACTCTGAGATATATAGACTCTGAGACATATAGACTCTGAGACATATAGACTCTGAGATATATAGACTCTGAGACATATAGACTCTGAGACATATAGACTCTGAGACATATAGACTCTGAGACATATAGACTCTGAGACATATAGACTGTGAGACATATAGACTCTGAGATATATAGACTCTGAGACATATAGACTCTGAGACATATAGACCGTGAGACATATAGACTCTGAGACATATAGACTGTGAGACATATAGACTCTGAGACATATAGACTCTGAGACATATAGACCGTGAGACATATAGACTCTGAGATATATAGACTCTGAGACATATAGACTCTGAGACATATAGACTGTGAGACATATAGACTCTGAGATATATAGACTCTGAGACATATAGACTCTGAGACATATAGACTCTGAGATATATAGACTGTGAGACATATAGACTCTGAGATATATAGACTCTGAGACATATAGACTCTGAGACATATAGACTCTGAGACATATAGACTCTGAGACATATAGACTCTGAGACATATAGACTGTGAGACATATAGACTCTGAGATATATAGACTCTGAGACATATAGACTCTGAGACATATAGACTGTGAGACATATAGACTGTGAGACATATAGACTCTGAGATATATAGACTCTGAGACATATAGACTCTGAGACATATAGACTGTGAGACATATAGACTCTGAGATATATAGACTCTGAGACATATAGACTCTGAGACATATAGACTCTGAGACATATAGACTCTGAGACATATAGACTCTGAGACATATAGACTGTGAGACATATAGACTCTGAGATATATAGACTCTGAGACATATAGACTCTGAGACATATAGACTCTGAGACATATAGACTGTGAGATATATAGACTTTGAGATATATAGACTGTGAGATATATAGACTCTGAGATATATAGACTGTGAGATATATAGACTCTGAGACATATAGACTGTGAGATATATAGACTCTGAGACATATAGACTCTGAGACATATAGACTCTGAGACATATAGACTCTGAGACATATAGACCGTGAGATATATAGACTCTGAGACATATAGACCGTGAGATATATAGACTCTGAGACATATAGACTCTGAGACATATAGACTCTGAGACATATAGACTGTGAGACATATAGACTCTGAGACATATAGACTGTGAGACATATAGACTCTGAGACATATAGACTGTGAGACATATAGACTCTGAGATATATAGACTGTGAGACATATAGACGTGTGTGTACTGTGTATACAGTGTGTGTCTCTGTGTGTGTCTCTCTGTGTGTATCTCTGTGTGTGTCTCGGTGTGTGTGTGTCTGTGTGTATCTCTGTGTGTGTCTCGGTGTGTGTCTCTCTGTGTGTATCTCTGTGTGTGTCTCGGTGTGTGTGTCTCGGTGTGTGTGTATCTCTGTGTGTGTCTCGGTGTGTGTCTCTCTGTGTGTATCTCTGTGTGTGTCTCAGTGTGTGTCTCTCTGTGTGTATCTCTGTGTGTGTCTCGGTGTGTGTGTGTCTCTCTGTGTGTATCTCTGTGTGTGTCTCGGTGTGTGTGTCTGTGTGTGTGTCTGTGTGTGTGTGTCTCGGTGTGTGTGTCTCGGTGTGTGTGTGTCTCTCTGTGTGTATCTCTGTGTGTGTCTCGGTGTGTGTGTGTCTGTGTGTATCTCTGTGTGTGTCTCGGTGTGTGTGGAGAGAGAATGGAGGGAAATGAAAAAGCAGGAGGATGATATGGGAGCAGTGCCCTCCACAGCTCGGGATCATTGACGTGGCTCTCTGCAGATAAGAACAAACAAACTTTAAATCAGAAAGGATGAGAGAGGCCACGGCCCGTCCAAATGGAACCCACTGCTGCGCGGCTGTATGCGGCTGTGTGCGGCTGTATGCGGCTGTGTGCGGCTGCGGAGGCTTATTCTGAGCATGTCCTGGGTTTACGGAGAGTGGCCGGAGTCACGTTCCTAAACGCATTGTGGCCCCGGAGTGCAGCTGCAGACAGAGGCTTAGTGCAGTAATGTCTCTGGGATGTGCTGCTGATGGAGGTTTGAGGACGTCCAGGATCAGGAGCACAAACAGATCAAGATAACACTCCTGGATTCTCTTCACGAGCCATGAGCAAAGATTAGATTCTCCAAACATTTGTGCTTTCTCCCGTTTTGGCGCCGCATGGATTTAAGGATATGAAACCTTTCCCTGAAGTAATGTGGCGGAACATCAGACGACAGCGGCCATTGACAGAGCTGCGGAGGAGGAGGAGGAGGAGGAGGAGGAGGGGGAGGAGGAGGGGGAGGAGGAGGAGGAGGAGGAGGAGGAGGAGGAGGGGGAGGAGGGGGAGGGGGAGGGGGAGGAGGAGGAGGAGTCAGGAGGAGGAGGGGGAGGAGGAGGAGGAGGGTGAGGAGGAGGAGGAGGAGGAGGAGGGGGAGGAGGGTGAGGAGGAGGAGGAGGAGGGTGAGGAGGAGGAAGAGGAGGAGGAGGGGGAGGAGGGTGAGGAGGAGGAGGAGGAGGAGGGTGAGGAGGAGGAGGAGGAGGGTGAGGAGGAGGAAGAGGAGGAGGAGGGGGAGGAGGGTGAGGAGGAGGAGGGAGGAGGAGGGTGAGGAGGAGGAGGAGGAGGAAGAGGAGGAGGAGGAGGAGGAGGAGGCGGCGCAGGGCGGACGTGCTGCTGCTGCGTGATGTCCTTGTCATGTGTGTGCGCAGGAGAATGAGGTCACACACTTCACAAGTGCCACTATATAGTGCTAAAAACAATGCGACATTAAGGCTGCGACAATAAAGGGACGGCACGCTGGCTGAGTGGTTAGCACTCTCGCCTCTCAGCAACAAGGTCCTGGGTTCGAATTCCGGTCGGACCAGGGTCTTTCTGAGTGGAGTTCGCATGATCTCCCTGTGTCTGCGTAGATTTCCTCCGGGTGCTCCGGTTTCCCCTACCACTAAAAACATGTACAATAGTTCAGGGTGAAAGAGGGTCAAATGCAGAGGATGAATTAGGGATCAATAAAGTGCACCTTTAGCTCTAAATACTTTTTTATTTTATTTATCTATTTATTTGATAAAGGGGGAACAATACATATTAATGAACATTTTTACAAATGTAAATATGCCAGATTATAGCCTTAGGCTAATTCCATCTGCAGACCCCCTGCAGGTCGGTGTTACACACAAGTTAGTAAAAACAAACAGAGACACTATTTATATACAGAGAGAGAGGGACAGTGATCACATGTTAGAACAACCAGCAAGAGTGGACAGTGAAGCACAATGTAGAAAACAGTAACAGAAAAACATCATCTGTATTGCACAAACCCGAGTATTGCACATGCCCTGACTGACCTGATATTACACAGACCCGTATTGCACCACTCTATATTGCACAAACCCTCATTACACTGACCCGTGTTGGACCACTCCTTATTGCACTGACCCAGCTTGTATGGACCTGTATTGCACAGCCCACATTACAATGATAACCGTTTCCCGCTCTGCACCAGCTCTATCTAAACATGGTCACATGTTTGTCCCTCAGCCACATTTTTAAATGACTCCTGAAGGTAGGCTGGTTCTTTCTCTCACTGACACCGGAATACTGTTCCAGAAGCTCCCTCCCTGATATGACAGGACGTTCTGTGAGAAAGCGGTCCGCCTAAATGTCAGTTCACAGTCGCCTCTCGCGGTGGTTCGAGTCACTCGAGACCTGGCAGCACTACTAGACTTTGGTTTAATAAAATCGCTCATTGGAGGAGGCGCTAGACCATGTATAACCTTGTAGATTAGGCATGCTGATTTAAACAATTTGAAATTATCAAAATTTAATAATTTATATTTGTCTAAGATTTGACAATGATGGTATGACGAAGGCTTCTTTTCTACATTCATTCATTCACCTATTTTCTTCCTCTTTATCCATTTCTTGGTGGGGGTGGCAGTTAGAGCTGTACCCAGTGTCTTGCCCAAGGACACACCAACAGCAGACAGTGGGAGTCGCTGGATTCGTTCTTCAAGCTGTAACTTTCTGATTGATAGATTTTCACACTGGGCTCTGTGTGTGGCTCTGTGTGGCTCTGTGTGTGGCTCTGTGTGGCTCTGTGTGAGGATCTGTGTGTGGCTCTGTGTGGCTCTGTGTGGCTCTGTGTGTGGATCTGTGTGTGGATCTGTGTGTGGCTCTGTGTGGCTCTGTGTGTGGCTCTGTGTGTGACTCTGTGTGTGACTCTGTGTGTGGCTCTGTGTGTGGCTCTGTGTGTGGCTCTGTGTGTGACTCTGTGTGTGACTCTGTGTGTGGCTCTGTGTGTGGCTCTGTGTGTGGCTCTGTGTGTGACTCTGTGTGTGACTCTGTGTGTGGCTCTGTGTGGCTCTGTGTGTGGCTCTGTGTGTGGCTCTGTGTGTGACTCTGTGTGTGACTCTGTGTGTGACTCTGTGTGTGGCTCTGTGTGTGGCTCTGTGTGTGACTCTGTGTGTGACTCTGTGTGTGGCTCTGTGTGTGGCTCTGTGTGTGGCTCTGTGTGTGGCTCTGTGTGTGGCTCTGTGTGGCTCTGTGTGTGGCTCTGTGGCTCTGTGTGTGGCTCTGTGTGTGACTCTGTGTGGCTCTGTGTGTGTCTCTGTGTGTGACTCTGTGTGGCTCTGTGTGTGGCTCTGTGTGTGGCTCTGTGTTTGGCTCTGTGTGCGACTCTGTGTGTGACTCTGTGTGTGGCTCTGTGTGTGGCTCTGTGTGTGTCTCTGTGTGTGGCTCTGTGTGTGGCTCTGTGTGGCTCTGTGTGTGTCTCTGTGTGTGGCTCTGTGTGTGGCTCTGTGTGTGGCTCTGTGTGGCTCTCTGTGTGGCTCTGTGTGGCTCTGTGTGTGGCTCTGTGTGTGGCTCTGTGTGTGGCTCTGTGTGTGGCTCTGTGTGTGGCTCTGTGTGGCTCTCTGTGTGGCTCTGTGTGGCTCTGTGTGTGGATCTGTGTGTGGCTCTGTGTGTGGCTCTGTGTGTGGCTCTGTGTGTGGCTCTGTGTGGCTCTGTGTGTGACTCTGTGTGTGGCTCTGTGTGACTCTGTGTGTGACTCTGTGTGTGGCTCTGTGTGTGGCTCTGTGGCTCTGTGTGTGTCTCTGTGTGTGGCTCTGTGTGGCTCTGTGTGTGTCTCTGTGTGGCTCTGTGTGTGGCTCTGCGTGTGGCTCTGTGTGGCTCTGTGTGTGGCTCTGTGTGTGGCTCTGTGTGCGACTGTTTGTGGCTCTGTGTGGGGCTCTGTGTCTGGCTCTGTGTGTGGCTCTGTGTGTGTCTCTGTGTGTGGCTCTGTGTGTGGCTCTGTGTGTGGCTCTGTGTGGCTCTGTGTGTGGCTCTGTGTGGCTCTGTGTGTGGCTCTGTGGCTCTCTGTGTGGCTCTGTGTGTGACTCTGTGTGGCTCTGTGTGTGTCTCTGTGTGTGACTCTGTGTGGCTCTGTGTGTGGCTCTGTGTGTGGCTCTGTGTGTGGCTCTGTGTGCGACTCTGTGTGTGGCTCTGTGTGTGACTCTGTGTGTGGCTCTGTGGCTCTGTGTGTTTCTCTGTGTGTGGCTCTGTGTGGCTCTGTGTGTGTCTCTGTGTGTGGCTCTGTGTGTGGCTCTGTGTGGCTCTGTGTGTGGCTCTGTGTGTGGCTCTGTGTGTGGCTCTCTGTGTGGCTCTGTGTGGCTCTCTGTGTGGCTCTGTGTGGCTCTCTGTGTGGCTCTGTGTGTGGATCTGTGTGTGGCTCTGTGTGTGGCTCTGTGTGTGGCTCTGTGTGGCTCTGTGTGTGGCTCTGTGTGTGGCTCTGTGTGACTCTGTGTGTGACTCTGTGTGTGGCTCTGTGTGTGTCTCTGTGTGTGGCTCTGTGTGTGCTCTGTGGCTCTGTGTGTCTCTGTGTGTGTCTCTGTGTGGCTCTGTGTGTGGCTCTGCGTGTGGCTCTGTGTGGCTCTGTGTGGCTCTGTGTGTGGCTCTGTGTGTGGCTCTGTGTGGGGCTCTGTGTCTGGCTCTGTGTGTGGCTCTGTGTGTGGCTCTGTGTGTGTCTCTGTGTGTGGCTCTGTGTGTGGCTCTTTGTGGCTCTGTGTGTGGCTCTGTGTGTGTCTCTGTGTGGCTCTGTGTGTGCCTCTGTGTGGCTCTGTGTGTGGCTCTGTGTGTGGCTTTGTGCGTGGCTCTGTGCGTGGCTCTGTGTGTGGCTCTGTGGCTCTGTGTGTGTCTCTGTGTGTGGCTCTGTGTGGCTCTGTGTGTGTCTCTGTGTGGCTCTGTGTGGCTCTGTGTGTGTCTCTGTGTGGCTCTGTGTGGCTCTGTGTGTGGCTCTGTGTGTGGCTCTGTGTGCGACTGTTTGTGGCTCTGTGTGGGGCTCTGTGTCTGGCTCTGTGTGTGGCTCTGTGTGTGTCTCTGTGTGTGGCTCTGTGTCTGGCTCTGTGTGTGGCTCTGTGTGTGGCTCTGTGTGTGGCTCTGTGTGTGGCTCTGTGTGGCTCTGTGTGTGGCTCTGTGGCTCTGTGTGTGGCTCTGTGTGTGACTCTGTGTGGCTCTGTGTGTGTCTCTGTGTGTGACTCTGTGTGGCTCTGTGTGTGGCTCTGTGTGTGGCTCTGTGTGTGGCTCTGTGTGCGACTCTGTGTGTGGCTCTGTGTGTGGCTCTGTGTGGCTCTCTGTGTGGCTCTGTGTGTGGCTCTGTGTGTGGCTCCGTGTGTGGCTCTGTGTGGCTCTGTGTGTGGCTCTGTGTGGCTCTGTGTGTGGCTCTGTGGCTCTGTGTGTGGCTCTGTGTGTGACTCTGTGTGGCTCTGTGTGTGTCTCTGTGTGTGACTCTGTGTGGCTCTGTGTGTGGCTCTGTGTGTGGCTCTGTGTGTGGCTCTGTGTGCGACTCTGTGTGTGGCTCTGTGTGTGACTCTGTGTGTGGCTCTGTGGCTCTGTGTGTTTCTCTGTGTGTGGCTCTGTGTGTGTCTCTGTGTGTGGCTCTGTGTGTGGCTCTGTGTGGCTCTGTGTGTGGCTCTGTGTGTGGCTCTGTGTGTGGCTCTCTGTGGCTCTGTGTGTGTCTCTGTGTGGCTCTGTGTGTGGCTCTGCGTGTGGCTCTGTGTGGCTCTGTGTGTGGCTCTGTGTGTGGCTCTGTGTGGCTCTGTGTGTGGCTCTGTGTGCGACTGTTTGTGGCTCTGTGTGTGGCTCTGTGTGGGGCTCTGTGTCTGGCTCTGTGTGTGGCTCTGTGTGTGTCTCTGTGTGTGGCTCTGTGTGTGGCTCTGTGTGGCTCTGTGTGTGGCTCTGTGTGACTCTGTGTGTGACTCTGTGTGTGACTCTGTGTGTGGCTCTGTGTGTGTCTCTGTGTGTGGCTCTGTGTGTGGCTCTGTGTGTGGCTCTGTGTGGCTCTGTGTGTGTCTCTGTGTGGCTCTGTGTGTGGCTCTGTGTGTGGCTCTGTGTGGCTCTGTGTGTGTCTCTGTGTGGCTCTGTGTGTGGCTCTGCGTGTGGCTCTGTGTGGCTCTGTGTGTGGCTCTGTGTCTGGCTCTGTGTGTGGCTCTGTGTGTGGCTCTTTGTGGCTCTGTGTGGCTCTGTGTGTGGCTCTGTGTGTGGCTCTGTGTGGGGCTCTGTGTCTGGCTCTGTGTGTGGCTCTGTGTGTGTCTCTGTGTGTGGCTCTGTGTGTGGCTCTGTGTGGCTCTGTGTGTGGCTCTGTGTGACTCTGTGTGTGACTCTGTGTGTGACTCTGTGTGTGGCTCTGTGTGTGTCTCTGTGTGTGGCTCTGTGTGTGGCTCTGTGTGTGGCTCTGTGTGGCTCTGTGTGTGTCTCTGTGTGGCTCTGTGTGTGGCTCTGTGTGTGGCTCTGTGTGGCTCTGTGTGTGTCTCTGTGTGGCTCTGTGTGTGGCTCTGCGTGTGGCTCTGTGTGGCTCTGTGTGGCTCTGTGTGTGGCTCTGTGTCTGGCTCTGTGTGTGGCTCTGTGTGTGGCTCTGTGTGTGGCTCTTTGTGGCTCTGTGTGGCTCTGTGTGTGGCTCTCTGTGTGGCTCTGTGTGTGGCCATTGCACTTCCTAACTGTAACTAAAAACACCAAACATGTCTCCAGCTGTGACACCAAGAACACACTGGTTTTTGTAAATCACACCTGAGTCAAACCGATCGATTGCAGAATAAAACGTGGCTCTGTTTCGTTGCTCTGTGTGTGGCTCTGTTTCGTTGCTCTGTGTGTGGCTCTGTTTCGTTGCTCTGTGGACAATGTGAGACCAGACCGCTCCATCCTGAGCCCGTGGTGGAAGCAGGATCATAAAACATATTCAGGGCAGAAAATGCACTTTTAGAAGCACATAATAGAGTTTAGAACACCAGCGATGCTTTGATGCAGAAACAGCTGCTTTCTGTCCATACACAAACTACAGAGCTTTTATTCCAGGCACATAACGTTCAGCCGCCATTACGCCTCACCTTCCCCTAATCCGCACAGATATGGTCGATCCGCACCATATGCTCTGTTTTACTTCTCACTCAAACACATAATTGTAATTGTGTCGACAGCACATCCTCGGTGCTCGGGACACTAAAGTTTAGGTTAATCTCTGCTTCATACAGCGTGTGTCCTTGTGTCCTATTACTGTCAGGCCTGTGTTATAATTAAGCCTCTGACAGCCCCTGGAGAGGAGTGATCACCGCATTAGGCCTGTGTGTGTTCAGGGCTGTCAGCGACCACACACTTCCTCTAAATATCCTGCAACATAATGACTTCGTCGCCGGGAGAAGGGTCGCGGGTACGATCCTGTCCGTCCCAGCGATGTGCTGTAGGTTTCACCTCTATATCACTTTCATTTTCAAAAGTTTTCTTATTTTTCCACGATGCTGTGATTAACACAAATGTGTTCTTTTAGATGTCAAATATGCAACTTTAATAATAACAACGTATATATTTATATCCTGTAGCGCTTTGTTCATTTGGCCTTATTCATTCAATCTATACACAGGTATTACACTACTACTGCAGCCACAGCTGCCCTGGGGCACACCGACAGACGGCCCCTCCCACCAGCTGCCATTCACACACCAGACTCATTCTAATGTGGGGGAAGTGTCTTGCCTAAGTACACAACCACAGTTTGGCACGTGTTCCCAGAAGTCTCCCATCACAGCACTGACCAGGCCTTGCCATGCTTAGCTTCAGAGGTCTGACAAGTTTATGGAGTCTCCTGCAGCAGATCTTACAGGTCGTACTTAAAGGGGAGGGACTATGAAAGATATTGCACGTGAAAGTACAACATCCATAAACAGAAGCAGCTGAGTATTTCTTATTCACATGTTTTAATTATAATCATTAATCATGAATAAATGAATGGGCCTCTCTCTAATGAACACGGACCGTCCCTACTGAACACTGGCCGTCCCTACTGAACACGGGCCGTTGCTAATGAACACGGACCGTCCCTACTGAACACGGACCATCCCTACTGAACACGGGCCGTCGCTAATGAACACGGGCCGTCCCTAATGAACACGGGCCGTCTCTAATGAACACGGGCCGTCTCTAATGAACACGGGCCGTCTCTAATGAACACGGGCCATCCCTACTGAACACGGGCCGTCGCTAATGAACACGGACCGTCCCTACTGAACACGGACCGTCCCTACTGAACACGGGCCGTCGCTAATGAACACGGGCCGTCCCTAATGAACACGGGCCGTCCCTAATGAACACGGGCCGTCCCTAATGAACACGGGCCGTCCCTAATGAACACGGGCCGTCCCTAATGAACACGGGCCGTCCCTAATGAACACGGGCCGTCCCTACTGAACACGGGCCGTCGCTAATGAACACGGGCCGTCCCTAATGAACACGGGCCGTCTCTAATGAACACGGGCCGTCCCTAATGAACACGGGCCGTCCCTAATGAACACGGGCCGTCCCTAATGAAAACGAGCCGTCCCTAATGAACGCGGGACGTCCCTAATGAACGCGGGCCGTCCCTAATGAACACGGGCCGTCCCTAATGAACACGGGCCGTCGCTAAGGAACACGGGCCGTCCCTAATGAACACGGGCCGTCCCTAATGAACACGGGCCGTCTCTTATGAACACGGGCCGTCCCTAATTAACACGGGCCGTCTCTAATGAACACGGGCCGTCCCTAATGAACACGGGCCGTCCCTAATGAACACGGGCCGTCCCTAATGAACACGGGCCGTCCCTAATGAACACGGGCCGTCCCTAATGAACACGGGCCGTCTCTAATGAACACGGGCCGTCCCTAATGAACACGGGCCGTCCCTAATGAACACGGGCCGTCCCTAATGAACACGGGCCGTCCCTAATGAACACGGGCCGTCCCTAATGAACACGGGCCGTCCCTACTGAACACGGGCCGTCGCTAATTGAACACGGGCCGTCCCTAATGAACACGGGCCGTCTCTAATGAACACGGGCCGTCCCTAATGAACACGGGCCGTCCCTAATGAACACGGGCCGTCCCTAATGAAAACGGGCCGTCCCTAATGAACGCGGGACGTCCCTAATGAACGCGGGCCGTCCCTAATGAACACGGGCCGTCCCTAATGAACACGGGCCGTCGCTAAGGAACACGGGCCGTCCCTAATGAACACGGGCCGTCCCTAATGAACACGGGCCGTCTCTTATGAACACGGGCCGTCCCTAATGAACACGGGCCGTCTCTAATGAACACGGGCCGTCCCTAATGAACACGGGCCGTCCCTAATGAACACGGGCCGTCCCTAATGAACACGGGCCGTCCCTAATGAACACGGGCCGTCCCTAATGAACACAGGCCGTCTCCTGACACCAAAGGCCACGTGTTGTTGCTGTTCTTTCTCTGATCAACATCAAGCTCCTCGTTCTTTCTGAGCGCCGTCCAAGAGAAAAGCCTCTTGATTTCCCTTGTCCCTTTGCACTTGTGTGTGTGTGTGTGTGGTGTGTGTGTGTGTGTGTGTGTGGTGTGTGTGGTGTGTGTGCGTGTGTGCGTGTGTGCGGCGTGTGTGCGTGTGTGGTGTGTGTGTGTGTGTGTGTGGTGTGTGTGTATGTGTGTGTGTGTGGTGTGTGTGGTGTGTGTGCGTGTGTGCGTGTGTGCGGTGTGTGTGCGTGTGTGGTGTGTGTGTGTGTGTGTGTGGTGTGTGTGGTGTGTGTGCGTGTGTGCGTGTGTGCGGTGTGTGCGGTGTGTGTGTGTGTGTGTGTGTGTGTGTGTGTGTGTGTGTGGTGTGTGTGTGTGTGTGTGTGTGTGTGGTGTGTGTGTGTGTGTGTGTGGTGTGTGTGTGTGTGTGTGTGTGTGGTGTGTGGTGTGTGCGTGTGTGCGGTGTGTGCGGTGTGTGTGTGTGTGTGTGTGTGTGTGTGTGTGTGGTGTGTGTGGTGTGTGTGTGTGTGTGTGTGTGTGTGTGTGGTGTGTGTGTGTGTGTGTGTGTGTGTGTGTGTGTGTGTGTGTGTGTGGTGTGTGGTGTGTGTGCGTGTGTGCGGTGTGTGCGTGTGTGTGTGTGTGTGTGGTGTGTGTGTGTGTGTGTGTGTGGTGTGTGTGTGTGTGTGTGCGTGTGTGCGTGTGTGCGGTGTGTGCGGTGTGTGTGTGTGTGTGTGGTGTGTGGTGTGTGGTGTGTGTGGTGTGTGGTGTGTGTGTGTGTGTGTGTGTGTGTGGTGTGTGTGTGTGTGTGTGTGGTGTGTGTGCGTGTGTGCGTGTGTGCGGTGTGTGCGGTGTGTGTGTGTGTGTGTGGTGTGTGGTGTGTGGTGTGTGTGGTGTGTGTGTGTGTGTGTGTGTGGTGTGTGTGTGTGTGTGTGGTGTGTGTGTGTGTGTGTGTGGTGTGTGTGTGTGTGTGCGTGTGTGTGTGTGTGTGTGGTGTGTGTGCGTGTGTGCGTGTGTGCGTGTGTGTGGTGTGTGGTGTGTGTGTGTGTGTGTGTGGTGTGTGTGTGTGTGTGTGTGTGTGTGTGTGTGTGTGTGTGTGTGTGTGTGTGTGTGTGTGTGTGTGTGTGTGTGTGTGTGTGTGTGTGTGTGTGTGTGGGGGTGGGTGGGGGTGTGGGTGGGTGCCGGGTGGGGGGGGGTGCGTGTGGTGGGGGTGGGAGGGGGTGGGGTGGGCGTGGGGGTGGGGGGTGGTGGGGTGGGGGGGTGTGGGGGGGGGGTGTGGTGGGGGGGGGGTGGGGGTGGGTGGGTGGGGGGGTGGGGGGGGGGGGGGGGGGGGGGGGGGGGGGGGGGGTGGGGGTGGGGTCGGGGGGGGGGGGTGGGGGGGGGGGTGGGGGGGGGGGGGGGGGGGGGGTGGGGGGGGGGGGGGGGGGGGGGTGGGGGCTTGGGGGGGGGGGGGGGGGGGTTGTGGGTATGGAAGGGAGCTGAATTTGATTTTGGGGTGGTTGGGGGTTTAAGAGGGGTTGTTGATGAATATATGATAGGGAAGAGATGAGGTTTAATTAAGAGGTAGGTGGTGGAGAAGAGAGACAGAGAAGAGAGAAGAAGAGAAAGAGAAGAGAACGAGAAGAAGAAGAAGAGAGAAGGAGAGAAGAAGAGAGAGCAAGAAGAGAGAGAAAGAAGAGAGAAGAGAGAAGAGCAGAGAGAAGAAGAGAAGAGAAGAAGAGCGAAGAAGTAGAGCGAAAGACGAGAGAGAAAGAATGTAAGAAGAGAGAAGAGAGAAGAAGAAGAAGAAGATGAAGAGAAGAAGAGAGAGAAGAAGAAGAGAGAAGAAGAGAGAAGAGAGAAGAGAAGAGAGAGAAGAGAGAGACGAAGAAGAGTGTAGAGCGAAGAGAGAGAGAAGAAGAAGAAGAGAAGAGAGAAGACGAAGAGGAGAGAAGAAGAGGAAGAAAGAGAGAAGAAGAAGAAGAAGAGAGAGAAGAGCAGAAGAAGAAGAGAGAGAAGAGAGAAGAGAGAAGCAAGAAGAAGAAGAGAGAAGAGAGTAGAAGAGAAGAAGAAGAGAGAAGAGAGAAGAAGAAAGAAGAAGAAAGATAGAGAAGAGAGAGCAAGAAGAAGAGAGAGAGAAGAGAGAGAAGAAGAAGAGAGAGAGAAGAAGAGACGAGAAGAAGAGAGAAGAGAAGAGAGAGAGAAGAAGAGAGAAGAAGAGAGAAGAAAGAAGAGACAGCAAGAGAGAAGAGAAGCAGAGAGACGAACGAGAGAAGAAGAAGAGTAGACGAGAGAGAAGAAGGCGAGAAAGAAGAAGAGAGAAGAGAGATGAAGAAGAGAGAAGAGAGAAGAAGAGAGAGAAGAGAGAGAAGAAGAGAGGAGAAAGAGAAACGAAGAGAGAAAGAGAAGAAGAAGAAGAAGAGAAGAGAGAAAGAAGAGAGAAGAGAGAAGAAGAAGAAGAAGAGAGAGAGAAGAGAGAAAGAAGAGAAGAGAGAAGAGAGAGAGAAGAAGAGAGAAGAGAGAAGAAGAAGAGAATGAAAGATAGAGAAGAGAAGAAGAAGAAGAAGAAAGAGAGAAGACGAAGAGAGAAGAAGAGAGAAGACAGAAGAGAGAAGAAGAAGAGAGAAGAGCAGAGAAGAAGAAGAGAAGAGAGAAGAAGACGAGAAAGAAGAGAGAAGAAGAGAAGAAGAAAGAACGAGAGAAGAGCGAAAGAAGAAGAAGGAAGAAGAGAGAAGAGAGAAGAAGAAGAGAGAAGAGAGAAGAGAGAAGAGAGAGAAGAAGAAGAAGAGAGAAGCAGAGAGTAAGAGCGAAGAAAAGAGAGAAGAGGAAGACAGAGATAAGAAGGAAGAAGACGAGAAGAAGACGAAGAAGAGAGAGAAGAAGATAGAGAGAAGAGCCGAGAAGAGCAGAAGAGAGTAAGAAGAGAGAAGAAGATAAGAAGAAGAGGAGAAGAGAGAAGGAAGTGAAGAGAAGAGAAGAGAAGAAGAGAGAAGTGAGAGAAGAAGAGAAGAAGAGAGCAGAAGAGAGAAGACAGAAGAAGAAGAGAAGAAGAGAGAGAAGAGAGAAGAAGAAGAACGAAGCAGAGAGAAGAAGAGCGAAGAAGAGAGAAGAAGAAGCAGAGAGCAAGAAGAGACCGAAGAGAGAATCACGAAGAGAAGAGAGAGTAAGAAGAGAGAAGACGAGAGCAACGAGAGAAGACGAGGAAGAGGAAGAGAGAAGAACGAAGAGAGAAGAGCGAAGGAGAAGAGAAGAAGAAGAAGACGAGTGAAGAGAGAGAAGCAAGAGCGAGAAGAGAGAGAGGAGAGCGAAGCAGAGACAGAAGAAGACGAAGAATAAGAAGGTGAGAAGAAGAAGCAGCAGACGAAGAGCAGAAGAAGAGAGACAGGAAGAGAAGAAGACGACGAAGAGAAGATAGAGTGGTAGAACAGAAGACAGAAGACGAGCAAGAAGAGACCAGAAGAAGAGAGTCAGAAGCAGAAGAAGAACGAGAGACAGAAGAAGAAGCGCCGCGAGAAGAAGAAGCGAGAAGAAGAGAGACGAGAGACAGAGAGACAGAGACGAAGCGAAGAGAGACGAATCGCTCCGAGCGATAGACGAAGCAGAGAAGCACTAGACAGAAGCGCAGCTCACCTCAGCTGCGCCGCGCGAGATCATCTCCTCCTCTCTCCTCTCTCCTCCTCCTCTCCTCCTCCTCTCCTCTCTCTCCTCCTCTCTCCTCTCTCCTCTCCCTCCTCCTCTCCTCCTCTCTCCTCCTCTCTCCTCTCTCCTCCTCCTCTCCTCCTCTCTCCTCCTCCTCCTCCTCTCCTCTCTACTACTCCTCTCTCCTCTCTCCTCCTCCTCTCTCCTCTCTCCTCCTCCTCTCTCTCTCTCCCTCCTCCTCTCTCCTCTCTCCTCCTCTCTCCTCTCTCCTCCTCCTCTATCCTCTCTCCTCCTCCTCTCTCCTCCTCTCTCCTCCTCCTCCTCTCTCCTCCTCTCTCCTCTCTCCTCTCTCCTCTCTCCTCCTCCTCTCTCTCCTCTCTCCTCCTCCTCTCCTCCTCTCTCTCCTCCTCTATCCTCTCTCCTCCTCCTCTCCTCCTCTCTCCTCCTCTATCCTCTCTCCTCCTCCTCTCCTCCTCTCTCCTCCTCTATCCTCTCTCCTCCTCCTCTCCTCCTCTCTCCTCCTCCTCCTTCTCTCTCCTCCTCCTCTCTCCTACTCCTCTCCTCCTCCTCCTCCTCTCTCCTCTCTCCTCCTCCTCTCTCCTCTCTCCTCTCTCCTCCTCCTCTCTCCTCTCCTCCTCCTCTCTCCTCTCCTCTCTCTCCTCCTCTCTCCATATCCTCTCTCCTCCTCTCTCTCCTCCTCCTCTCTCCTCCTCCTCCTCTCTCCTCTCTCCTCCCTCTCTCCTCCTCTCTCCTCTCTCCTCTCTCCTCCTCTCCTCCTCTCCTCCTCCTCTCCTCTCTCCTCCTCTCTCCTCCTCCTCTCTCTCCTCTCTCCTCCTCTCTCCTCCTCTCTCCTCTCTCCTCCTCCTCCTCCTCTCTCCTCCTCTCTCCTCTCTCCTCCTCTCCTCCTCCTCCTCCTCTCTCTCCTCCTCTCTCCTCCTCTCCTCCTCCTCCTCCTCCTCCTCCTCCTCCTCCTCTCTCCTCCTCTCTCCTCTCTCCTCCTCCTCTCTCCTCTCCTCCTCCTCTCCTCTCCTCCCTCTCTCTCCTCCTCTCCCTCTCTCTCTCTCCTCCTCCTCTCTCCTCCTCTCCTCTCTCCTCTCTCCTCCTCTCTCCTCCTCCTCTCTCCTCTCTCCTCCTACTCCTCCTCTCTCCTCCTCCTCTCTCCTCCTCCTCCTCCTCTCTCCTCTCTCAGTTGCCTACCAGGTGAAGCAGGGCACGTGTGACGTGGTGGCGGTGCATCGTTGCTGTAATAAGAACAGGATAGAGGAGCGCTCGCAGACGGTCAAGTGCTCGTGCTTCCCGGGGCAGGTGGCCGGCACCACCCGAGCCCGGCCCTCCTGTGTGGAAGGTAAGGGTCCGCACCACCCGAGCCCTCCTGTGTGGAAGGTAAGGGTCCGCACCACCCGAGCCCTCCTGTGGAAGGTAAGGGTCCGCACCACCCGAGCCCTCCTGTGGAAGGTAAGGGTCCGCACCACCCGAGCCCTCCTGTGGAAGGTAAGGGTCCGCACCACCCGAGCCCTCCTGTGGAAGGTAAGGGTCCACACCACCCGAGCCCTCCTGTGGAAGGTAAGGGTCCGCACCACCCGAGCCCTCCTGTGGAAGGTAAGGGTCCGCACCACCCGAGCCCTCCTGTGTGGAAGGTAAGGGTCCGCACCACCCGAGCCCTCCTGTGGAAGGTAAGGGTCCGCACCACCCGAGCCCTCCTGTGGAAGGTAAGGGTCCGCACCACCCGAGCCCTCCTGTGTGGAAGGTAAGGGTCCGCACCACCCGAGCCCTCCTGTGGAAGGTAAGGGTCCGCACCACCCGAGCCCTCCTGTGGAAGGTAAGGGTCCGCACCACCCGAGCCCTCCTGTGTGGAAGGTAAGGGTCCGCACCACCCGAGCCCTCCTGTGGAAGGTAAGGGTCCGCACCACCCGAGCCCTCCTGTGGAAGGTAAGGGTCCACACCACCCGAGCCCTCCTGTGGAAGGTAAGGGTCCGCACCACCCGAGCCCTCCTGTGGAAGGTAAGGGTACCCGCACCACCCGAGCCCTCCTGTGGAAGGTAAGGGTCTGCACCACCCGAGCCCTCCTGTGTGGAAGGTAAGGGTCCGCACCACCCGAGCCCTCCTGTGGAAGGTAAGGGTCCACACCACCCGAGCCCTCCTGTGTGGAAGGTAAGGGTCCGCACCACCCGAGCCCTCCTGTGGAAGGTAAGGGTCTGCACCACCCGAGCCCTCCTGTGGAAGGTAAGGGTCTGCACCACCCGAGCCCTCCTGTGGAAGGTAAGGGTCTGCACCACCCGAGCCCTCCTGTGGAAGGTAAGGGTCTGCACCACCCGAGCCCAGCCCTCCTGTGGAAGGTAAGGGTCCGCACCACCCGAGCCCAGCCCTCCTGTGGAAGGTAAGGGTCTGCACCACCCGAGCCCTCCTGTGGAAGGTAAGGGTCTGCACCACCCGAGCCCAGCCCTCCTGTGGAAGGTAAGGCTGGGTTATCACTGCCACCAGGGGGCACACCAACAACTCCAAATGTGTCTGAGTTTGAGCACATTCTGACTGAGCCTTAAAACCTCGAGACAAAAGGATCTTGTTTTAAAAAGATGCAGAAATGTCTCCTCTGGAACGAGGAAAAATTAAATCAGACGTTTCTGTCTCATCAGAGGATCTGGTTTTAACAAAGTCACAATGAAGTCTAATTAAGATAAAAACTCTTGATTTAAACATGTACTACCTCATATTTTAAATGTTTTGCAGTGTACAGAGACCCTAACCCTGACCCAGGGCAAAAGTCATGTCCATTCTTAGAAAATGGTGAGATAAATGAGAGCTACTCCCTGTATTCCACAGAACAACTTCAGCAATTAGTGAAGAAGACTAATTATAGCATAATACTCTGTGAACGTCATGAACAGAAACAATGTAAAGGATGAATCTTTTGGATCATGTTCAGTTCATGCATTTTCTTTGAGACTTTGGAAAACACAGGTTTCACTTCATTTCTCTGAAACTCATTTCTTCAAGTTTATTCCCAAACATCCTAATTTAGATTTATTTTATTATATTAAACTAAAAAGACGTTGTCTCCCACTTGTTATCGAGTCCTGGAGGCAGTGATCCATTTCCCATTTGGACCAAACATATTTAGCTCTACAGAGTATCTGCGAACCTGTGAATCCAAACGATTAATATTAAAGGTAAATATTTGTGTTTTTTGCTTCAATCAATGATAAAGTTTGACTCGTGTCCAAACGTCACTGATGTGCAGCACGCGCAGACACAGATTCTACAAATCGTTGGTTTGAGCAGCGCGGGGCATAAAACATTAAAACACAGACATGTCAGACGGTAAAGTAAGAAGACGTTTTATTGATGAAAAAGATTAAATCGCTCGTCCTGCACCAAACTGTGTCTTTTTCAAACCAAGGCAAATATTTTCCAAACCCCTGCGGCTGGTTTTTCATTATTCTGGTTTTTTACTGATTTAGAAAATAGTATTTTAATCAGAACAATGCGTGAGGTTCATAGAACTGACACTTTCTTCTAAACCACATCATAATAGTTTGTAGCGACTGCGGACTCTGCTGTTCCCACATCTGACCAGTAGGAGGCACTTTCACATTGTCCCGTGCACCATCTGCTGCATGCACTGTTTTAAATCACAGTGACCGTGTGGCTCAGGGACCGTGCGGCCCAGGGGCCGTGCGGCCCAGGGACCGTGCGGCCCAGGGACCGTGCGGCCCAGGGACCGTGCGGCCCAGGGACCGTGCGGCCCAGAGACCGTGCGGCCCAGGTATAAATATTATAATAATTATTCATTATTCAAGTCTATGTACTTCTGTAATTTAACTTACATTAGGAAATAAATATCTGACATTTCATTTCACATTAAATCAGATATTAAGCCTTTATTTGGCTCAGAGTCTAATGTTAGAGTTTCACCTCAATCCAGCTGTACTTAAAGAAGCAATATGTAAGATTATAATGTCGAGTCATCATTAAAGGGCCCTAATCTGTCATAATTAAAGGGCCCTAATCTGTCATAATTAAAGGGCCCTAATCTGTCATCATTAAAGGGCCCTAATCTGTCATTATTAAAGGGCCCTAATCTGTCATCATTAAAGGGCCCTAATCTGTCATTATTAAAGGGCCCTAATCTTTCATCATTAAAAGGGCCTTTTAATTGCCCCCTGAATTTCTAAATGATTTTTCCAGCCTCTAAATCTTGTTATTGTTTTCATTTCGATGTCCCGCCCTCCACCGTTTCACCAATCAGAAAGTCTGTGATCCGGGCGCCAGAACTCACCGCGTGGAGCTAATCTCACTGGTAAAGTACCATGTGGAGCTAATCTCACTGGTAAAGTACCATGTGGAGCTAATCTCACTGGTAAAGTACCATGTGGAGCTAATCTCACTGGTAAAGTACCATGTGGCGCAGAACTAAAAAAGGTCTCGTTATGATTCTCAAATCATTAACGACAAAACCAGGAATAAATCCAGGATTTCTATCTTTGTGAAAAAGGTGTTGGTTATAGATTTGTTGTTGACAAAACTCTTGTCTATTCAGCTGTTATGGTCCCAGCTGGATTCGTCTGCATATCTGGCAACCTGAGTCAGGGAGAGTAGGAGAGGATGTAGTATTTTTTTTCTTTCTAATTTCCAGCCAAATGTCAATGTACTTATTCATTTGAACACTTGAGAGACTAACGAGACACAGGTGAAGCCTGCTTCTTACGAGACGATTTTGAAATAGTCGCCGATGTTCCAAACCTGAGAGACCTCACACACGGAGATAACAAAATCAAGGGTCGAACCTCTTTGGTCGTACAGTGTGTGGTGCAGCCACACGGCAAAATCACACAAACCACACAAAGAAATGGAGACAACCCGATTATGGACTATATTAATTTATGATTTTTGTCCCGGTGTTTCCTCGTCACCTGGACTTCTGATTGGCTACAGCCGCAGTCAGTGGCAGCTCGTCTGTCCCCGACACCACACACAGAGAAATCAGGCCAAAACAATCCAACACGTTGGATATCCCTGAGATCGGAGCAGTCCAAGTCCCTCTGAGCGACGCAGTCTTAACACATGGTTAATCCATCAGATTATTTTAACAATAATTGGAGCTTTCTTAAGATTGTCGTTAGGGTTAAATCGGCCTCGTTATCCTGCCGTGTGAACCAGGCTGAAGACACATGAGACTAACGAGACACAGGTGGGACACAAGAGGGCGGGGCAGTTCATTAGAAACAGGAAGTAGATCTAAAGCCTAGCGTACATCGACAGAGAAACTGGGGACAACTAGTTGCAAGGCGGCTTTTGGCGACTGAGAGGAGATGATGGAGATGATCAGTTGCCGAAATCGGTCGATGTGAGCGCTCTCACAACTGGAGATGATCAGTCGGTCTCCAGTTCCAGTCAGTTGCCCGTGTTCTACTTTTCGGCAACTAGTTGTCCTCAGTTGCTCCGATGTGCGCGCTCCATGCGCCGCTCCGACAACGTGTGTGTATTGCGTGTATTGCGAGCCCGCAACAGTTTATGTCAGAAAACACAGTGTAGTTGAGGCCAGTTGCTGTCGATGTACGCGCTGTTATTCCCCAGACTGGTCTGATACTGGGAGTTGCCCGTTTTCGCCAGATTGTCGATGTGTGCGGGGCAGCAACTCAGAGGCGACGGATATAATCAGTTGCCAGTCCGATGTACGCTAGGCTTAAAGAGGACGACTAGGAACTAAATCCAAACCATAACAGAGTCAGATTTCGAACCACTTTCCTTCGGTGGGACCAGGAAATGGAAACGATTCATCAGCATTTTTGAGCCTGCATATGGTGCGGGTGTTTACCATGTGTGACGCCCTCTGGTCCTCTGTCTCCGTCTGTCTCCCTCTGTCCTGGCGTTTTGAGGAATAGCTTAGCACATGTATAATCTTTTCTCTGACAGCTTTGAGAGCAGCGCGGCGTGTTGTGGTCACGCCGAGGTGGACGCACAACTGAGACACACTGTTTTAGCAAATCAGTGTAGAAAGAGATGGATGGGCCTCTGCACCGTGTGTGTGTGTGTGTGTGTCTCTGTGTGTGTGTGTGTGTGTGTGTCTCTGTGTGTGTGTGTGTGTGTGCGCCTGTGTGTCTGTGTGTGTGTCTGTGTGTGTGCCTGTGTGTGTGTCTGTGTGTGTGTGTGTGTGTGTGTGAGAGTGTGTGCCTGTGTGTGTGTGAGAGTGAGAGAGTGTTTGTGTGTCTGTGTGTGTGTGCCTGTGTGTGTGTGTGTGAGAGAGTGTGTGCCTGTGTGTGTGTGAGAGTGAGAGAGTGTTTGTGTGTCTGTGTGTGTGAGTGTGAGTGTGTCTGTGTGTGCCTGTGTGTGTGTGTGTGTGTGAGAGAGTGTTTGTGTGTGTCTGTGTGTGTGTGCCTGTGTGTGTGTGTGTGAGAGAGTGTGTGTGTGCCTGTGTGTGTGTGTGTGTGAGAGAGTGTGTGTGTGTGTGTGTGTCTCTGTGTGTGTGTGTGTGTGTGCGCCTGTGTGTCTGTGTGTGTGTGTGTGTGTGTGCCTGTGTGTGTGTCTGTGTGTGTGTGTGTGTGTGTGTGAGAGTGTGTGCCTGTGTGTGTGTGAGAGTGAGAGAGTGTTTGTGTGTCTGTGTGTGTGTGCCTGTGTGTGTGTGTGTGAGAGAGTGTGTGCCTGTGTGTGTGTGAGAGTGAGAGAGTGTTTGTGTGTCTGTGTGTGTGAGTGTGAGTGTGTCTGTGTGTGCCTGTGTGTGTGTGTGTGTGTGAGAGAGTGTTTGTGTGTGTCTGTGTGTGTGTGCCTGTGTGTGTGTGTGTGAGAGAGTGTGTGTGTGCCTGTGTGTGTGTGTGTGTGAGAGAGTGTGTGTGTGCCTCTGAGTGTCTGTGTGTGTACCTGTGTGTAAGAAGTGTGCCTGTTCTTCTTTAAATAACATATCAAGTGAGTAAGGATCTTTTTGCATCCTCTCAAATTAACAAAATAATTATTTATTCCAAGGACAGTGCAGATTAATGAACATTTCTGTAAATATTCCAAAATTATCCCAGCGGCTACTTATCATCTGTAGTAATATAATCACATAAAACATTCTTTTTGTGATTTAAGTACCAGTGTGAGCCATGGGACCATGTGACCTGTAAATATGTCTACACAATGTGAGAAGGCTTTAGTTGTGTGTCTCAGTGATAATGTGTTTAGCATCAAGCATCAGGAGTTAATTAGTGACGTGTGATCACACTTTTACCATGAACACAACTGTGTCTGTTTATGGTCCTAGTCTGAGTGAAACATGGTCCTGTGTCAGAGCTGCAGTTCTCCTTTTGGCCACTGGGGGTCACTCACACAATGAGACACGGAGCTGCTGCGTCAAAGACACTTTTACACTTTAACAAATGAGAATCTGTTTTTAAAGAAGCAACACAATGTCATGCAGAGATTTAAGTGTTATCAAAGTCAACTGTGCAACTAAGTCACCTTTAAGCGACAATAAAACACACTGATACACACATGTAGTAATGATACACACATGTAGTAATGATACACACATGTAGTAATGATACACACATGCAGTAATGACACACACATGTAGTAATGACACACACAGTCCCTGTGCTCCTCAGAGTCCCAGCAGGAGGCCAGTCCCTGTGCTCCTCAGAGTCCCAGCAGGAGGCCAGTCCCTGTGCTCCTCAGAGTCCCAGCAGGAGGCCAGTCCCTGTGCTCCTCAGAGTCCCAGCAGGAGGCCAGTCCCTGTGCTCCTCAGAGTCCCAGCAGGAGGCCAGTCCCTGTGCTCCTCAGAGTCCCAGCAGGAGGCCAGTCCCTATGCTCCTCAGAGTCCCAGCAGGAGGCCAGTCCCTGTGCTCCTCAGAGTCCCAGCAGGAGGCCAGTCCCTGTGCTCCTCAGAGTCCCAGCAGGAGACCAGTCCCTGTGCTCTTCTACAGTGTTGATGATCTAAAGTGCCACAGCAGCACGGTGGCTGAGTGGTTAGCACTCTCGCCTCTCAGCAAGAAGGTCCTGGGTTCGAATCCCGGTCGGACCAGGGCCTTTCTGAGTGGAGTTTGCATGTTCTCCCCGTGTCTGCGTAGGTTTCCTCCGGGTACTCCGGTTTCCCCTACCACTAAAAATATGTCCAATAGTTCTAGCATGCGCCTTTATTTTTATAAATAAAGATTACTTACTACTACTTACTACTAAAGTTAAGTCTGAACTAAACATGTCTAAAGAACGTTGGAAGGACATGAACCATTCAAACATAAACTCTGTCGTTCTGAGTTCTCGGACAGTTCTGCTCCTGCCAAATCTCTGCAATTGTAGAAAAAAGACAAATGTTTCTTTTGCCATCTGTTATTTCTCTCCTTTTTACTCCTCGATAGAAAAACGAAATATACTTAATAAATTCTGAACACGATGCTTTGGGCTTTGAAATGAAAAACTGTGTTTTATTGGGAAAACTGAATATGTTAAAGAAACTGGATAGATCCAAACAAACACAACTAATAAATATATCATTCTAAAAGTATCTAACAATAATAACATCAGTCCTTCAGTCACAGCAGCAGAGGAGGAGCCGCTTGGTCTGGACCATTTTCTCTGCTCTGGTCTGGACCAGTGTAAAACCATGAATCCTCTCTGCTCTGGTCTGGACCAGTGAAAAACCATGAATCCTCTCTGCTCTGGTCTGGACCAGTGTAAAACCATGAATCCTCTCTGCTCTGGTCTGGACCAGTGTAAAACCATGAATCCTCTCTGCTCTGGTCTGGACCAGTGTAAAACCATGAATCCTCTCTGCTCTGGTCTGTGTGTGAGTCGCTGTCCGTGGTGCTGTCCGTGGTGCTGTCTATGGTGCTGTCCATGGTGCTGATGAGGAAGTTTCAGATCAAACACCATGTTCTTTTCTAATGTTTACTTTTTTACAATAATCTCACATTAGTGCTGTCTCTCCTTTGACTTGGTTGCAATTATTTCACGCTACAAAACTTAAACTGAAGTTTGAGGATGATATTCAGTGTTTGAGCCAGATCCACTCCTCTCGATGGTGCAGTCCGTGGTGCTGTCCATGGTGCTGTCCATGGTGCTGCCTATGGTGCTGCCCATGGTGCTGCCCATGGTGCTGATCTGGATTTCCACTGCCTTCAGGTAGATCTCAGAGCATCACATGGCACAGGTTGGAAAACTATTGACTGCTGTGGTTTAATCAGTTATGAACGAAGTGTCGAGGGCACTGACTCTTCTGGGGGACAGAGGAGTCAGTGATTAATCTAAAGCTTCGGAGATTCAAAATCCGTTGTGTTGAAGTGTAAAAGGACTGTAGTTCAATAAATAATAAAATAGAGTATGTCTAAAAGCACAATATTTAACTAAAATAAGAGTAAAAAGTAAGATCGACATAGACATAATCAGAATAATAAATACTAATCTGTGGCTAAGCTAAAAGGGTCTCAGCCTGCTCCTAACAACAGCCACAGACTCCAAAGTCATTATTATCAAACCAAAGTCGGTCTGATAAAACCTCTGCTGTCTTGCATCTGAAGCATCCTGTCACCTTTGACGTCTCTGGATTCATCCAGTCTCTGTCTGTCTGCAGCCTCCATCGTAGCCCAGAAGTGGTGGTGCCAGATGGAGCCGTGCATGGAGGGCGAGGAGTGTAAAGTCCTGCCCGATCTGACCGGCTGGTCCTGCAGCACCGGCAACAAGGTCAAGACCACCAAGGTGAGACCACTGCAGCAGGCGACCGCAGCTCGGACTAGAGTCACCTCTCAGCGGGAAACTTCATCACACAGACATCAACCAATCACAATCCTCGGCTCCTTCCAGCCGCAGAGTCTGGTGTTTTAGATTTATTTACCGAAAGAATTCCTGTCCCACTGTTTATGATCAGCATCAAACTAGTCTCACTTTTGTGGATTTTGACACAAACAGCAAAATGTGGAAAGAGGAAATTAAAGCAGTCCTTATTTCACTACCGACCAAGAAAAAGGTGAAGAGGTTCTTTATTGATCCCACAGGGAAATGTCAGTGTTGCAATCAGCAGTTACAGAAGAGTAGCATGAGGAGCACATCTGTTCTAAGATACAATCAAAGATCATCTGAAATCTGATAAAGAAGCTAGTGTAAAATGTAGCTTTAGCATAATAAAGAAGCTAGTATAAAATCTCTAGCGTTAGCATAATAAAGAAGACAAGATTCCGTATCTGAACAGTTATATAACGTGACGATGTGATATTTGCTCATAAACTTTAAAGATAATGTCTGTTTATGTCATGCTGCTCCTGAACGACCCTCAGTCTCTAACACCGTCCTTTTGGTCTATAAATGAATTCTCAGAGCTGTCTGTTTCTCTGGCTCCTTTTCTTGCCGTAAACAAACGTCCAACTTTTATCTTCGTCGCTCACGCCTTAAATAGCTGCCTTTAAAAGTGCAAAGCAAGCAAACAACTGCCGATGCTGCAGACAAGGACTCATTGACTTATCAATACGAGCAGAAACTCAGTGGCTACAGCAGAAAACTGAAACCATGAGCGTCTCTGGAGACAGGAGACAGTTTGTTTGTTAGTAATGGGCTCAAACTGCAGTGGATTCAATAAACTAGTTACGGCGAAAAGAAGAGCTTGGACTGGGTTAGCTCCACCATCAATCCATCTGCTGTTTCCTAAAATCTACAGCTTTAGCACAAAACAGAAGCAAGTCTAAAATCATCTCTAATCTCTCTCTCTCTGCTGTTTCCTTCAAGGGAATCATTCTTATTTTTCTCCATTTCGAGCTGACAATTTGGAACCAGAATTGCATTTGTAAAAAACATTGAAACTGTGAAGAAGGAGAAATTTGGTTCAATAAATACACATCGAGCTTATTATTACCTCAGCGTTCGTTAACAAAGTGGGATTAAGTGTCTTGCCCAAGGACACAATGACAGCAGAGACCAGTGGGAGTCGGGGGAGAAGGTCTCGTGGTCAAATCAATAAAATCAATCAATGTGTCTTCTTCTTCTTCTTCTTCTTCTTCTTCTTCTTCTTCTTCTTCTCCTTCTTCTTCTTCTTCTTCTTCTTCTTCTTCTCCTTCTTCTTCTTCTTCTTCTTCTCTCTGCGATGACAGAAGTGTTAAAAGACTTATTTCCAAACGTGTAACCAGAGTAAACTGTTGCTGCTGATGTTTTCCTGTGAACACGGAGCCTGGGACTGAGGCTGGCGGCGACGCTCCAGAGACGGCACAACATCTGCGCTGTTCATTAGGGCCCATTATGTCCGGGGCCCATTATGTCCGGGGCCTCCCTCCGAGGTCTGCAATTAACTCTCCTAATTAAACTGGAGAGTGGGACGAGTCGGGAGGCGCTGTCTGGGACTGCGCTGGAAAGAACGGGACTCTTTGGAACCATCTCCAGCCTCTGCTCCTCTGCTCGCCCCGGTCTGGTCCCGCTCTGGTCTCGCTCTGGTCCCGCTCTGGTCCCGCTCTGGTCCCGCTCTGGTCCCGCTCTGGTCCTGCTCTGGTCCCGCTCTGGTCCCGCTCTGGTCCCTCTCCAGTCCATGGACTCGAGGATGGCGTGCGTCAGAGGACATTAATTGTGCGACGGTGCTTCAGACCAGGATGTAGTTACTTAGAGACTTGGCGGCAGCAGATGTCATGAGGATATTTGCGATGGATGCGGCGGCCTTGGCAACGGCGTCGGCGGCCTTGGCCCGCTGACACGGCGCTTTCTTCTGTGCTTCCTCCCTTTGTGGACCATGTTTTTCTCTGACCGCAGCTCGCATTCACCGCCTCTGCGTCTCATTCACTGACGATGATCTGGAGATGTCTGTCTTATTGTTGTGTTTTCACTCCCACACACTGCGGAGGAGACCACAGCGATCACACACACACTTCACAGTGTGCGATCACACACACACTTCACAGTGTGCGATCACAAACACACTTCACAGTGTGTCGCACTTTAAGGCCAAATGTTGCGTTTTCAGTCTTCCTCCGGTTTTGTTTTGATGAGTTTGAACATTTGGACAAAGCTCCAAGATTCTGATGGAAATAAGTTAAAACTGCTGTGTGTGTGTTTTAACTGCTGTGTGTGTGTTATAACTGCTGTGTGTGTTATAACTGCTGTGTGTGTGTTATAACTGCTGTGTGTGTGTTAAAACTGCTGTGTGTGTGTTTTAACTGCTGTGTGTGTGTTATAACTGCTGTGTGTGTTATAACTGCTGTGTGTGTGTTAAAACTTCTGTGTGTGTGTTTTAACTGCTGTGTGTGTGTTATAACTGCTGTGTGTGTTATAACTGCTGTGTGTGTGTTAAAACTGCTGTGTGTGTGTTTTAACTGCTGTGTGTGTGTTTTAACTGCTGTGTGTGTGTTATAACTGCTGTGTGTGTGTTAAAACTGCTGTGTGTGTGTTAAAACTGCTGTGTGTGTGTTTTAACTGCTGTGTGTGTGTTTTAACTGCTGTGTGTGTGTTATAACTGCTGTGTGTGTTATAACTGCTGTGTGTGTGTTATAACTGCTGTGTGTTTGTTATAACTGCTGTGTGTGTTATAACTGCTGTGTGTTTGTTATAACTGCTGTGTGTGTGTTATAACTGCTGTGTGTGTTATAACTGCTGTGTGTGTTATAACTGCTGTGTGTGTGTTATAACTGCTGTGTGTTTGTTATAACTGCTGTGTGTGTGTTATAACTGCTGTGTGTGTTTTAACTGCTGTGTGTGTTATAACTGCTGTGTGTGTTTTAACTGCTGTGTGTGTTTTAACTGCTGTGTGTGTGTTATAACTGCTGTGTGTGTTATAACTGCTGTGTGTGTGTTATAACTGCTGTGTGTTTGTTATAACTGCTGTGTGTGTTATAACTGCTGTGTGTTTGTTATAACTGCTGTGTGTGTGTTATAACTGCTGTGTGTGTTATAACTGCTGTGTGTGTTATAACTGCTGTGTGTGTGTTATAACTGCTGTGTGTTTGTTATAACTGCTGTGTGTGTGTTATAACTGCTGTGTGTGTTTTAACTGCTGTGTGTGTTATAACTGCTGTGTGTGTTTTAACTGCTGTGTGTGTTTTAACTGCTGTGTGTGTTTTAACTGCTGTGTGTGTGTTTTAACTGCTGTGTGTGTGTTATAACTGCTGTGTGTGTGTTTTACCTGCTGTGTGTGTGTTATAACTGCTGTGTGTGTGTTTTACCCGCTGTGTGTGTGTTATAATGTGATTATATAGTGTAAGTTTGAAAAAAATGCCGTGAAGAAAATATGAAGGGTAAACATGTGATCCACCTGCAACTCCTCATGCTACCACCAGGGGGAGGAGGAGAATGCATTCATTTAAAAGTTATAAAATGTACAATGACATTATATTTAAATGCATATGCCTGATTCAGCATGGATGATTCTAAAAACAACTGCAGGTCTGTTTTTGATCACGTACACATGTTCAGATGTTGTCTTTGTGTGTTTCAGGTCACGCGATAGCAACAAACTCATCCAACCACCAAGAAACCGACCCTGAAGCTTATTTATTTAAAGGATCCACAAAGAAAGGCATGGACCGCTCAGATTCTCCATAAACTCTGTGTTCTCTTCTTCATCTGTGGCAAAATGTCTGTCCTGAGCCGTGGAGCGACGCAGACATGACGCATTTTTAAATATATATTAAAGCATTTACGGAGGAGCTTGTAGGACGGTGGCTGTCCGTACGTAGCGCTTTGAACGGAAGCCACTCGAGCAAACGGAACAAAGTAGCGGCTGAAAAACTAGCGATTAGCAAATTAGCATCGAGTTGCTCTTGGGTTAAGTCCCGTTCACCGTGAGACTGTAGGTGTTCGGTTCCCATTCGCAAATGCAAGGTAGAAAATAACTGCGTAATAAACATGTGATATTTGCACTAGTTACTCAGACTTTCTCCTCATCGTTTCTGTTTCTGTTTCTGTTTCTGTGGAGCTGAGAGACGCTTTTGTAAACTGTTCATGTGGAATGTTTAACTGTATCACTTAGTCTTTGGCTTTTCTCTGAGTTCAAGAATAATAAACATTTGCTCTAAACCGGATTTTTGTTTTCATTAACTCTGGAATGTGTCGAGGAGCTGCAGCGATGTGTGAGAAACTGAAATCCAAACAACATCATGTATTTTTTTCTATTCAGTTCATATTATTCGTGTAGCGCCTTCATCGTCTGTGAGGACTCTGCACAGTTGTCGAATAGCTCACAACAGATTAGAGAATCAGTTCACACACAGAGGATGCAAAAAGGACAAACACACATGAGCCATTGGTCCATAAATGTTTATAGATGTTAATACATGTTAATACATGTTAATAAATGTTAATAAATGTTAATAAATGAGCCTCCAGCACAAGGACAGTTTATCTGTATAGCACAGTTCACAAAGTGCAACAAAACAAGACAGAAACAAACCACACAAGGCTTTAAATAATCACAGTTCATTAAGGATCACCTAATTCCGCCTGCTCCTTCTCGAATTATGAACCCAAATGGAAATGCTTATTGTGTGGACATCTTGTGTCTGATTTTGTGTTATGAGGCCTCATTTGAAAGGTAACGCCTTCTAGTTTCTGAAAAAGTATGTTACGGTTTGTTAGGAAGGACACAGTCTGCACTACACCTTCTCAAACATGAGTCAAAGTTAGTTTTTTTTGTCAAAAAAAAAGAAGGCAATTTCAAAAGGTTCTCCTGAAGACATACTTTATGGTATGATGTTCAAACTCACCAGAGCAGATGTTTGTGGTGTTGGCAACACCTATATGAAATTTTAGACCTTTAGGTGGAACTATTTTGATGCTGGGGGCTTTTTTGTAACTAATGGGCACATTCGGCACAAGTGGTCCATTTTTGTGACAACTGTGCCAAAGTGTTTTACATGCAAATTATCAATGTTTTTACACCAAAAATCCATTTATATCATTTTTTGGCTATTACTCTTGCTATAAATAGCATTTTTTCCAGATATTGAAATGTTTACAGAAAAGCTATTAGTTATATAGTTATAGCGCGTGTTCTCCGTGAAAAAGGCTCCGTCTTCCTCTTTACGCATTCAAATATGACGGGAACAGTGGGAGGAACCTTTAAGTCCGACACATCGCCTGAAACCTGAGATTATTGGCTACAAGATGATTTGATTGACATCCAAATCGGCCAATGGTAGTCAAGACAATGCTGTCATGACGCACAGATATCTATGTGAATGGAGCGCTAAAGCTAGGTGCGCTTGTTCTACGTCATGGTGCTACGTCCCTTAGGACTTCGCTAGTGGGATATCACTCGTGACCCCCAGGTCACACGCCAGAGAGATCAAAATAATTTGCTCCAATCACCAGCCACCTTCCTCTATAAATGCCCCTGCACAAGGCCGCACCCCCTCTTTCACTCTGGCGCCGTTCGAGATCTACCACAGTACTTACTTCATTCTGAGATGTCTTCCTTGTTCGTCCGAGTTCCCTTCGCCCTCCGGCGTCGGACGTCGTCACTGGATCCAGACGGTGGAGGACTTCACCTCTGTGGGCGCCACCACTTGAGGAAGGAGGAGGATGCAACCCACGTTGTGCCCGCGGATGGACCCGTTCGTCCATTACGCGACACGTGAGTGGCCTAAGCCCCTAGCAGCCAAGAGGCCTGCACTGGGGTACGACATATACTGCAGCGGGCAGGACTGGTCCTGGACCGGTGATCGAGGATTCAGTCCGCATGGCCCTGCAGCCCTCCGCATCCGTGTGGCCCGGCACCAGACCTCTCCTTCTCTCCGAGCGGGACAGGATGTCTTGGCGAGGCTGGATAGATATTATGCCAATGCGGCACAGGTCGTCACATTGGCTATCAACATGACTTTCATCACGGGGGCCCTGAATAGGTCGCTCTCCTCTGGCCAGGCGCTCAGTGGAGACCTCCTGTCACAGGCGAGGACCACCTCGGCGGCGTTCCTGCGCATGTGCCAGACGCTAGCCGTGGATGGTGGCCAGGACACCGAGGATTCAGTCCGCATGGCCCTGCAGCCCTCCGCATTCGTGTGGCCCGGCACCAGACCTCTCTTCCCTCCGAGCGAGACAGGATGTCTTGGCGATGCCGGATAGATGTTATGCCATTGCAGCACAGGTCCTCGCATTGACTAACTACATGGCATTCATCACGGGGGCCCTGGATATGTTGCTCTCTTCTGACCAGGCGCTCAGTGGAGACCTCCTGTCACAGGCGAGGACCACCTCGGCGGCGACTCTGCGCATGTGCCAGACGCTAGCTGTGGATGGTGGCCGCTCCATGGCAGCAGCCCAAGTCGGGCCAGGCACCTTTGGCTTGGGCTGGCTATTATCAGGGAGGCGGAGAGGAGGCAGCTGCTGGACCTGCCCACCTCTCAGATGTCCCTCTTCGGCCCGGACATGCAGGCCTGGGTGGCGAGACTGGAGTCTGCAGCTAAAGACTCGGCTAGGCTAGCCCCGCACCTAGCACCGAGGCGCGAGGCCCACCAACCATCACGGAGCCGGGACAGAGGTCGAGAGCGTTGGCCCGGGAGGCATCCTGACCCGTATCCGCGCTCTGTTATCCATCGTCCCCCCTTGACGAGGCCCCCGGGTCCAGATAGACCCATGGGTGGCTCGCGGGAGCAACGCACCCACCACCGACCTCCCTATGGTAGAGGAGGCCGGGGTGGAAAAATGTTTCCTTCAATAAAGGCCGACCGGCATTTCCATTACTTTTCTGAGTCTGATTTGGGGGTATGTAACATGTCAAATATTGTGAATTCTGATTGTGTTACTTCCCGGGCACATAACGTTGCTTCGCTAGGCCTGCAGCCCCAGAGAGGGGCGTGCAGTGCACAACGAGCTCCGGTTTCTCTGATCCATACTATGCCCTCCCAGAGAGAGGTCAGGCGGAGGGATCTGGTGAGTGATATGTGTGTGCTTCGGCCGAACGCGTGTTAGCTTTTCTGAGCTACAGGGCTAACACGGGGTTTCCCACTCCAGGGGCTCGCCCCCCCCTCCATGAGGCAAGAGCCAGGGGGGGCACAGCAGCCGAGTCACGTGTGGTGAGCAGAGCTACAAGGCTGACACGGGGTTTCCCACTCCAGGGGCTCGCCCCCCCCCCCTCCATGAGGCAAGAGCCAGGGGGGGGCACAGCAGCCGAGTCACGTGGGATGAGCAGTCCCGTACTTATGACGTCGGGCCTGCAGGACACGTGACCGCCCCCGGCGCTCACGGTGTGACGCAGGGTGCCCCCCGGCCCTTTCGTCCACCCCCCCTCCCTGCTAGGAACACCAGGAGAGGGCGGGGCCGTGACGTCTCGTGTTCCAGCTCCCGTTCCGCTCCTCACAGACTTCTACAGCATCTGGAGGGAGCAAAGATGGCTGACATATCTATGGCGGGAGAGAACATTGCGCAGGGGTTACGCACTGCAATTCTCCCAGAAGCCACCACCATTCCGAGGCGTACGGGCAGCACGCTCTCAGGTACGGGGTCATTAGAGGCACTGCAAGCGGAGGTCTCCTCTCTGCTGAGCCTAGGCGCAGCAGTGGAGGTAGACCCACAGGACGCCACCAGGGGGCTGTACTCCCCTTACTTCTTAGTGCCAAAGAAGTCAGGCGGGGTGCGTCCCATTTTGGATCCTTGCGTGTTGAACGAGTGCATTTCCAAACGGCAGTTTCGGATGCTGCCCACAAAGCAGCTCCTCGAGTGTGTCAGGGAAGGAGACTGGATGTGCTCCATAGACCTGACAGATGCGTACTTCCACGTGCCGATAGTACCGGAACACAGGAGGTTCTGCGCTTCGCAGTGGGAGAGAGGAATTACGAGTACTGTCGTTTTCCCCTTGGGCTACGCACTCGCGCCGTGGAGCAGGGGTAAGAATTAATCTACATAGACGTCGGGTTGATTCTGGCCTCACCCAGGGAAGTGGCCGTGAGTCATACGCACTGGGTCCTGTCCCACATACAGCGCCTGGGCTTTGTGGTTAACAGGGAGAAAATTAACAGTTACCTTTGTAACTTAAGTTCTACGAATAGGTGCACGTGATATCCCACTAGCGAAGTCCGCTAGGGGACGTAGCACCATGACGTAGAAGCAGGCTGCAACCGGCTCAGCGCATGATCTATCTCGGTCTGCAGCTAGACTCTGTGACATTCCGTGCTGCATTGTCCGTGGACAGACGGATGAACACTACCCGTCTGCCCGGGGAGGTTCTGGCGGGCCCCAGAGTCCCCGCTCGGCGCCTCAGGTCCGTGCTGGGAATGATGGCGGCGGCTCATGCTGTGGTGCGGCTAGGCCTTCTCCACATGAGGAATTTTCAGAGGTGGTTCTCACGCCTCAGGCTTCACCCCTCCCGGGACGGGGGAGGCTTATCTGGGTTCCCCAAGTGGCAGCATCGGACATCAGGTTCTGGCTCACTCCGGGTCTTCTACGGGACGGAGTGACTCTGGCCGGCGCCGTGTCTCACGTGGAGATGTTCACGGACGCGTCGCTCGAAGGATG